GTATAATAATTTTAAAGCGGAAAAAGAAATTTAAAATATCTCATTTAGACTTTATTGAAAAAAAAGTAGTGAAGGTCAGTGTATACAATGTATTGAAGAATTTCTCATTATTTGTTAAAACGATAAAAATTATTTACCACTATTTTCTTAACATCTTAACAAAAATAAAAAAATTTAATTATTTAAATGCAAATTTAAAGTAAAAATGTAAATTATAAAAAACTAGTTATAAATAATTTACTAAAATTATTGAAAGATGTAAATAATAAATTAAATAGTAATAATAATAATAAATTAAATATAAATAATTTTTCATATAAATTTTTGAAATTGTATTTTTTTTTCTATAGATTTATATAATTGAAAAACAATTTTCTCTCTCCCTTGCTCTTGTTGACACTTTTTAATTGAGAAGTGTCAACTTAATAAAAGAGAGAACGCGAAAAAATAAAATAATTGCCTATTTAATGGAGCACATGACTCTATATGATTCACAACTCGAATTAATTTAAGCACATTTGATTTATTATGTCACATGCTCGTAAATTTGCTATTATGTTGTTTACACGTATATATAACGTTTACCAACAAAATCAATATATTGATTTAATGAAAAGTAAAATTAACTTTAAACTAGAAAAGCACATATTTTCATTACTGTGATGAGCAATTTCATTTTAAATTAAATCAATTAAATTAATTCATTTATATAGCAATAATTCTTAATTTCTCTTGGAAATTTCCAGAATATTCCTTCAACTGCCTATTGGCATTCGGAAAAAAATATTTCAAATTATTGACAGAGAAATATTTGTTTCCGAATTTTTCTTTTTTAAATTCAATATATATTTTAATTATATTTAATAATTTTTAATAATTTTCCAAGATAGTTAATTAGCAAATTGTTTTTTTTTTTTGTTTCTTACGCTTGAAATAAGAATTCGATTATTAATTATTAACTAAAAATTATTTTTCGTCAAAAAAATCGTTTGCAAATAAAAGTAAAAAAATTAAACATAACCTGTAAAATTTTGCTCCTTTCTTTCTTTGCGAGACGCGTCACGTCACATAAACAAATTAATTTATTACACTTTTTTGTTAAGACCTTAAAATGTAAATTTGGATTTTTTTGAATTTACCGAGAAGGAGAACGAAGAACGAACAGCGAACGTCACTTGTAAATGTTTTTTTTTTTTTTTGCTTTATTTACGTTTGGAAAAATAAAGAGGGAGAGACGCAGAACTCGGAGGGGGGGAAAATTAGAGTACATAGGAGGTTCGACAGGTAGCATTTTGCCATAAATCACAAGTTGCCGGCAATGTTCAAATCGAGTATTTTTTAAGTATCTTCTCTTTTTAGTACTCAAATTGAAAGCAAAAATGATTCTGGAATTTTTTAATAGGTAATCAATTTATTTCTTTAACCCATTTCTATAAATTCGTGGAAATCTATACCTTTTTTCGAAATTTGAAAAATAGAAAGTTTTTATGTTAGAGAAAAATGAATAAATTTGTCAATTAATTGTCTGCTAAATAACTGTTAATTTCATTAATTTGGTAGACATGACATTGAAACGTTTGAAATGTTCCTGAAGTTGGCGTCGACGCTCAGCTGATCGGAATCTATTTTTTCTTATTTTAGTGATGAAATTTTGATTAATTTCACTTTTTTCATTTATATAAGAAGGAAAAAGTACTTTTTTAATCTTAAACCTTCGAAAAAATAGTTTTGTTTTTTCGGAAGAAATGTTTTTTTTTCTGTTTTGTGAAAAACAATATTTTTCGATGCTAATCGACGCCAACTTCAGAGACCTTGTTTGGAACCTTTAGAACTTTCTAGAACGAACATTTTTTTCTTGCCCTGCATTTATTCCAAATAATATTTCAATAAAAAAAGTGCAGTTTTCGATTAAAATATTAATACAAGAACTTATTTATTGAATTATTACATAACTAATCTATTCAGAATTGAAGAGAAAACGGGAGTAAATAGAATATTTATTTTTAGGTTATGTTTGTAACTGTCAGTTATGCCAGGGGCGTCAGGGGTAGGGGGTTGAGGGGTTTCTGCTAAATAAAAAAAAACTCATTGGCAATGTTTATATGAATATAAAAAAAAATTAACGAAATAGAAATACGGCTAAATTAGGCTAGAGATGAAATAAAAATTCCGATTAAATGGAGGAAAATAGAATTTAAGGGGAAAATCGGGAAAATTTTTCCATTCGCGCCGGCGCTCTCCTAAAAAACACTTTCTTTTCGTTACGTCCCTGAGGTCCCTGATAAATTCTCGCGTGGGTCTTCTTTCAAAGCCTTGCGTATAGAATGCACGAATCGCACGATTGAAACATTTCCTATAGCGGCGTACAAAATAAAATACAGTCTTTCTCCCGGTCTCCCCTGCTGATGCTTCTGACTCACTCGAAAAGACAGTATGCTTTCTGCCTCCTGCTAGCGTGTTCGAAAGTTTCTCTAATCTATAACTCTCTTTAAAAAATTCCCTTCCAAACAAATTTTTTTCTTTAAATTTTTCACTTCAAACAATTTTGTTCCCCTTAATTTCCCTAAATGCAGGAAAAAAACTCCAAGGAAGAAAATTGTTTCATTTTCAAAAATTAAATACTAAAAAACGAGACTAAAAAACTACTCCTACTAAAAGAAGTAGGAAAAATACTGAATATAGAAAAAAGTGCAAGTGGTGAAAAGAAGAAAATATGATTAACCTGACGATTTAAATAATACAGTTGAAAAAAATATTAATTTCGAGTGATTTTTTGTGTGTGTGTGCTTTTTTTCGGAATTGAAAATTTAATTTTCATTTTTTGTGTTAATAAATAAACTTACTCTCATATAAATGTTTCATCGAATCGTTGAAAGATTCGTCTTTACGCCAATAGTTCGCTTTTGGAAAAGAAAGTTGGTCTTTGTCATTACATGAGTGACAGGAATTTTTTTTTCTCTTTCAAGAAGAAATTCATTTTCTGTGAGTATATATATATTATAACAACATCCCAACGATTTTTACGATATAGAAACGTTCGGAAAACGGTTTTTCTAATTATTATTTACTTTAAGCTTTTCTTTACGACTCGAGGAAAAAAATTTGTCATTCACATTTTTTTTCTTCATTTTTGATGCCGGAATTAATTATTATTTATTTAACAATCAAATTAATTAATATATATAAATAAATAAATATTTTATTACATTAATTCTTATTTAAAAAATAGGCTAATCTAATCTGATAACCGAACTCGAACTGAATTTTTCATAATTAATTTAGCGTTAATTTATTAAAAGTACTTTTATTAATAGTATTTCTTTATTAAAAGAATTTCTCTATTAAAAGAATTTCTCTATTAAAAGTATTTCTTTATTTAAAGTATTTTTTTATTAAAAGTATTTCCTTATTAAAAGTATTTTGATATTCAAAGTAATTTTTTATTAAGAGTATTTCCTTATTAAAAGTATTTTTTTATTAAAAGTATTTTCATTATTATTATAATTCTGTTATTATTTGTTATAATTTATTATTAGTTTGTTATTACAATTTTTATTTTTATTTATATTCTTTTTTCTTCTTATAGGATTTTATTTGATATTTATTATTCTATTTAATTTATATTTTAATTATTTTCATATTTAATTAAATAATAATAATTAAAAAATAAATAAACGCTATAAAAAAATAGGAATAATTATGGAAAAATTCAAATAATAATAATTACTATTAATAAATTATAAAAAAATTTTATATTATTATAAATTTATATTATATTTATTTTATTATAAAAAAATTGTTATTATTATTACCTATTATTAATTATTATTATAAAAATAATTAAAATATGATAAATAGAATAATAAATAAATGTAAATAAAATATAAAAATAAATAAAATTACAATAAATAATAATAATAATTTATTTATTTCATTTAAAGGGTTTACAAAAAAAAAATATTTCTTTTTTGCAGTTTAAATAATAATTATTATTATTAATTATTTATTTATTCAATCGTCCCTCCTCTCTGGTCCCTTTTACAATTTATTTGCACTTAATTTTCAAGGATACAATGTATAAAAAAAATTCAGTTAATTTTCCACAGTTCTAGGAATGATAATAATAAAAATATAATTAAATGACAATCGTTGCAATTATGTGACCCTCTTTTTTAAAAAAAAATTACGTCAGAAATTCTTGTGTGAGTCTTGACCAGACACTAATTTCTATTGCACAATCTAAACTCGATTTATAATTAAATCGCATTTGCGACATTTTCACATTTTTTTCCTTTACTGTTTTCATTATTATTCATAAATACATTTTTCTCAAGTTAAACACGAATTAAATTTTTTCTTTTAATTATGTATCTAAAGAACAAATTTTCCTCTTTTTTTAAAGAAAAAAAAAATTTTTTTTGAAATATTTTTTCTAGATTAAAAATAGAATTTAATTTTTCTATTTGAATTAAAAAGGAAAGAATTCAATTTTTCTCTTTAGATTTAAAAGGAAAGAATTCAATTTTTTGTGTATAAGAAAATTTAATATTTTGTTTAGAGAGAAATAAGATGAAAAAAAATTAATATTTTGTTTAAATTAAAATCAAATGAATATAAATATTCAACGATTAAAAATGAAAAAAAATAAATTTTAAATTTAAAAAAAAAATATTTTTTTGCAACAAAAAAAGAAGTTAATTTAACCCAGAGAAAATTGTATAATTAAATTGTGTTAATTAACTTCCTAACTAGAGAGATCGCAATTATTTGAATGTTAGGACCTTGATAATGACATTATCGAGTGTGTGTGGTGTAATTTTATTCTTTTTTTTTTATTATCGCAACAATTCGTATAACTCGACTATTGGACTATTGTTTGTTTGGAAAATTTTTTTAATTACTATGCTTTGCTTTTTTTTCTAAACACACATTTTTTGACAGCAGGATAGAAAAATAATTTTTATTAACAATTTTCTTTGTTTTTTTTTGTTTGATTACAGCAAAAGAGTTAGTGGACTATTTGATTGCAAAGTGTGCAAGGATTTAAAGAACGAACAAGAAGAGTCCTTCGAGGATTCGTCGCCTGATTGTGCACCGAAACCGGCGAAAAGAAAAGATCGCCGTCAATCCTGTTGTTTGGAAAGAAAACTAATAAGGTATTTTTTTATTTTTAATTAGAGAGTATTTTTAATGGAAAAAAACACTTTTAATAAAAAAACATTTTTTCATACTTTATTATTTTTATTATCTTTTTATTAAAAGCATTTTTTCTACTAAAGTATCTTTTTTATTAAAAGTATTTTTCTATCAATAGTATTTTTTGTTAAAAGTATTTTTTTATTAAAAGAATTTCTCTATTAAAAGTATTTTTCTTATTAAAAGTATTTCTTTATTAAAAGTATTTTTCTATTAAAAGTAATTTTTATTAGGAGTATTTCATTATTAAAAGTATTTTTCTATTATAAGTATTTCTTTATTAAAAGTATTTTTATTAAAAATATTTATTTAATAAAAGAATTTTTTTATTAAAAGTATTTCTTTATTAAAAGTATTTTTATTAAAAGTATTTCCTTATTAAAAGTATTTTTATTAAAAGTATTTCCTTATTAAAAGTATTTTTCTATTAAAAGTATTTTTATTAAAAGAATTTCTCTATTAAAAGGATTTTTTTTATTGAAAGTAATTTTTTATTAAGAGTATTTCCTTATTGAAAGTATTTATTTAATAAAAGAATTTTTCTTTTAAAAGCATTTCTTTATTAAAAGTATTTTTATACTAAAAGAATTTTTATAAAAAATATTTATTTAATAAAAATACTTTTAATAAGGAAATACTTTAAATAAAAAATAGTTTTAATAAAAAATACTTTTAATAAAAATAGTTTTAATAAAAAATACTTTTAGTAAAAATACTTTTAATAGAAAAATACTTTCAATAAAGAAATACTTTTTATAAAAATACTTGTAGTAAAGAAATACTTTTAAATAAAAAAAGACTGGTAATAAAAAAATAAATTTGATAATTTTAATAAACTGATAAAAATTTATATACATACAAAATAACAACTGTTATTTCTATACTAAGTTTATAATAATATGAAAAAACGAAAAAAAAATAAATAAATAAAAGTAGAAAAAATTCCATTTCTAAATCGTAGAATATTTTGTCATTTATAATATTATTCGTCGTCCCTTAACCGAGGTCATGAAATCGAGTTATGGATTTAAATTGTCGGGATTCATTTGCGGCGCACAAAACTGTTTTGCGGTTTCTCCTGTGTTATGGATTTTTGTTTTTGTTTTTTTTCTATTAAAATTAAATTACGAAAGAATTGGAAATTTTTCTTTTATTGGAAAATAAAAATTTTTATTATTTATTTCTTTCTTTTCTGAACGCAGAAGTAACAGCGAGGAGAGAATTTTCGAGAATACGAAAAGTCAATCCGACATACGACGGGTCAGTAGTCACGAGGATTTTAATAGTTCAAAGCACCTTCATACTCTGTCCCAAGTGCCATCCGAAATGGGCCACGGAATGGTGAGTTGATATTTTATTTTTTTCTCTCTCTCACAAAAAAAACGAAAAATTACAAATATTTTTTTTTATATAATTTTCTTAAGTGAAATTATTTTCCTTTTTTAACTGATTTGTATTTTTTTAATTATTTCGGACTTTTACTCTTTTGGTTTTTTTACTTTCTTGTTTTTTTTATTATTTTGTTTTTGACTTTTTCGGATTTTTAATTTCTTGTTTTTTTATTATTTTGTATTTTTTTTTAGTAATTTTCTTTATTTACTCTTTTAGTTTTTTGTATTATTATTTTGTTTATTATTTTCATCAAATTTCACAAAACAATTTAATTATTTAAAAAAAAAATTAATAAAATTCATCCAAAATTCAATTATTTTCATAAATAATAAAATTTCCACAGGAATTCAATTAATTTAGAAAAGCATTTTAAAAAAAATTTCGAAAAAATCAATAATTTAACAAAATTTTTATTCAGTTCTTCACAATAATTCAATTACTTTCACTAATAATAAATTTTTTCATGGAAATTCAATTATTTGAAAAAATTCTTAATAAAATTCTAAGCAAGAATTCAATTATTTTAATAAATAATAAAACTCATCAAAGAATTTCAATTACTTTTAATACTATTAAAAGTAATAATAATAAAGTAGTATTAAAAGTAATTGAAAAATTCAATTATTTCCACGAATAAAGTTTTCCACAAGAATTCAATTATTTAAAGTAAAGTTTTCATAATATTTATTATATTTCTAAACAATTAATTATTTAAATAATGTTTATAAAATTCTTATGAAGAATTCAATTATTTTCAAAAATAACAGAATTTTTGTATTTTTTTATTATTTTGTTTTTTACTTTTTTGTAAGTATTATTTTCTTTTTTTACTTCTTTGGTTTTTTTTTATTTATTTTTTTTTTATTTCGTGTTTTTGAATTATTTTGGTTATTTTTTGTTTTTATTTTCTTTCTATTATTTCGTGTTTTTGAATTATTTTGTTTTTTTACTTCTTTTTGGTTCTTGAAGTTGAACTATTTTTTCAAAAAAAATTATTCCGCTTCCTTCAAATAAAAGCATTTAAAAAAAGAAAAATTTGCAGAGATGTGGCGGACTGCCGCTTTACGAGAGGACAAACGTCTCGCCAGTGTCGGCGAAGTCATCGCCAACGTCAACCCCATGCGACGTTGTCCTTGCCGCCGAGAGATTCGAATGCGACGCGGAACGCTTGCGGAGCAGCGAGAGATTCAGTCGAAGCGTCACCCCACGAGGCCGAAGACAAATTCGCCGACGACGAGTTCACAAAAGTTCCGATTTTAACCAAGAAGCCAGTAAGGTACGAAAATTACTCTCTTTTCATCGAATTTTTTCTTTTTTCGAATTTTAATTCGAATTTTCTCTTTTTTTGAATTTTAATTCGAATTTCCTCTTTTAATCGAATTTATTTTGAATTTTCTCTTTTTTTCGAATTTTAATCGAATTTAATTCGAATTTTCTTTGGAAATTGTTTCCAAAATTCCGTTTTTTATTTTCAATAAATAAATAAAGTTAAATATTTCTCGCAGGAAAATGAGGAGAATCCGGAGAATTATTCAGGACCGAAGAGTCCAAATTTAAATTCGTCAGGTCCGAGTTTTTTGGAAATGTTGAGCGGCGGTCCAAGTAGATCACCATCGCCGGCACGTCCGCCAATTGTCGAGCACGAGGACTCGAATAATCCCACACTGACGAATTGGGGATTTCAACATCACACCGGAAACGTAATTATATTAATTTCCAATTTCCAATTTTCTAATCTTTGAATTTGAATTTTAAAATTTCCAAAATTTAAATACAAAATTCAAATTTTTGTTCTCCAGGAAGAAGATACGAATGCCCGAGTGGAGGCAATGCTATCGCCTCGCAATTCCCTTCTAATTCCCCGTCGTTTCTATTCAGAGGACGACGATCAACACGACGCGCCTAATGCCAACGACGTGAGTCTAAAAAATCTCGCCAAACACATAAGCAGCTTAAAGAAAAAAATCAAACGCTACGAGGATGAATTTGAAATGAATTTTGGCTATCGGCCAAGTAATTCCGACAAAATGAGTAATCGTGATGTGAAAAAATTGTGCACCGAATTAAATAAATTACGCAAGGAGCATAAATTATTGAAGAACGATATTGTTGGATTATTGACGCGCGACAATGATAATAAATTACAGATTAATGAAAATCCAACGAATAACAATAATACAACAACAACAAGTGCAACTAGTCTGGATAGTAAGACGAGGAAGACAAATATGGAGGAGTACGTTAAGGATATTGAGAGGAAATTAAATGATAAACGAATTAAATTTAATCGCGATGAAAATATGGAGGATTTAAGTTACGAGCAATTGATGGACGAGAAAATTTCCGTACAAAAGGCATTGTTGCATATTGAAAATGTTTTTGGACGCGCTGTCTCCAAGGAGGATCGCGTTATTGTTAGGCCATTGTATGATAAATATCGAACGCTCAAGAGGCACTTGATTCGAGCCGGCGCGGTAAGATTTTCCCATTTTCTATTTTTTCTAGTTTTCTTTCTCTATTTTAACTATTTTCCTTTTTTTATTTCTATTTTTGCTATTTTTCTTTTTCTATTTATATTTTTGCTACTTTTCTATTTCTATTTTTTCTAATTTTTAATCTAAAATTATCTTTAGAGAAAAAATTTGAAAAACGATATAAAATTATTTCTAGAGAAAGAATTGAAAAACGATTATCTAAAATTATCTCTAGAGGAAAAATTGAAAAGCGATTATCTAAAATTATCTCTAGAAAAAAAATTGAAAAAAGATTAATATTTATTATTATTTTCAGAATAAGAATAAAGACAGTATGTCGGAATTGGCGACAATTTTGGAGCACGAGGCGATGGATTTTACGTCGTCGTTCTTGCCTGGAAATCCAGCGGACGGAGAGAGAAGAGCAAGTGAGCCGGACATGTCGCATCGAGGAATTTTGGATTGCATCGAAACTGATCAATTTCCAACGGACAGTGATAGTCAACACAGTAGCAGTGAAGGAAGTCGAGGAGCCGGGGAGAGTCTTCATTCCTTGCCACAGTAATAATTTTTCAATTCTTTTTCTTTATTCATTTCTTCTTTTTTTTACAAAACTAATTTCTTTCTCAAATTAAAATTAGACACAAGTTTTTTCTTTCTTTAAATTCAAATCAGATAAAATTTCCATTTTCAAAGTTAAAATTAAAATTAAAATTAAATAAAAATTTGTTTTCTTTAAATTAAAATTAGCAGAGTTGCCACACGTCAGAAAAATCAGGGAATTTAGGGAAAACTCAAGAAAAGTAGAATTGAAATTATTTAATGAATAAATTTACCTAAATATTTCAAAATTAACTGAATTTTAAAAGAGCTTCGTTTAAAATTTGCATAAACAGATGAACTTCAAACCATTTTAAAATTTGAAATTCTAGAAAATTTAAATTTTGAATTAATTTAATTAGAAATTTTAAAGAACTTAAATTTTTGAAAAATTTTAATTATTCAAATTCTCTTCTGAAATTAGTTCAATTTTTTAATATAATAATATTTAATTAATTATTAAAAATAATGGATTTATAGAAAAATTTTCGTTAAAGACACTAAAAATAATTGAATTTTGGAAAAGTTACAAATGATTGGAGAAAATCGATTATTTTCAAAAGTAATAAAATTCTTCGCAAAAATTCAATTATATTCAAAAATTTTTAAAAACTCTGGTAAAAATTTCAATTGTCTTTATAAATAATAAAATTCTTCTATGAAATTGAATTATTTTCAAAAATTTTAATAAAATTCTTGTCAAAATTTCAATTATTTTCATAAATAATAAATTTCTTCTCCGAAATTTAATTATTTTCAAAAATTTTCCTCAATTCAATGATTTTTAATATCTACTATTCTAATAAAATTTTCCCAAAAGAATTCAATTATTTAAAAGATATTTTAATAAAATTCTTTTAAACAGTAAAATCTTTGCAAAAATTCAGTTATTTACAAAAAAAATTTTACGAAAAAATTCAATTTTTTTCTAAATTCGTTATAAAAAATTTCAAAAAAATTCAATTATTTTCTAAAATTTTAATAAATTCTTCCCAAAAATTCAATTATTTTCAAAAGTATTAATTAAAATTCTTCGCAGAAATTAAATTATTTTCACAAATTTTAATAAAAATTCTTCTCACGAATTTATTAATTTTCACAAATAATACAATTTTTCACTGAAATTCAATTATTTAAAAAATTTAAATAAAATTCTTTTCAAGAATTCAATTATTTCATAAATAATATAGAAATTTTTAAAAATTCAATTATTTTCAAAACGATTTTAATAAAATTCGTCGCAAGAAGTCAATTATTTTCAAAAATAAAAAAAATTCTTTTAGGTCTTCAATTAATTTAAATAGAATTCCTTGAAAGAATTCAATTCAATTTTTAAAGAATTTTCCTAAAGAATTCAATTATTTTCAAAAATTTTAATAAAAATTGTCACAATTATTGAATTATTTCTATAAAATTAATAAAATTCTCCCTAGGAATTTAATTATTATTAATACAATTTTAATATAATTTCTCGAAATAATTCAATTATTTTTTTCATCAATGTTCAATTTTAATAAAATTCGTCGCTAGAATTCAATTATTTTCTGAAATAATAAAATTCTCGCAGGAATTCAATTAATTTGAATAGAATTTCTCTAAAGAATTCAATTATTTTTATTCAATTCAATTTTCAATGAATTGTTCGAAAGAATTCAATATTATTTTCAAAAATTAAAAAAAAAATTTTCTCACGAATTCAATTATTTTCAAAATTATTCAAATTATTCGCAGAAATTAAATTAATTAAAAAAATTTTTAATGAAATTTCTTCTCATGAAGTGAATTATTTTCACAAATAATGAAAATTTCCACTGGAATTCAATTATTTATCAAAATTTTTGTTAAATTCTTCTCAAGAATTCAATTGTTTTTATAAATAATAAAATTCTTTTAAGGAATTCAATTATTTTTAATAAAAATTTAAATAAATTCTTCGAAAAATGCCAATAGACTTAAAAATTTCCTTCTCTAAATTAAAATTAGACATAAATTTCCTGTTTTTAAAATAAAAATTTCCTTCTCTAAATTAAAATTAGACACAAATTTCCTGTTTTTTAAAATAAAAATTAAAAATTTCCTTCTCTAAATTAAAATTGAACACAAATTTTCTTTTTTTAAAATTAAAATGAGATAAAATTATAAATTTCGAATTTTCAAATTTTGTTTACGAGTTAATATTAAAAATATTCAACAATAGAATAAATTTAACTGAAAATCCTTTTTTTCTGCCACTTTTAAGGGACGAATTATTGGCACAACAACGAGCAACGAGAGAAGAAAAGAAACGTCTTCGTCGGGCACTAAAAGAATTGGAGGTGCAATTTGAAGCGAGAGCCGGTCGCCGAATGCAGAGAGAAGATCGAGGACCCCAAGTACTTATGATTTATGAGACTTATAAGCGAACGAAAGCAAAATTGCGTTTAATTGACGCCCTCGTGGCGAAAAAAGCCTGACGGAGTCTTTAAAAATTCTTGCGAACAAAGAAAATACTTTATTTCAACATTTTTCTTTCCTGGACTCATTTTTTCGTGCCCGAAAGAAAAAAAACGAAAAACAAGTAAGAATAATTATTATTTAAAAACAAATTGCAATTTTCTTTTTCGAAACAAGACAAGAAAAAAATAGTAAATGGAAAAAGATTTTCCACATCAATTTTCAAGTTCGATTAATCGAATAAAGAACGAATTTTTTAAATTTTTGTTTGGTAAATATTAATATTTTTTTTTATACTTTACATTATTTTCTGTTTGGAGTAAAACGAGTAAAATTTTTCTTATTTTTTTTCTATTTTTTAGGCGAAATAAGAGAAAATATCAAACGTTGGAATATTAATAAGAATATTATTAAGTGTTACGACCATATAAACAATAAAATTGTAACATTAATATTAGAAACTTTTTTGCGTTCTTTAAAAAGTAAAACTCAATAAGAATAAATCGAACATTCGAAAAAAGAAATTTGGCCGCTTTTTGAAATTAAAGAATAATTCTAGAATTAGGATAAAAATAAAGAAAACGAAATAAAAATTCTGCTACGTTTCCGAATTATATTCGGAAAGAAACTATGGAAATATTGAAATAATTTTCAACTTGTTATTCTAGTGATATAATTTTGTTTCGCAATTTTTACGGTGCTACCTGAAACTTAATCTAATTAACATCTCCGTTATTAATTACAATTATATTTTTTTATCCAAAAGCTAATTTTCAATTTTTCAAAAACTTTTTCTTGAAACATTCTTTCTGTAAATTAAGTTTCAAAAATTTAAACTATTAATTTCTATAATTTCTGAAATTAAGTTTAAAAAAATTAAACTATTTCTTTGAAAAGAAAAAAAAACTATTTAAATTGATTGAAACGATTTAAACGATTGAAAACAAATTTAAAAAATTTTTTCTTTAAAATAAAGAAATAACAAAAGAAAAGAAAAAAGTTTTTGAAAAAATTAATTTTTACCAAAGAAAAGTTTGTATGGAAAATAAAATTTTCATATTTTGAAAAATTATTATTTTCACTTGCGAAATTCACAACAATTTTTCTCAGTCCACAAAATAACTCGGCAATTGCACTACATTTGAAATCACTGTATAAGAAAAAGAGAGGAAAACTAATCTCAACAATCTTTTTATTCGAAAAAGATTTGAAAACTTTTTTTTTTTTTTTAAATGAACGAGAAGATGAAGTTTAGATTAAAGAAAAATGACGGAGGCAAAATGAAAATCAACAAGTTTTTGTAGACCAAAGCATTATTTAGTCTGTGATATAAAATGTGGGAGTTAAACAAAAAAAAAAAGAGAGAGACGAAGAAGAATTGTGTGAGGAAAGATTGTTAATATTTTTTTTTAATTAGCTGAATATGATTTTTTTCTTGTTTGGAAAAAATTGAATCGTTCCAGTTTTTTTTTTTTTTTTGCGAAATTGAAATTATAATTAAAAAATTTTCACCGAAATTATAATTTAGAGTCTTTCTTCGCAAAAAAATTCAATTATTTTTATATAAATAGTAAAATTCTTATCAGAATTTCATTTATTTTCAATTCCATTTTTTAATTGATTTCTTTGAAAATTTCAATTATTTTTTAAAATTTTGTAAAAATTCCCAGAAAAAATTCAATTATTTTAAAAAATAAATGAATTTTTCACAGAAAATTAAATTATTTTAAAAAATAATTGAATTTTTCACAGAAATTCAATTATTTTTTAAAAAATAATGAATTTCTTCGCAGAAATTTGATTATTTTTAAAAATTAATAAAATTCTTCAAAGAAATTTAATTATAAACAATTTTATTGATAAATTTTTTCGCAATAATTCAATTATTTTTATAAATAATAAAAATTTTTACAGGGATTCAATTATTTTTATAAATATTAAAATCCTTTTTAGAAATTCTTTGGAAAATTCAATTGTATTCAAAAGTATTAAAATTATTTGCAGAAATTCAATTATTTTCCAAAATTTTAATAAAATTCTTCTCACGAATTCAATTATTTTCACAAATAATACAATTTTTCACTGAAATTAAATTATTTAAAAAATGTCAATAAAATTCTTTGAGAAAATAAAAATTCAATTATTTTCATGAATAATAAAATTCTTCGTAGAAATTCAATTATTTTGAAAAAAAATGTCTTGAACGAATAATTCTTTAGAAAAATTTTATTAAAAATAATTGAATTGTTTCGAAGAACTTTATCTGAATTTTTAAAAATAATTTAATTTTTTAAAGAAAATTATAAATTTTGAAAGCAATTTCATCAAAATTGTTGAAAATAATTAAATTTATATTCAAATTCTGAAAAATGTAAAATTTTTTAATTTACAATATAGTGACGCGTTCCGCGCGCTGGCGCGCATATCATTTGCTCGTTGGAAATATAATTTAAAAATTAAAATCCTTTGTCAAAATTGAAATTATAATTGAAAATTTGTCATCAAAATTGAATTTTATAATTTAAAATGTTTGAAACGAATTATTTTCCGAAAATTCAAAATTTTATTTAAATTTCTTCCGAAAATGGAACTTTTAATTTTTTCCAAAAAAGTAAAAACAAAAATTCACTATGGAGGGAGAATTAAAATTTTCGATATTCAATATATCAGAAAAATAGTATTAATTAAATAAAAAAAAGAGAAATCTTTGTTTCTGGTTTATTTAGTTTTTATTGAGAAAAATGAAAAACAAGAGAAAAAAACGCCGATATTGAAGATCGACGAGAGTGCAAGAGAGAAAGAATGCGTGCGGAAGATGAAAAAAAAAATACAAAAAAAACTATATTGTCCTAGCTTTTAAGAAATTTTATATTGACGTTGCTTAAGGTACTTTTTTAGCTCGACGAAAAAAAAATGCATCAAGTTCACGCTATCAACTTTTAAATGTTATTATATTAACGAAAAAGAAAATAATAAAATTTATTTCTTAAAAAATAAGCAAAAAAAAAAAAAAACCTTCAGTGTTCTTTGGAGAGGGAATTTTTCAATGATGATGATGAGAAAAATAAAAGTCGAGTTTCTTGTCCGCGCGAATTGGAAATTATTTTTTTACCAAAAAAAAAAAATTATAAATTTCTTTTCGAAAGAAGTAAAATTCGATATTTGCGAAAAATTACCAAAACCAAAAAGAAACGAAGTTCTAAATTTAAAAATTCGGAATTTTCCAAAATTGGTAAAATTTTCCCAAAAAAATTGGTATTTTCCAATAAGAGGGTAAAAATGGTATTAATGCCAAAAAGTACTTGAAACTTTCAAGATTTAAAAATAAAAAATCGGATCTGAAAAAAATTTACGAGAAGCGAATTCGGCCGATATCGAAAAGACTGAAAAGTACCTTTAAAATTTACAAACCTAGATATGTAGGCAAAAAAAAAAATTGAACTAAAATTATAAAAAAAGTATTTTTTCTATAAAATTCGAATAATTGAATAATTGAATAATTGAACAATTGGAAAAACGAAAAATCGTGGACGAGGAGCTTGATTAAAAAAACGATAATAAAAATCAGATCTACAATTCGTTATTACATATCTAGAGTTGAAAAAAACTCGGGAGATTATTTAAAAAAAAAATAGCGATCGTCGATTAAAATGTGACAAAAAAAATTTGATATAGAATTAATTATTATATTATAAATATAAATATGAATATAAAAAAAAATAAATATGAATATAAATATAAATAATAACAATAACAATAATATTAAGCTAATTATTAATTAGTATATTAAAAAAAATGGATGATTAACTATAATATAGAATGCAGTAGCGTTCCTGTCCATTATTGAGTGTTAATGTGCAGATATATTATATAAAAGAATTGATATATATAAATATATATGTATATTAAAGAGAAAAAGATCTACGCGTCAAAATGAATATGAATATGAATATGAACAAGATTGAAGAAAAAATGTGGGGAGAATAGAAAATACGGTGGGAAAAAAAAGTAATTCTTCGACGTTTATACGCATGTTGAATATATGTAATAAAAAAAAATTCATTATTATTATTATAATAAATTAAGTCATGTGCCGACGTTTCAAATTACATGTATACATTAATAGAGTAGAAAGTCGGATCAATAAAAATTTAAACTGAAAGGAAAAAAATTGTTATCATTTTTTGTATTTTTTAGTTTCTATTTTATTTTTGGTTCTCCCGAAATACACAATATTTCAATTTTTCTTTTTCAAAATAAAACTATTATAAAATTAAATTTTTTAAATATTAATATTACAAATATTAATTAATTATGTATAATTAAATTTGTCCCAAAAAGTAAAATTTTGAAGGAATAATTCTTTGGAAGAAATTAATTATTTTATAAAAATTTTAATAAAATAAAATTTCTCGACAGAATTCAATTGTTTTTTTATAAAATCTAAAAACAATTTTCGCAAAAATTCAATTATTATCGAATATTTTGATAAAATTGATGAGAATTCAATTATTTTCGAATATTTTGATAAAATTGATGAGAATTCAATTATTTTCGAATATTTTGATAAAATTGATGAGAATTCAATTATTTTCGAAAATTTTGATAAAATTGATGAGAATTCAATTATTTTCGAAAATTTTGATAAAATTGAGTTATTAGAATTCAATTATTTTCAATTTTCAATGTAGAATTTTATTAAAATGCTTAAAAATAATTTAATCCTAGCGAAAAATTAAATTAAAATTAATAATATTAAAAATAAATTTACTGGTTTGGGATAATTTTATTAAAATTTTCAAAAATAATTGATTTCTTTAAAAAAAAGTCTTGAAAACCTGTATTAAAAATAATTGAATTCCTCGAAAGAATTTTATTATTATTATTATGTAAATAATTCAATTATTGTGACCAGTTTTATTAAAAATTTCGAAAATAATTGAATTTTATTCTTTCGAAGAATTAATTAAAAATTGAATTAAATAAAAATAATTCAATTCTTTCGAGAAATTATATATTGAGAATAATTAAATTCTTGGAAATTTAATTAAAATTAAATTGAAAATATTTGAATTAGAATTTTATTTGAATCTTTAAAAATAATTGAATTCCTTCGAGAAGTTGATTGAAAATAATTGAATTCCCACAAAGAATATAATTCAATTATTGCGACAAAAATTTGTTATAAAATTTTTAAATTCTTTTAAAGAATTCGTTAAAAAATTAAATGAATGAAAGTAAATTGAATTCTCAAAAATACTTATATTATTTATCAAATAATTGAATTCGTGAGAAGAATTTTATTAATTTTGTAGAAATAATTCAATTATTGTGACAAATTTTAATAAAAAGTTTGAATATAATTGAATTCTTTTCTGAAGTTTAAATTGTATTGAAAATAATTAAATTCTTTCGAAGACTTCTTGAAAAATTGAATTGAATATAAGAAATTAAAAATAATTGAATTATTTCCGGGTTTTCTTCTCAAAATAATTGAATTATTACGAGAATTTTTTTATTTATTAAAAATAATTCAATTCTTGAGACGAAATTTTATTAAAATTGTTTAAAAAAATTCAATTCAATTCTTTTCTTTTGAGAAATTTTATTAAAAATAATTAAATTTCTAAAAGAAATGTTTTTATTTATTGAAATTTTTATCAAAATAATTGGATTTTTTAAAGAATTTTTTTTTATTTTCTAAATTCAACATAAATAATTGAATTCTTTCAAGAAATTTTATTCAAAATAATTGAATTTTCGAAAGAATTTTTCTTATTTTCTAAAAGTAATTGAATTGAACAAAAATAATTGAATTCTTTCCCGAAATTTTAATAAAATTCTATTGAAAATAATTCAATTCGTTAAAAATTTAATTAAATAAAAATAATTGAATTCTTTCCCCATATTCTATTCAAAATAATTGAATTTTTAAAAGAATTTTTTTTATTTTCTAAAAGTTATTGAATTGAAAAAATAATGAATAATTGTTTCCATAAATTTTATTCAAAATAATTGAATTTTTCTTATTTTCTAAAAGTAATTGAATTGATTAAAAATAATCCCGATATTCTTTTCAAAATAATTGAGTTTTTTTTTATTTTCTAATTTTAAAAAAAATAATTGAATTCTTTCAAGAAATTTTATTCAACATAATTGAATTTCTACGAAGAATTTTTTTTAATTCTCTAAAAGTAATTGAATTGAACAAAATTAATTGAATTCTTTTTCAAAATAATTGAATTTTTGAAAGAATTTTTTTTTTTATTTTACTAAAAGTAATTGAATTCAACAAAAATGATTGAATTCTTACGAGAAATTTTATTCAAAATAATTGAATTTCCACGATGAATTTTTTTTTTATGCTCTAAAACTAATTGAATTGAACAAAAATAATTGAATTCTTTCCCGATATTTTTTTGCAAAATAATTGCGTTCTTTTGAGAAATTTTATTAAAAACAATTGAATTACTTATGAAAATAATTGAATTTTTGAAACTAATTAATAATAATAATTAATTAGTTAATTTAGTTAATAGGTGGATTTTTAAAAGATTTTGAATCGGAAATTAAAAGTTAATATTTTAAGAAAAATTTCTAATTTGCCTAATAATAATAATAATTTAATAAGAATAAAAAAATTGCTTGCCTCTGGCGCTTCTTTTATTTACGATAGAAATAAATAACATGAAATATGCATCTTAAAATACAATATTATATAAAAATATTACATATGCTAATACTTAGAAGTACTTTTAAAAATTAATAGTCTACAGAGTCTTTAAATCACTTTTTTTTTTAAACTTTTAGTCTTCAAAATTCCGCAATTAAAAATCAATTTCGAAATTTAACTGAAAATCAATTTCTAAATTTAGTTGAAAATCCATTTCTAAATTTCGTTAGAAATCAATTTCAAAATTTCCATTGAAAATCAGTTTCGAAATTTCACTGAAAATCAATTTATAAATTTCGTTAAAAATCGATTTCCAAGTTTAATAAAAAACCAAGTTCTAAATTAAATTGAATTAATCGAAATTTTGAAATTGCACTGAAAATCAATTTCTAAATTTTGTTTAAAGAAAATTTCTAAATTTCCTTAAAAATCAATTCGTTAAAAATCGATTTCCATGTTTAATAAAAAAAACCAAGTTCTGAATTAAATTGAACCAATCGATTCTCACCAATTGAATTCCGTTAAATTTGGCTTAATGTCCACTTCCTCACCATCGTCTCCCGTCACTGTTTCACTATTATTATCAGTCAAATAATTCTCCTCCGTCTTAACGAACAGAGTATTCGAAGTAATCGTCAATTTTTCCACCACTTCCTGCTTAGTCGAATGCACGCTAATGTGTTTATAAAAATTCGACGTATTCCATCGAGTTCCGTTCCTCCGTATTTTCGTCAATTTCCGACACTTGGGGAAAGGACAATTCAACAGAGCGATATGCAAACCATTGCAGTCCACCGTGACTTTAGACGAAATCTGCGGTAAACCGTGATAGGCATAATTCTCCTGCACGTAATTATTGACATTTCGGTCCAATATTGTTTTCATGTCACTGAGAGAGTGAACGGTTTCTTTTTCTGTTGTTGCTTTATTGACAACTGTCGGCGAAGAGGTTGAGGATGAACCGGAACATGCACTGGTGGAAACAGAGTCTTTTGATCTTTTATTTTTCGCCACAAGTTTCTTCACTGTGCTGACAATTTCCCATATTGCCTGCTCGAGACCGCCGACGAATATAAATTTCTCCGGGTGATCCTTGAAGATTCCGTAATATTTTTCGCGATCTTCTTTCTTTATTATTTCGTGTAATGTGTTTTGCATGAAGTGTTCGATTTTTTTCTGATCGACTTGCGTGAATCTTTCGAGGGCGAAGAAATTGTCGTATTTCGTCGCTTTTAGAATTAATTTTAGATCGTCGGGGATGAATACTGTATCTTCTTGTAAAACGCTCCATATATCCATTTTCTGCAAGAAATAAAAATCTAATTAATTACAAGCTTTACTCGATAATTAATTAATTATTATTTTTATACAATTATTATATTTTTTATACAATTAAATTATTTCTCGAAAGAATTCAATTATTCTGTTCAACAATTTTAATAAAATTTGTCGCAAGAATTCAATTATTTTCATAAATAATAAAATTCTTTGTAGAAATTCAATTATTTTCAATAACTTTGATTATTTTCGTAAATAATAAAATTCTTCGTAGAAATTCAATTAATTTGAATAAAATATCTCGAAAAAATCAATTATTTTTACTAAATTCAATTTTTATAACATTCTTTCAAAGAATTCAATTATTTCTTAAACAAATTTAATAACATTTGTCATAGGAATTCATAAATAACAAAATTCTCGTAGGAATTCAATTATTTTCATAAATACTAAAATTCTTCGCAGAAATTCAATTATTTTTAAAAATAACAAAATTCTGGTAGGAATTCAGTTATTTTTAATTATTTCTATTCAATTCAATGTTCAAAGCATTTTTCGAAAGAATTCAATTATTTTCAATACAATTTTTTACAATTTTGGAAAAGAAATGAAATATTTTGAAAATTTTTTTTAATATGTCGCAATAATTGAATAATTTTGACAAAATAATAAATTAAATTCTTCTCAGGAATTCAATTATTTTAATAAATATTAAAATTCTATGTATAACAATTCCATTAATTTGAATAAAATTTCTCGAAAAAATTCAATTATTTTTATATAATTCAATTTTTATAAAATTCCTCGAAAGAATTCAATCAATTTCTAGAATTTCAATAATATTTCACAAAATAATTCGATTACTTTTTTTTAAAACAATTTTAGTAAAATTCGTTGCAAGAATTCAATTATTTTTATAAATAAAAAAATTCTTCGTAGCAATTCAATTATTTCTCGAAAGAATTCAATTATTCTGTTCAACAATTTTAATAAAATTTGTCGCAAAAATTCAATTATTTTCAATAAACTTTGATTATTTTCGTAAATAATAAAATTCTTCGTAGAAATTAAATTAATTTGAATGAAATATCTCGATAAAAATCAATTATTTTTACTAAATTCAATTTTTATAACATTTTTCCAAAGAATTCAATTATTTTTTAAAAAATTTTAATTAAATTCGTCGCAAGAATTCAATTCAATTTTGGAAAAAAAATTAATTATTTTCAAAATTTTTTTAAAAATTTGTCGCAATAATTGAATAATTTTTACAAAATAATAAAATTCTTCTCAGGAATTCAATTATTTTTATTTAATTCAATTTTTATAAAATTCGTCGCAAGAATTCAATTATTTTCAACAAAATTTTTCAATATAATTCCAATTATTTTTATTTAATTTAATATTCATTAGAATTCTTTAAAAGAATTCAATTATTTTTAATACAATTTTAATAAATTTCGTCTTATGAATTCAATTTATTTTTGAGCAATTCAATTTTTTTTATAGAATTCTTTGAAGCAATTCAATTATTTTATCAGCAATTTTAATAAAATTCGACGTATGAATTCAATTATTTAATTATTTCCAATGAAATTCTACTAAAATTTTGTGAAACAATTCGATTATTTTAAAAAAATGTTATTAAAATTCTATAGAAGAATAAAATTATAAAAAATGATAATCATTTTATTTTAAACTAAAAATTTAAATATTATTACAGTTTTAAAACTGTATTATCTAAAATAAAATATTATTTATCTAAAATTTTAACTAAAATTCAATTTTAAATCAATTCTTATTAGAAAGTTCTATAAAAATTCAAATATTTTAAATTTTTGAATGCAAAAATAAATTTATTGAATAATTGAATATTTCTTAGAGAAAAATAAAAAATTGTATCAACAATGTTTGTTAAATTTGTTAAACAATTTTATTCAAATTGTATCATAATAATAATTTAATTTTTTCCAATGAATTTGATAATTTACGAAAATAATTGAATTCTAGTGACGAATTTTATTAAAATTTTTTGAATTCTTTGGGAAATTTTATTATAAAAAATAATTAAATTCTTGGAAATGTTATTAAAATTTTTATTGAGAATGTTTGAATTCCTATAATTTTATAAAAATTGTTGAAAAGAATAATTGAATTGTTTCGAAGGATTTTAATTAAATTTTTGACAAAAATAATTGAATTTCGAAGAATTTTATTTGAAAAATTGAATAGAAATAATCGTTTGAAAGAATTTTATTAAAATTTGTTGAATTGTTTCCACTTGTTTCTAAGAATTTTATTCATTTTATTTAAATTTTTGGTTTAAGGTTATGTTAGAGAGTAAAAAAAATCGTAAAAAATATACCTGAATTATTTTCCGATGCCGAACGATGTGAATTTATATTTTTTTCTCTGAGTCGAGGAGAATGATCCGCCTTGTAGAATTACATAAACAATTTTAGCTTCTCCGACATTGTAAATTCACAACATTCTTTGAAATTTTTTCTGTATTTTTTAAAAATACATTTCTGTCATATTTGTGAAAAGAACCATTTAATTTCGTTTAATTTCCAAATGACGAAATTTTAAGTAACTGGAATTAATTTCAAATGGTTAATAAGACAGTGCACATGGTAATTACTCTAAAAAATTTGTGTTTTATTTTGCTTTTTTACTTATTTATCATTTTCAAACTTTCAAAGAGCATATTTTTACTTTCGTAGGTATTTCTTTCAAATACTCTTCTTTTCTTACAAATCTTATTGTCGTCAATATTTCGATACCTCCATGTATTACAATCCTATCTTACGGTGAAGGTTAATACAGTCCTATCTTGCGGTAACGTTTTATACAGTTCTATCTTGAAGTGACGGTTTATACCATTCTATCTCAAAATTTTCAATTTTTCAGTTTTTTGCTAAAATTATAGAAGAAAATATTCTGTATTAGATGGTAACACCTAAAATAGTTATATTAATTAGGATATTTATAAAAAACAGTAATTAGAAATAATAACAAGTTTTATCTTCCAAGTAAAAGTGTTCTATCTTTCTTTTGTTTTTGTATCTGTCAAAAAAAATATACACATGTGATTCGTATAATCGTGTTAGAAAAGCAAAAAAGAACAAAAGGTAGAAAATGGATATCCCTTTGGATTTAAGTATGCCATCAGGAAAAAATTCTTTACTGAATAATAATAAAAATATATAAATTTATAAAGTGATTATTTTATCTGTTAATTTTGCTTTATTTTAACTTTTCTTACACCAGGAGAGACTTGTTCTGACGTAGAAATTGAGATCATTCGAATTCAGACTCGGATTGACTATTTTGACTAATATTACAGATACTTTTATTATTATAATTATATTGTAATTTATAATCTTGTTATCGTTTGTGAAATATATAATAAAATACTAGTATAATATAATCCTTGAAACATACTTATAAATTCTATATTGGAGTGACGTTTTCAACGTTTATTACAGTAAAATAATGTAGATTTTTAAATTATTTTATTATTATTCTATTTGTATTCTCACTTGTGTAAAAATTTTCTACAATCAAAACCTCGTTTACTTACTTATTTAAATATTTGTATCTATACTTAAAACTCATAAAAATGATACGTTTATTTTAACTAATAATAATTGATAATTAAAATTAAACAAGAAAACTAACAACATTATTTTTATCATTCCACTATCCCGTGAAATATTAACCTGTCATAAAATTAGGTTAATTAACCTTTGTAGAAGTATTAAGAATGCATTTTCTTGGCTTGATTTTATATAATTGTGTTTTATTTATGTATATTATGATAGAAAAATCTTTAAAGAATTACATAAAAATTATCTTATGAATATCAAACTGTCATTAATATTTTTAATATGGAATTTACTTTTAATTTGGCTCTTACGCAAAATTGGAAAATTTGAGATAGAATGGTATAAAGCGTTACTTCAAGATAGAACTGTATAGAACGTTACCGCAAGATAGGACTGTATTAACCTTCACCATAAGATAGGATTGTAATACATGGAGGTATCGATTTAATGAATATTCTCTTTTAAATTAAATTATTAATTATAATTAATAAAGAAAAAGGTAAAATGTAATTACACTGTAAAAAAGGATTTTTTGAGAATTTACTAATGAAATTGTAAGGTTACAAGGATTCTGTAAATTGACAACGTTAGACGTAGTTTGAAAGCAAACCATGTTTAATAATGCGACGTCTAACGTTGCATTTTTACAAAAAATTTGTAAGGTTACAACGTTGGACGTAGGACATATTTCGAGTCACGTCAGACGTTGTTTTCTTACAACGTCTGACGTGACTCGAAATATGTCCTACGTTCAACGTTATAACCTTACAAATTTTTTGTAAAATTGCACACTGTAAAAAAGCCCAATGTAAATTTACAACGTGTAACGTTGGAAACTTTTCGCTTCACGTATGACGTAGTACTATTACAGCCCAAATGTTAACTTACTTACCGTTCGTAACATAACCTCTCTTATGTGATTTCGCATCAAATTGTAAATCGACCACTCGTCGGTAATTTTACATAATAATTTCGCTGCATTTTAAAATTATTCTTTTTTATATTTATTTTGTATTACATAAAGGTTAAATTATAAAAAGGAAATAAAGGAAAAATGTAAGAAATAAATAAATATATTAAATATTTATAATATACAAATCACATTTGTAGCTTTTTTGTCATTTGTACAAAGTTAACGAATTCCCCAACAGAACAGGAAAAACAGATACTTTTTCCACTTTAATTTTAAAAAAATACGAGCTGCTTAAGCAATAGAGTCCATGAAGATATTCTGAAAAATTTTTTTATGTTTGAAAATTATTTTCATACAGAAAATTCACACAGTTGAATAAAATTTTTTAAGTATAAAAAATCATTAAAAACGTGTCTCTTTTTAGGTTAAAAGACATTACCTTATTAACTTTGATATATATGAAAAATTAAAAAGAAATCTTTCAAATTTAAGAAATGAAAAATGTTAAGAATTTGAACTTACCTTTACAAATTTCCTTTAATCTTTAAATTCTTAAAATTGTCGAAATTTTAATAAATTAAAATTAAAATATTAACGTTTGCCTATGCGCATAGTTTCTTATATGCCACTTCATCGTCACGCAGTGTAGAAAAACATTCGGGCAAAAAATATCATATTCGAATGTATACTTACAGACAGCTACATAATTCTACATACTGTCGGTAAAACTATCAGCTGTAAGTTACTTAACACACGAAAATATTTTTACGGTTGGGTTGCTAACATACAACGTTATACGTGAAGCGAAAAGTTTCCAATGTATCACGTACGGAAGCGCCTATACGCCACTGTAACCGAATCCCGTATGTGTGCATAAAGTAAGGTACAAATACAAGAATTGCGTGCGAGGGACCCCCTTAGGCTAGCTGAAATTCCCTAGAATAGAATTAATTGCGAGCGAGCCTACCCCTTAGGCTAGCTGAAATTCGTTAAAATTAAACGACTGTGTGAAAAGGAGGTTATGTTTTCTTTCCTGAAACATTAATTAAAATTAATTTTTTTAAACATTTCTTTTTCACAAATTGAAAAAAAGAAATCTTGTGAGGTAATAAGTTAAATTTATTTGGAAAAAAAGTAAAATAATTTTGAAGTTAAATTGATAATGTGTCTACAATTATTCTGATCCATTTTACAAAAAGAAAATTAGTTGTGTTATTTATGGGAAATTTTAAACATGAAATATTTATATTTTTTTAATATATACATACAAATATGTAAGTTAAAACAAAATCGAATTTTAAAAAACAGACCATTGTAGAAACTATTTAATAAGAGTTGAAAAATTATTAATAAATTAATTAAACATAACTTTTTTACAGAGCTAACAATTATCAATTTAACCTCAAAATTATTTTACTTTTTTCCAAATAAATTTAACTTATTACCTCACAAGATTTCTTTTTTTCAATTTGTGAAAAAGAAATGTTTAAAAAAATTAATTTTAATTAATGTTTCAGGAAAGAAAACATAACCTCCTTTTCACACAGTCGTTTAATTTTAACGAATTTTAGCTAGCCTAAGGGGTAGGCTCGCTCGCAATTAATTCTATTCTAGGGAATTTCAGCTAGCCTAAGGGGGTCCCTCGCACGCAATTCTTGTATTTGTACCTTACTTTATGCACACATACGCGATTCGGTTACAGTGGCGTATAGGCGCTTCCGTAATCACGAAATGATTAAACATTCGGGATGTACATTTACTAACGCGTGACACATTTACAACGATAAGCGTAATAATTTTACTTTTTAATTGTGAAAATACTATATGGGTGTTAAATTATTACGTGTACCGTAGTAAAATTACAAACTGGAAAATTTAAAATTAACGACCCGATTGTAATTCAACATTGGTCTTTTTTACAGTGCAACGTTAGACGTCGCATTATTAAACATGGTTTGCTCTCAAACTACGTCTAACGTTGTCAATTTACAGAATCCTTGTAACCTTACAATTTCATTAGTAAATTCTCAAAAAATCCTTTTTTACAGTGTATGTAAAAACGGTAAAAACCGTAAAAGCAAAGGAATATTGCAAAAATTTAGAGGTTATGTTTGGCTCGATTTATAATTCTGTAAAAATTCAGTTTCAAAAATCAGTTCTCGTAAAAAACTGTGGTAGGAAAAATAGCAAAATAGTTCAAATAACCTTATTTTTGCAGTAAAGTGGTCTTATTTATTTTTTTAATGGTATATATCGATAAATATAAATTTACGAATGTTGTCAATATGTCAATTATGAATGATTATGAAAACCAACCTGTTTTTGCGCACCTTTACATTAAAGGCAACAATAATCAACAATTCAAGACGTTTCGAGTAATTAAACCAGTTTTTCGTTTACCGATAAAATCGTCTTTAAAAACGAATGAAAAAGGTGAGTGAAATTTAATTACTTTCCTCGTAATTACTGCTCGCTCGGGTAACTGTGAATGTAAACATTTTATCGCGTCCCCTCGAGGACGAAAGACGAACTAAAAATCTTAATGAATCAAAACCCACGAACTTTTGAATAAAATATTCGTTTTTCGATACAATTTTTATTTTTTATGTTATTTCTTTATTTTTCAAAAAAGGACAATTTGGAAAAGTTTTTCGATTATTATCTTTTATTATAAAGAAGCTTGTTTGAGTTGCCATTGAAACATTTGAATTTGACGCAAAAGGCCAGTGAGTCGTGTTCCCGTCGACGGTTCACGTTGATAATTGACAAAATTATTGAGACGATTTTTTTTCCCTTGCAATTTCGGTGACAAGTAGGCGCGAATCATTGGATTGTGAGCGTAATTTATTATTGGATTTTGATTAGACAAATCCGACGACATGCAAACGAAACTGTTTTTCTCCGACATTCTTTTCATTTGCTTCTTTAGAGACATTACCTTGAAAGGGAAATTTTTTATAAATTATAAAACTCTGAATTTATTATTAAAATTGCTATAATTAAATCATTATTAAAATTAGTAATTAAATTATTATTAAAATTACTAATAAAATTATTAATAAAATTATTATTAAAATTAGTAATTAAATTATTATTAAAATTACTAATAAAATTACTATTGAAATTACTAATATAATAAAATTACTTTTGAAATTATTAAAATTACTATTGAAATTATTAAAATTACTAAGAAAATTATTATTGAAATTATTAAAATTAATATTAAAATTACTAATGAAATTATTAAAATTAGTAATAAAATTACTACATATTGAAATTTTTAAAATTGCTAATAAAATTACTTTTAAAATTATTAAAATTACTAATTGAATTACTATTGAAATTATTAAAATTACTAATTAAATTACTTTTGAAATTATTAAAATTACTAATTAAATTACTATTGAAATTATTTAAAATTAATATTAAAATTACAAAATTATTATTAAAATAACTAATAATATTTTTTATGATTCTGAAATTACTTCTTTATAGAGACCAATAACGGCATTAATTTCCTCTTCCTTTTCGACGAGATCGACTTCCAATTTTTCTATTTCTTTCGCCAATGTCTTGTCCTTACATTTTTCCGACTTTTCTTGCAATTTTTCGTATTTTCTGCAAAAATTAAAAAATTTCTATTCACTTTTTTCTTTATTCATTTACCTTTATCTAATTTTTTTTCAAATTAAACAGTAAATAAATTTAGTGTAGAAAATAAATTATAATTACGAATTCATTTCTTCGAATTGATCGTGAAGTTTTATTAAGACTTCTCGATTTCCTTTTTCGTTATTCGCTTCTGATTTGATTCGATTATTCTCTTCAACATTCAATTCCATCTAAAAATTTCCAAAAATATAGTAAAATTATATTGAAATTGAAATTATATTAAAATTAAAATTACATTAAAATTAAAATTATATTATTAAAATGAAATGATATTATTTTTTGACTGAATTGTAGCAAAAAAACCTCTTTATCTTCAAAAAGTGTTTCACAAATGTTTCTGTTAAAATTCTGATGCAGCGAATTCGGCATTTTATTTGACGAAGAGATTTTCGATGTTTTGCAATTTAACGTCGAATTTTTCTTCAATGGCAAATTAACGAAATTCAAACCCAATTGTCCGCTAACTTCGTTTGACGAATTGGGCCTATTTCCCAGACTCATTTTGCGAATCAACATCGACGAGACTCCTTGCGGCCTCGCTTGTTTGCTCTTCATTATACTCAAGACCTGTTAATCAAGAAATTTTATTTATTATTAATAATTAATTAATTAATAATAATCTATATATTAATAATCGTTGTATTCCGCTAATCTGATCGCAGTTTGTTTTTTTGTTTCCCAACTTTTTAAATGTTTTCAATTTTAAAATTAATGTACTGAAAATTATTTAATTCTTGCAAAGTATTTTACAAAAAAATTTGAAAATAATTGAATTAATTTCAAGATTTTATCAACATTTTTTTTAATAATTGAATTCTTTCAAGAAAATGTAATTTAAATTGTATTGAAAATAATTTAATTCTTGGCAAGATTTTTTTTTAAATAATTGAATATTGTTTAGAATTTATTTCAATATTCTTAAAAAAAGTGCAGTTTTTTAAAAATAATTTTTACTGAAAATTTAGAAAGTAATTGAATTTTATGAAGAATTCAATTATTATCAATAATTGTAATAAAATTCTTTGCAAAAAGTCAACTTATAAATAATAAAAATCTTCCTAATAAAATTCAATTATTTTTATATAAATAATAAAATTCTTATCAGGATTTCACTTATTTTCAATTCCATTTTTAATTAATTTCTTCGAAACTTTCAATTATTTTCAAAAATCTTGTAATAATTCTCCAAGAAAATTTAATTATTTTAAAAAATATTTGAATTTTTCACAGGAGTTCAATTATTTAAAAAACTTTTAATAAAAACTAATTCAAGAATACAATTATTTTTAAAAATGAAATTTTCGCTGCAATTCAATTATTTTAAATACAATTGAATCAATAATTGAATCTGTTAAAGAAATTTTATTAAAATTATCTTGAATATAATTGAATTTTTATTTTTTTTCCTATAGAAATTTTATTAAAATTTTATTGAAAATAATTGAGTTCCTTCAAAACATTTTATTATTTATGAAAATAATTGAAATTTCTGTGAAGAAATTTATTAAAATTGTTTTGAAAATAATTTAATTCCTGAGAAGAATTTTATTTTTTTTAGAATTTTATTTGAATCATTTAAAATAATTGAATTCCTACAAAGAATAATTCAATTCTTTCCAGGAATTTTGTTTCAATTGTATTAATAATAATTGAATTTTCCAAAGAATTTTTAATTAAAATTTTATCTCATAATAATTTAATTTCTCAGAAGACTTTTATTATTTACAAAAATAATTGAATTTCTTATCAGAATTTGTTGAAAATAATTGAATTTTGTATTAAAACTCTTAAAAATAATTTAATTTAAATAATAGGTATTTTAAAAAATAATTCTATTCTTTGGAGAAATTTTATTAAAATTGTATTGAAAATAATTTAATTTCTCTGAAAAATTGTATTATTTATGAAAATAATTGAATTCCTTTGAAGAATTTTATTATTTATAAAAATATTTTAATTCTTGAGAAGAATTTTCGTATGTATGCGAAAATAATTGAATTCTTGCAGAGGATTTTACAATTTATAAAAATAATTGAATTGTTTCGAAGAATTTTATCCGAATTTTTGTAAGGAATTTTATTGAAAATTTTGAAAATGATTTTTTTAAAAATTTTATCAAAATTGTTGAAAATAATTGAATTTATATCAAAATACATGAAAATAATCGAATTTAATTAATATTTTTAAAAATAATTGTATTCTTTCGAGAAATTTTATTAAAATTGCATTGAAAATGATTGAATTCTTGTGAAGAATTTTTTTATTAATATGAGAATAATAAATAAAATTCTTGCGAAAAATTTTATTAAAATTTTTATATAATAATAAACAAGAATTTTTAATGTTATGTACTTAATAAGTGAATATTCGTTAATTTTTATAATACTAAATAAAATTTTAATTTAATACTTAAATTATTAAATTTAATTTTCTAATTATAAAAAAAAGAAGGAAAGAGAAAGAAATGATTGAATTTAATTTAATATTTATTACCGTACTTGTTGAATATTGAGTCCTAAATTATGGCTCGGTGTAATTGAAGTGCCAACTGTAAATGGAATATTCCGAAAATTGAATCTATTGTAATAAGATCTTGGAACTCTCTTTAATTTCGACGCAACTGTTGGTTGCTCATAATTTCTCATTAAAATTGGATCATTAAATTTATTCCCTGGATATGAGTGTAAATATTTCACTTCATTTTCGCCCAAAACATTTTCAGTCCTCGATCCATCGTCGCATCTGAAATATCAATTTTCTGTTAAATATTATCTCTTTCTTAATTTTTGTCTTTTAAATATATTTTCTATTTTTTTCTTATTCTCATTTTTTGTTTATTAAATTAAATTTAAAAATTTAATTAAAAAAACTTTATGTTAAATTTATCCGAATAAAATTTTTAAACAAATTAAATAGAATTTAATTAAAGGAAAATTTAATAAAAAAAATAAATAATACGTTAATTTTTCTTTAGTCACTACGTCGACGATTGGCAATAATTTTTCCTTGGAGGGAATTTTCACTTTTTGATCCGTAATTGAAAATTTTTTCATATTTCTGGGCGAAATTTCGTGAATTGATTCCTCATTAAAATGGGGATTCATTCGTGAATGTTTGCTTGACACGACGGACATACTTCCGGTTTTCAATGCCATATTGTGATAAATTTCCACTAGATCATTGAAATTCTCCTCGATTTTTCCCTTCGAATTTTTTACACTCGAACTGCGAACTTTCGATATTAAACTCAATTGTAATATCTTTAAATCCAATACAATTTTTTTAAACATAGAATTCAAAATTCAAACACTGAACTCAAAAAAAAATTTATTTAAATAAAAGAAATAAAAAATTGTTACCATTTTTTGAAAATTTCTCTTTTCGTCGTTTTCGCTCCTTCTTCACGCCACTAACCAAATTATTCGACTCGAATTTTGTCGCAATTGTACTCTTCGAATTGAAACTTCGCAATTTTTCTTTTTTCTTCTTATTACCAATGGCAATTGTCACTGCACTTTCGTTAATTTTCTCACTTAATTTCCTGTTATTTATCATTATCGACTTTTGACAATTTCTATTCTTTTGCGCTTTTCTCTCAAATTTTCTAATATTGTTATTATTACTGTTTGTTTTTTTGCTGTTTCTTTTATACAATTTTCCATTATCTCTATTTTCACTACCGTCGATGCTCTGGCAGAAATTTAGATACAATTCATTCCTTAGTAAATTATTTTCATTGAAATTTGTTTCATCGAATAATTCAGAATTTATCGAAGTTTCGTCCGTTGGTATTTTATTCCCTTCGTTTACTTTTTCATTTTCCTCGGTATTTATTTTTGGATTTTTTATTCTTGCGATTGGAGAATTTTCCTTGAGAATATTTTCCTTATTTTTGTTTATTACTTGAATTTCTTCTCCGAGAAAATTTGTTTTATTTTCCTCCTTTATTCCGTTTACAATTTTACTTTCGTCTTTTATTTTAATTTCAATTTTCATTTTTCTTTCGTCACTGGTTTCATTTTCTACTGTTTGATTCACAATTTTCTCGGTAATTTCAAATTTTTCCGTTGACTCTTCATTGTTTTTTAAAATCTCTAAAAAAATGAAAATAAATTAAAAAATTGAAAAGAAACGAATAAAAAGAAATTAACAAAATTGTAAAGAAAAAAATAAATTTTAAAATAATGGAAATTTTAAAGAAATTCCAAAATAATTTTTTAATGAGATAATTTTTTGTAAGTACCTTTTATATCAGTTCCAACGGTTCTTGTTGAAAGTGAACATGTTTTTCTATCGTAATTCCAATCGCCGGATATTTTTCGCAAAGAATTTAATTCACCGTCAGAATTTATTTTCTCCTCCTTGGCGATTTTTACATTTTTTGTTTCTAGTTCTTGAGATAATGAAGTTCTGAGACTTTTTCTCGAATTCGTTCGCTCGCTTTCGGCTTTAGGAGAAAATAAGGTTTCAATTTTAATTGCTAATTAAATTAAATTAAAATTAAAATTCAGTTTAAAAATAAAATTTAAAATTATAAAATTAAAATTAAAATTAAAACCAAATTCCAACTAAAATTAAAACTAAAACGAAAATTCAAACTAAAATTAAAAGTAAAACTAAATAAAAAAATTGAAACGAATAAAATTAAAGCAAAAACTGAATTTACAATTAAAACTAAAATTAAAATTAAAACTAAAAAAAATTAAAACGAATAAAATTTAAACTAAAATGAAAATTAGAACAAATATTAAAACTAAAACTAAACATTAAATTTAAATTAAAACGAAATAAATTCTAATTACCAATAGTTTCATCGATCTTTAAATTCCATCGATTAATTTCGTTTTCAAATTGTCGAAAATGTAAATTTTGTTGATTCAAAAATTCCCGATAATCCTTTGACGGTGAATTTTTCCCATTTTCCAAATAATCCTCACGAGTAATTGGAAAAATTAATTCCTCATTATCAAAACAATAATCCGACTGCGTCTCAATTAATTCCGAGGGAATTCCTTGATTATAAAGCAATTTCATTAAACCCAATTGTGTCTTTATTTTTTTACACTCCGACTCTGACATTTCCAATTGTTCGCCGAGTTCTACAAAAAATTATTTATCCCGAAAGTTATTTTTTTATTTTTACAGTAAAAATAAAAATTTCCAAAACAATATTTTTATTTAGAAAAAAAAATTTAATTTCAAACTATTATAAATTTTTATACCATTAATCCGTGTTTTTGTATCCATTTCTCACGAGTCACTAATAAAAAAACAGAAATGACAGTTGGAGAATTTTAGTAAACTTTTTTCATTGTATTTTTTAAACACCGAGAGTGAAATACGAAAAAATTAATAACGAATTTTAACGAGAATCACGAAATCGAAATTTTAAAATTGTAAAGAAAGAAGCACGACGCGAATTAAAAATTAAAAACGTTAAAAAACCCTTGAAAACGAAAATATGCACCAAAAAGAATTCGTAGGTTAGTCTATTTTTTATTATTAAGTTATTAACTCGGTTTTTCGATGTTTCGGTTCGAATTTCATTTGTCAATTTGCATTTAACAAATAACTGTCAAAACTGATACTTTGAAAATTATTAATTTAACTGAAACTTGTAATTAAAAATAATGTTTATTTACTCGATAAATGCTAAAGAACGAATGTTTGTTTATTTCTTTATTTCCTCTCGAGAATCTCCTGTAAACAAATACTTCCGGTTTTCACTCTTTAAATCGTTTTTTAATTTCGCGCGCGAAAAAGTCTCGAGAGAGAAAATTGCCCATTGTGGACGTAGCTTTATATACTTTCTTTCATTTTTTGCGTTTTGGATTCTACGAGGATTTGGAAATTGGATTTTGATTTTTTATTTTGGACTTGGATTTTGGGAAAGTACCGGAAATATAATTGAAATAATTGAAATTAACTCCGGGAAAAGTTTTAACAACGTGAAATAGGGGAGGAAATTGTCTTCTTTACCGACCGACAAAGGCGGCAAATTTAAAAATAAAATTTCCATTTATCACTTTACAAAAAGAATATTATTAAAAAAAATTACTGGAAAATTAAAATTTTAATTTTTAATTTCCAACTATCACTAAACAGTTGGTTTGCGATGAAAATAAAAGTTGAGAAAATAAAAGAAAATAAAGAAATAAAGTTCCCGGCGCGCAATGGGAACATAACCTAACTTTTCGAAACTGTCACCAGAGGCGCGAGACAACTTTCGAAGCGCATGTGTTTTAATATTTTTTGGGAAGTCTTGGCATTTCGCGTTACCTGTGAGTGTTGCAAATGGTGGACGGGCTGTCATCATCGATACGTTAACATCAGGTAAGAGCCGAATAATTTCTCAATTTCCCGGCAAAAATTCTCCAATCATCCCAAAAAATTATCAACCACCCAAACACGGAACTCCATCAAAAATTATTCCTTCTCTTCCCCTGAACATTTCATTGTTTCTTTTCTCTTTTTTTGCAAAAAAAAAGTTACGTAAAATTATTGCACAAGGTAAAAGTATTAAATATAGGCAATTTTTTTTAAAAATAAAAAGTGAACGGAAGGGGTAAAAGTGAACTTTTCGTTTTCGGTACCAAATTGGAAATTTTTTTCCTATTTATTCACTTTGGTTTTCTTGCGGTAAAAATTATTTTCCCGGGCTTTCACAGTGTATGGTTAGTGCATATACAAAAAATAACCTCATTTTTCGTGAAATGTGCTATATATACATATATATACATAGAAGATGGGAAAAAGATTGTATAATGTTATACCGGAAAAAGATTATTTTTGTATTTTTTCCTCCGGTTGAAATCTTTTTTTGTTTTAAATTCGTTTGTTTGAAGTGAAAAATTTAATTGACACGATGACGTGTGTTAAGTCTTGTCGGTTTTGTCACATTTATTATATAGCAGACGGACGTCACATGTTAGGCATGTTTCTTGGAAATTCCTTTTAGCAAAAAGTATTGAGAGAAAATAGAAATGTAGGACTTTAATTTTTCGCTCGTTTCCTATAGAAATCGAACGTTTTTTTTACGTTTTTTTTGCTTCAATTTTTTTTGTTTAAATTTTACAATATTGGTCATATTTATATTATCGTTATCGTCCTTGCTCTTCAAAAATCGTTTTCTAGAACAAGGTTCGTGACCTTATTCTTGAATTATTTCCTTGTTTATAAATTAATAACATAACCTCGAATCGAAGGAGGTTTTTTTTTAATTTTTCGATTCAATTCTATTTTCTTTTTTGGATGAAAAAAAGTACATTAAATATTGAAATAAAAGGCGGTAACAAATTTATTTTTACACAATTTCGGGGTTTTTAACAAAAAAATATTAAATTTTCTTATTTTAGTAAAAAATTGTATTTTTAAATTAAAATATTAAAATTTAATATTGAAAATTTAGAAAGTAACATTTTTACCTAATTTTATTTTTTGAACAAATATTAAGTAAATGAAGTTTTAATTTACTCGAAATTCGAAAATAAATGTCTACTTTGGTAAATAGTTTAAAATTTATGCCTTTTTTGTGTTATGACTTCATTTTTTTTCTTATCAATTTCAAATACTTAGGTCCGCGAGATAAGAAATGTTTGGATTCATTAAATTCCTAATGTTTCATTTTTTGTTTATTTTTTTTGTGGATTTTATTTTTTTTTTTCTTATCTCTCAATATCCGGCATTTCCGAATTTAATATGAATGATTGTTTTTAATTAATTATTATTTATTATAATTTTTTTGCAAAAATTCAATTATTTTTAAACAAAATTAAGTTTATTGCGAAAATTCAATTATATTTTAAGAAAATTAAATTAGTTGCAAAAATTCAATTGTTTTTTAAAGAAAATAAAATTTTTTTGCAAAAATTCAATTATTTTTAAACAAAATTAACTTTTTTGCAAAAATTCAATTATTTTTAAATAAAATGAAATTTTTGCAAAAATTCAATTATTTTAAAACAAAATTAAGTTTGTTGCGAAATTTAAATTATTTTTAATATAATTTTAATAAAATTTCATGAAATAATTCAATTTAAAAAAATTTTTAATAATATTTTTCGAAAAAATTCAATTATTTTCTAAAACTTTAATAAATCCTTGGAAAGAATTTAATTATTTTAAATAAAATTTCACGAAAGAATTCAATTATTTTTATGAATAATTGTAAAATCCTCTGAAAGAATTCTATTATTTTTAAAAATTCAGATAAAATTCTTTGAAACAATTCAATTATTTTTATGAATTGTAAAATCCTCCAATTATTAACAAACACGATTATTTTAAAAAGTTGAAAGAAACTGTTCATAAAATTCAATTATTTGCAATATTTTTAATAAAAATTATTAAAGAAATTTCAATATTTATAAAAAAAAAATTCAAAGAAATTCTTAAAAATTAATTTAACTGTTAGAATTTTCGCGAATTTTAACCGAATTTATTATCGAGCATTCAATTATTTTTCTAAATAATAAAATTCTTCTAATGATTTCTATTGTTTTCGAATGTTTTGATAAAATTCTTTCCAAAAATTCGATGTTTTTTTTAACATTAATTTTAAAATTGAAAATATTTGAAAAATTTATTGTTTATTAATTTTTGTAATAAACATTAAAATTTATTTTTCATTATTTGTTATTAAAAATTGAAATTTATTTTACATTAATTATTACAAGAAATTAATGTTTATTTTTTATTAATTATGACAAGAAATTAAAATTTTTTTTTAAACATTAATTATTAAAAGAAATTAAAGTTTACCTTTTATTAATTACTTATAATTAATAGTTTATTTAACTTTTTTTATTAAAACATAAAGTAAATACAAAAAAGAGTTTCAAAGTTGAACAAAAGAATATTTATTAATTATAAAAGTGAAATTTATTTTTTATTAATTATCGAAAAAAATTGACAATTTTTAATTAATTCTTTTTAATTATTATCCGGTGTGGGAAGGGGGGGGATTTTCTTACATAAAAAATATTAAAACAAAATAATATTCCATCGGTTTTAATGATAATTTCATTTTTCGTTTGTATTTAAAAAAAAATTTACAAAATTCTTTTTAATTATTTTTTATTATTATGCTGGAAAAATTTGTTTTTTTGTTTGTATTTATTTTTTATTTATTCATTAATAATTAATAGATATTTTTTTATTTATTTCTTGATAATTAAATAGTTTTTATTTATTTCTTAATAATTAAATATTTTTTATTTATTTATTAATAAATTATTACAAAATAAATATTATTATTACCTAATTAAAACTTTGTTAACTTACAAAAACTTACGCAATATAGAAAGGAAAGAAAAAAAAATTTTGAAAGCAAAGAAAAATTCCTATTCGAAATTCTTTTTTTCTTTTGGCACAAATCACATTTACATTTATAGTTATATTGATTTCATCATCTTATTTATTTTAAAAGTTGGCACTTTATTTCGGATTGCGTAACAATTTTCATGTGCGTCTCTTCTCATTCAGAACTGCGAGAAAAAAAAAAATTTCCCTCCCCCCTTTTTTTCTTTTTAATATATTATACTTTGTTAAAAATAAATTTCAAGGTTTTCTTCTCGTGCAATTAATTTTATTGTAGAAAAGAAGGGAAAAAAATACAAGGATTTTTTTTAAAAAAAAAAAAAATTCTCTCTTTCTCTCTCTATTTTTTATTTTTTTGTCTCTATTTTTCTCTCTATTTTATTCTCTCTCTCTTTCTGTTACTCTTCTCTTTGTATAGAGAAATTGATGCAAAAAAAGCAAAAGTGCGACACGAGGAGATTAAAAATTAAAAACAAGAAGAGGAAGATAATATTATTGTTTTAAGTCTGTTGTTGATAAGAGATGTTCCAGTTTACTTATAGAGAGAAATATATTTCACAGACGTTTGTGTGCTATAATTGTAAAAAAAAAACTTATCGTATCTCTAGCCACTCCAGGTGTTGATTTTTCCGGTTAATATTGAAATATTCTTTTGTTTTTTAGCTCGTGATGAAATTTTTTCGAAAAAAACGTCACATTCGTTGAAAATTGTCTATTAACATTAATTACTATTTAGTAATTAATTATGGATAAGTTTTCAAATTAAGGAAATATTTCTGACTGTTAAAGAATTTTTTGTTTCCATTAGTAATCATTTCCTTTCTATTTTCTTTTATTTTTTCTTCTTTTCTTTATTTTATTTTATTCTCTATTTTAACGCAGTTTTTTTGTAAATATCAAATTTGAGACAAAAAAAAGAATCAAAAGTGTTCTTTTTTTTGTCTCAATTTGATAATTAAATAAAAAAATAAATAATCAAACAAGAAAATAAATAAATAAAAACTAAATGAAAAAATGGAAAAATTCAATAAAATCAATAAAGAAAAAAAGAAAATAAATAAAAACTAAATAAAAAAAGGGAAAAATTCAATAAAACCAAAGTAAAAAAATATAAGAAAAAAATAAGTAAAAGAAATGAAAGAGAAAATAAAAACTAAATGAAAAAGGGAAGAAGGATTTTTTATTAAATTCAAGAGATAATTTAAATTTAAAGAAATTGCGAATAGGAGAGAAGAAAACTTGTCCTTAAAGTAGAAAAGAATTTAGAAAATTTTTTTTTATTAGATAATTAATTTAATTTTGTTTATTAATTTGGTGTTTTATTTTTTAGGTGAAAAATGTATAAAGCAAGGACCGTATTTAGTGCACTAACCCCGTTGGCCCCACGCGTCTGTGGGGCCGAAAGGTTCGCTTCGTGGCTCGTGAGGAGTCACCCGTTGGCGAGGACGAGTCAGGTCGTGATTCCGGAATCAGGACGCAGATATAGCAGCAGTCGAGTGGCGACCGAACCATTTCTAAATGGCTCCAGCAGCTCCTATGTTGAGGAAATGTACAATGCCTGGCTCCAGGATCCATCCAGCGTTCATGTCGTGAGTCTTCACTTTCAAATTCGAATTCAATTCAATTTAAATTCAGTTCAATTTTGGGTCGATTCGAAAATATATTCAAATTCAGTTCAATTTTAATTCAATTCGAGATTAAATTCAACTTGAAATTCATTTCAATTTTCATTCTGTTCGAAATTAAATTGACATTCAATTCAATTTGAAATCAAATTGAAATTCAATTGAATTCGAAATTAAATTCAAATTTAATTCAAATTTGCAAATAATTAATCAATTTTCATTAAATTAGAAATTAAATTGATATTCGATTTGAAATTTCATTAAAATTCAGTTCAATTTTAATTCAATTTTAATTCAATTAGAAATTAAATTCAACTTGAAATTAAATTCAATTTTCATTAAGTTCAAAATTCAATTGAAATTCAGTTCAATTCAATCTGAAAATAAATTCAATTTTCATTTAGTTGAAAAGTAAATTGAAATTCAATTCAATTCGAAATCAAATTTAATTCAATTCAAACTTAAATTCAAATTTAATTCAATTTTCATTTATTTCGAAAGTAAATTGAAAATAAATTCGAAATTAAATTCAATTTTCATTCAGTTCGAAATTCAATTCAAATTCAAATTAAATTCAGTTCAATTTTATTTCAATTCAGAATTAAATTTGATTTCCATTTCAATTTCATTTCAATTTTCATGAAGTTTAAAATTAAATAATATAAATTCAATTGAATTCGAAATTAAAGTCAAATTCAAATCGAACTCAAATTCAGTTCAATTTTTATTCAATTAGAAATTAAATTGAAATTAAATGCAATTCGATCTTAAATTCAAATTCAATTCTATTTTAAATTCATGTTAATTTTTATTTAGTTCGAAATTAAATTAAATTTCATTCAATTCCAATTTAAATTCAAATTCAATTAATTTTTATTCAGGTCGAAATTAAATTAAAATTCAGTTTAATTCGAAATTCAATTCAATTTTCATTCAATTTCAAATTAAATTTAATATGAAATTCATTTTAATTTTCATTCAGTTCGAAATTCAATTGAAATTCAATTCGTTTCAAAATTAAAGTGAAATTCAATTCTATTTTAAAGTTAAACTCAAATTCAATTCAATTTGAAATTCATTTCAATTTTCATTCATTTCGAAATTAAATTCAAATTAAATTCAATTTCCATTCAGTTCGAAATGGAATTGAAATTTTGTACAATTTGAAAATAAATTCAATTTCTATTTAGTTCCAATTTAAATTGAAATTCAATTTAATTTTCCTTCAATTTGAAATTAAATTAAATTTTTAATTAGTTCGAGATTAAATAGAAACACAATTCAATCTTCATTTTGTTCGAAATTAAATTGAAATTCAATTCAGTCTTCATTCAGTTCCAAATTCAATTCATTTCGAACTTAAATTCAAATTGCATTCATTTTTGAAATTAAATTAAATTTTCATTTAGTTCAAAATTTAACTAAAACTTAATTTAATTTTTCTTCAATTTGAAATTAAATTCGATTCGTTTCGAAATTTAATTCAATTCAATTTTCATTTAATTTGAAAGTTTTTCAATTTTCATTTAGTTCAAAATTAAATTATAATTCAATTCAATTTTCTTTCAATTTCAAAATAAATTCAATTTGAAATTAATTTCAATTTTGATTCAGTTCGAAATTAAATGTACATTCAATTCGATTTGGAAATTAAATTGAAACTCAATTCAATTCGAAATTAAATGGAAATTAAATTAAATTTTTATTCAGTTCTAAATTAAATTGAAATTCATTTCAATTTTCATTTGTTCGAAATGAAATTAAAATTCAATTCAATTTGAAACTAAGTTGAAATATTCAATTCAATTCGAAATAAAATTGAAAATGAATTGAATCTGAAATTAAATTTTAATTTAATCCGAAATTGAAAGCAAATGCTTAATGAAGAAATACTTTTCAGTCCTGGGACTCGTTCTTCCGAAACAGTACAGCAGGAGCTGCCCCAGGTATGGCCTATCAAGCGCCACCCTCACTCGCTCCCAGCTACAACCAAATTCCCCTCGGTTCACTCTTACCCCTCGGCGGTGGATCTCAAATTGGACAAGTTCCCGTCAATGAAAAAATCATCGACGATCATTTGGCGGTTCAAGCCATTATTCGATCCTACCAGGTATGCCATTTATAGCAACAATTATTATTTTCTAAATTGAAAAATGAAAAGCAAAAGAGCAATTCCACGTGAAATGATCAAGTAAACAATTTTTATTTTTCTATTTATTTAAAACTTTTGGCAACCATTTTGATAATTTCGACACATATTTTACTTATTTTGATAATTTCTCACCGTTTCCTTTTTTTTAAAGTCTTTTTCGCTATTTTAGAGAAATTTCAATGGATAAAAATTTTACTTTTATTAGATTTTAAATTTCAATCGATAAAAATTTTAAATTTAATTAATTTTAAATATTTAAATCAATGGAGGTTTTAATTTCATTCGATTTTAAATTTCAATCGATAAAAATTCAATTTTTTTTTTTAATTTTAAGTATTTAAAATGAATGGAGTTTTTAATATTTTTCGATTTTAAATTTCAATCGATAAAAATTTTATTTTATTTAATTTCAAATATATTTAAAAATCAATGGAGATTTTAATTTTCATTTGATAAAAATTTTGATTTTATTCAATTTTAAATTTCCATCGATAAAGATTGTAAATTTTATTCAATTTTTAAATTTAATTCTTCAAAATTTTAAATTCTCTAAATTTGAATTTATTTTAATTTTAATCAGTCAGTAATTAAATCAATCGAAACTTAAAATTATTGAAATTTCCATCTGTCCAAAGATTAATTTTGATTCCAAATGTCAAAAAATTGTCCAAATTTTAAACTATTGCTGAAAAAAAAATTTCAATTATTTAAATACAAATTAGTTGCTGTCCACTTTTAGAAAATTGAAATTCACAGCTTTCCAAAATGAAAATAATTTTGAAAAAGTCGTATTTTTTTGTAAAAATTGAAAAGAGAGATTTTTTACGCTTAGATCATTTCACGTGAAATTGCTCAAAATAAAAAGTTTATTTAAAAAAATTTTTTTTTTCTGTTTTTGGAAAAATAAGAAAACAATCACTATTTTTTGCGAAAAAAGAAGGTCAGAGCGAGTATTGTAAATTCAAAATTATTACTAAATCTGCAACCTCAATTTCAAAGTCAGACGTTGATTAGCATTGTAGATTGTTTGAAATGACTTTTGATACTTCCTAGTGTATATTTTTCTTTTTTAATTTCTTTCACTCAGCACCTCCCAGATGAGATTATTGTAATGAGCGACTTTTTTGTCCTCTTTGTAGTAAATTCTTAGTTTGGAATTTTTTATTATTACCATTTATTACCTATTATTAATATTAATTACAATTATTAATTATATTTATTATTTTCTATTATATTACGATTTATTAAATACAATTTTTTAAGTGAATATTGAGGTCCCAGATATTTAGGAATTTAAAGAAAAAAAGTTTCTTTTTTTTTGGGGGGAGGGGAGATTTCAATCACCAATCATCGCATGCTCAAAAAGAGATATTATTATTCTTGTTGTTATTTCTAGATTACAATTTAACTATTATTGTTAATATTGTTATTATTTTATTATTATTAATATTTCTATTAATATTGTTAATATTATTATTAGATATCATTTTTAATTAGGAATAATTGTTAGTTATTTTTATTAGGATAATTAAGTATTATTATAATTTATTGTTACTATTGATAATATTGAATATTATTATTGTTATTATTATAATTAATTATTTATTATATATATATATATATATAAATGTGACGTTAATTGGGGATTAAAAATGTTGCATGAAATTTAAATGTAATGCAGTTACAGCGTTAATGGGCCATTTTAATATTTGATTTTGGTTCTTAATTCCAATTTTTTTATTTTTAAATCTATTACATTTTTTTCTTTTTTTTTTTTTTAATTAAATTAATTTACTTTACATATTTTACATTTAAAAATATTATTTTGTTTTACTATTTTAGCTATTTATTTTCTGCTTTTATAGCTTTTAGATTTTTCTTTTCTTTTTTTATTTTCTCTTGCGTTTATATTTTTTTATTTTTAGTTATTTTATTAATTTTACTGTTTTATTAGTTATTTTATTTATTTTTTAAAAGTTACTTTATTTACTTAAACAAAAACAATTTCCATCTTCTGTATTTTATTAACTTTATTTTTTTTACTAAATTAGTTATTTTTATTTTATTTTATTTTTATGTTTTTTATTGTTTTAACTCTTTTATTATTAGTTTTTTATTATTTATATTTAAAAAATATTTATTAATTTTATTTATTCAACCGTTTTTTCTTCTTTTTCTCTAGTTTTTTTATAAAATTTATTTTTTCCAATTTTTTCGTTTTCCACTTTTAAAAATAAATTGAAAACAATTTTTTTTTTTTGGTAATTTGAACCATTATCGATGCGAAAAGAATTTTTATTTTTAGCATTATTATTGTTATTACTTTTTTTTTTTAAAAAAAAAAGAAGGTGACAAATGCTTTGGCATATTTATATTCGCCTTGGCTTTTTTCAAGTTTATTAAAACGATAATATAATTTTAAAATTAAATCACATATTTTTTTATACAAATCTCTTTATAATAAAGCATGTGAACTATAATTTCAATCTAAATAATCTTCATTCGAATAAATTCTCGCTAATATTTAACTTTTATTAGACAACTCAATAATAACAAAGCAATAAAATTTATAAAATTTACTTTTTTTATTTATTTGATTATTAACGAGGCAAGCCCTTTCTTTGCCAATATTTTTTTCCTTCTGTTATAACATTTCTCTGCGGCATTGAAGATGAAAGCAAAGAAAATTTTTTTGTTAATTTAATGCTAATTTAACTAACGATTAGAAAAAAAATAATTAAATACTAAAATTACACACAATTTACAAATCGATGTTGGAATTTAAAAAAAGAAATCGTGACCGAATTGTTTGAACTAAATTTATTTTTCTGAAGTCATTATTATTTTGACTTTTTTTTCTACCCTTTATGTTTTTTGGAGTTTATTTGAATTTATTTGAGTTTATTTGTGTTTATTAATTAATTTATTATTAATTTTTTTTTTCAAATGGGAAAACGAACTTTCTTTTATTTTTTCTGGCAAATTGTTCGTTAATATTTAGGCTCGAGGCCACTTAGTCTCCGATCTGGATCCACTGGGTATAATGCAATCAGAATCAATACACAAACATTATGCGGCTCGCAGGGGATCTCCTGAACAAGTTGCTCGACAATATATGCTTGGTAAGGCTTTAATCATCATCATCATCATCATCTTCATCATTTATTCTTTTTCGCCCGTCCAAATCAGTCCTGGATAATAATAAATAACAATCGGAGGAAATATTTTCTTTTCTAATTTTTTTTTTCGATTTTATTGACAAATCTTTGGAATTTTACTCTATTATCGAAGAATTTGTAGCTTTTCAAGTTTTCTCGCTTATTTTTTGTAATTTTCTTTTATTTTTTGTAATTTCTCTCATTTTCTTTAATTTATTTCTATTTTTTACAATTTATTTTAATTTTTTTCGACAATTTTGATGAAATTCTTTTTAAAAAATCATTATTTCGATTTTCAAAATTTTTAATAAAATACCTTCAAAAAATTCAATTATTTTTAAAAATTCAAAATTTCTTCGAAACAATTCAATTATTTTTATGAATTGTTAAATTCTCGACAAGAATTCAATTATTTTCGCATAAATAATAAAATGTTTTGGAGGAATTAAATTTTTGGCAAGAATTATTTTTGAAATTTCTTTATTTTTGAAGATAATAAAATTCTTCGTAAGAATTAAAATATTTTTATAAATAATAAAAATTCGTCGCAAGAAATTAAATTATTTTCATAAAAAATAAAATTTTTCGGAAGAATTCAATTATTTTTTAACATATTATTTAAATTTAATTATTTTCAAGAATTTTAATATAAATTTAAATATTTTCAACAATTTTGATGAAAAATTGTTTTTAAAAAATCATTATTTTCCAAATTTTTAATAATATTACTTTAAAAAAATTCAATTATTTTCCAAAATTCAGATAAAATTCTCAAAACAATTCAATTAATTTTATGAATTGTAAAATCCTCCGCAGGAATTTAATTATTTTTATAAATAAAAAAAATTCTTCGCAAAAATTAGAATATTTTCAAAAATAATCAAATTTTTCAAAGGAATTCAATTATTTTCATTAAAAAATAAAATATTTCGTAAGAATTCAATTATTTTCAACAATTCTTATAAAATTCTTCGGAACAATTCAATTATTTTTAAAATTCTAAACTTTATGGCCAGAATTCAATTATTTTTGTAAATAATAAAATTCAATTATTTTTAATTATTCCTAAAAATAATTGAATTGTTGAATAGAATTTTATTAAAACTTTTTTAAATAATTGAATCCCTGCGAAAAAATTTATTATTTCTGCAAATAATTGAATTTTTGAGAAGAATTTTATTAAAATTGTATTTAAAATAATTGAATTTTAGTGAAAAATTTAATATTTCTACAAAGAAATGAATTTTTTCAAAATTTAAAAAATAATTGAATTTTTGACAAAAATTTTATTAAAATTGTTCTTAAAATAATTGAATTTCTGAAAAAAATTTATTATTTATTGATATTACTGAATTCTTTCGAAGAATATTAAAAAAATGTTTAAAAATAATTGAATTTTCTCTGGAATTCAATTAAAATTGTATTTAAAGTAATTGAATTCCAGCGAAAATTGCATTATTTTTAAAAATAATTGAATTCTTGAATTCGATATTATTAAAAGTTTTTAAAATAATTGAACCCTTGTGAAAAATTCAATTATTTTAAAAAATAATTGAATTTTTTCGGAGAATTTCCACAAGATTTTTAAAAATAATTGAAATTTTCGAAGAAATCAATTAAAAATGGAATTGAACATTTTTTCTACTTTTTGAAATTTATTTCATTTTTTTTTAAATTTATTTTTTGTAAATTTTAATTGAATTTACTTTTTTTGATAATCTCGATTAGTAATTAATTAGCATCCAGACTGATTTAAAAATTCTTTCCTTTATTTCCTTATATTAATTCAACAGTTATTACTCGATTGTCTTGAAACGATTGCGAGTATATTCAAAATTTACGTCATCATTTAATTTTTCCTCTTTCCGCCAAGTCAATGAGCCTCGAATGATGCAATGATTTTTAATTCTTGCCTTTCAATCACAGACAATTAGATGATTCAATATTTCGAGGAATTTTTTCCAGTCAATTTTTTTGCTTCTCACATTTTTTTGTAATAATTAAATTTATTAAAACAGTTGAACAATTTTTATGTTAACAAAATTTTTATCGTAAGAATTAAAATAAAATTTTGCGAAAAATTGTTATTGCAAAAATTAAAAAAATCATTTTAGAAAAATTGTTATTGTAAAAATTGAAAAAAACATTTGAGAAAAATTATTATTGTAAAATTTTATTAATTTTTAAAAAAAGAATTGAAAAAAATCGTAAAAGGAAATTAAAGAAACAGAAATTGTTATTAAAAAGAAAAAGAAGCAAATTAATTGTTTAAATATTTATTTAAAAATGTATTTTTCTAATTTTCGAATTTCAAAATTCAAAATTCCGAAAATGAACTTTCATTTAAATTCTATCGAATTTGGAAAAAAAAATCGAAATATATTCAAGGCTCGTTAAAAAAAAACTCATCGATCGCTGATACTGAAAATGTTCGGGTGACAAATTCACAAGAGGCTTTTTTTTAAGCGCCTGCGCTTTTCAAAAACAAAAAAAAAAAATATTTTCAGGTTGAGAAAAAAAACTGAATAATTTTGAATTTTATTTTCAATGTTTATGGAAAGGTAATATGGGAGTAAAAAAAAAATTTCTGCATGTTGCTTCTTTAATTGTTATTGTAGTTCTGCATGAATTACTTTTTAATTCGCCTCATTAATTTGCATGAATTTTTTTATATTTCTGCTTTTATTTTCTTTTATATTTTTTCTTATTTTCTCTCTAATTTATTTTTTCATGGGAGAGGTGTTGGGTGTCAAATTTTCTTTTCTATAACAATAATAATTTATTATCACCCCTTTTATTACGGGAAAATTTTTTTTTTCACTTTCTCCAAAATAAGAAGTTTCGACAAATTTTTCGAAATACTTTCTTCCAAAAAACTCGAATTATTTTTCTTTAATTATTTTTTATTGAAATCGTTTCAAAAAGAAACATTTTTCGAAGTATTTCCAGAAAATAAATTATTTTGTAAATATTTTAAATTGTTTGTAAATAAAAATTATTTTTAAACTATTGAAGTTATTTGCAAATAATTAAAATTGTTAGTAAATAAAAATTACAATTAAAATTAAAAAGTAAAAAATTAAAATTGTTTGTAAATAAAAATTATTTGTAAACAATTGAAAGTAAACAATTAAAATAGTTTGTAAATAAAAATTATTTTTGAACAATGAAAATTATTTGGAAATAATTAAAGTAGTTGGTAAATAATTAAAATAATTAGAAAATAATTAAAATAGTTGGTAAATAATTAAAACAATTGGTAAATAATCAAAATTGTTTTTATAAATTCAAAAAAAAAGAAGAAAAATATAAAAATATTTTTTATTTAAAAATTGAAAAAAAACATTTTAGAAAAATAGAGAGAAAAGGAATTTTTGAAAGAAAGTGTTTAGAAAATGGAAATGACACTTATTTTTGGAGGAAATTTGAGTAAAAAAAGAAATTGTGAAATGTTGAGAAAAATGTTGTTGAAGTGAAATTAATTGTTTTTGTTTTTCTATAATGAAGAAAAGAAAAGAATAGAAAAATAATATGTAATTACAATGAAGATTGCAAAAATGGTGCGTATGAATAGTGGCATTAAATTGACAGATTCGTGGTCATCATATCGCAAAGTTGGACCCACTTGGCATCAACAGTGCTGATCTTGATGATAGACATCCTCAAGAGTTGCTCTATAATTATTACTCATTCGGTAAGCTTTACTTGCGATTTTCTTCAAATTGTGAATGGAGGAGAAGACTACAGTATTCTTTAGTGATAAGAGACATTTTTTTCTTTCTTTTTATATATCATAAAAAAATTTTTAAAAAAAAAAAGGAAATCGTTCAGCCTTGAAAATATAGCAAATTTTCGACAAAGTTAATCAACGAAAAAATTATTATTCAAATTACTATTCGAAATATTCTTCAAATTACTATGAATTTAAATTATTATTCGGATGATTTTTTAAATTATTATTCGAATTACTATTTAAATTATTCGAATTATTATTCAAATTACCATTTAAATAATTATTCAAACTACTAGGAATTTAAATTACTATTCGAATTATTATTCAAATTACTATTTAAATTATTATTCGAATTATTATTCAAATTACTATTTAAATTATTATTCAAATTATTATTCAAATTATTATTCAAATTATTTGAATTATTATTCAAATTACTAGGAATTTAAATTATTATTAGAATTATTATTTAAATTACTATTTAATTTATTATTCGAATTATTATTCAAATTACTATGAATTTAAAGAATTATTCGAATTATTGTTTAAATTATATTTCGAATTATTTGAATTATTATTCGAATTATTATTCAAATTATATTTCGAATTATTTGAATTATTATTTGAATTATTATTCAATTTACTATTTAAATTTTCATTTAAAATATGCTTTAAATTATTATTTATTAAAAGAAAATTTCTCGTTAATTAAAAATTTGTAGGAGAAAAAATTTCCATTGAGAAAATTAATTTTTAGAAATAAGTTAAAAACTGGTTTTTTTTTTTGTTTAGAGAAAAAAAGACAGACAGGAAATTTACAGCAGTTAATTGTTAAATTGTTTGAAGAGGCAATTCACAGGCTGATCGGTTTCCGATAATCATCTTTCAATTATCACAACTCTCATAAGTCATAAGTAATCATTTTTTTTTCAAATTACAGGGTTTCTACAAATTTTTCCCTGCAAAATTCCATGAGAACTCTCTCCATGATTTCAAGGATATAAATTCATCAATTCTAATCTCATAAAACTTGAAGATTTTTTTTTTCAAGAATTATATTATTATTACAAAAAGTGGAAAAATAATTCCTGATGCGCTTGAATATTTTATGAAAATTATATTTGAATTCGAATTTCTCTAGTAAATCGAGAAAAATTCAAAAGATAATAAAAATTATAAATTTATAGGATAGCAGAATTATTAAGAATTAAAGATTTCGAAGATAAAATTCTTTTTTAAAAATTATATTGGTCACGATTTTCATTGTTTTGCTATGGAAATAATTGAAATTCCTACGAAGAGTCTTATTACTTATTGAAAATAATTGAATTCACTCGAAGAATAAATTTTTTATTAAAATTTTCTTTAAAATAATCGAATTTCTGATTTTCATTTTAGTCAAATTTTTCAATTTTTGATTGAAAAGGATTCAAATTCAAATTTCAGATAATTAAATTTTTTTCAAGGAATTGAATTTTATTCTTGAAAAAAAAATTATTAAATTCCCGCTACAAATTTTTCTTTTGTTTATAAAAAAATTGAATTCTTGTAAAAAAAATTTTTTTTCGTTTTTAAATTATTGAAATTGTAGGTACTAAAAATTTTATAAAAAATGTTGAATAATAATTGAATTCTAGCAAAGAATTTTTTTATTTATAGAAAATTGTTGCGACGATTTTTTTTTGTTTACGAAAATAATTGAATTATTGCGGCGAATTTGATTAAAATTTTTGAAATTAATTGAATTCTTGAGAAGAATTTTTGATTTTATGAAAATAATTGAATTCTCGAGGAGAATTTTTTTTGTTTACGAAAATAATAGTATTGAAAAAAATAATAATTAATTAATCAATTTTTTTTTTAATTTTGAATTTAAAATTATATATTCAAAAATTGAAATTTTCTATATATGAAATATTTTCGAATAAAACAGAAATTCTTTTGAATAACGAATTATATTAAATAAATGTTAGAAAATATTCTTTCGAATTAAAAATTCGGTTAAATAAAAAATTCGATTTTATGAATTCGAAAAAATTGGAAACTCGATTTAATATTTTTTATAGAATTTTCATGCGCTTGAAAATTTTCACAATCTAATAAGAATTTCCCTGAGATTTCCACTTTAGACCTGAATTTGTAGAAACCCTGTAATTATCATATCCGATTTCCCGCAACTTTTATTCCCTGCTCGATTAATTAATTAATTAATTTTTTAAATAATTTTCTTTGCGTTTTGGCTTGTAGATTTTTTATTACAAATACTTTCACTTTTTAATTATTTTAACATAAATTTATTTCATAGTAGAAATTTAAAATTCGTTTTGGTATTTTAACATTTTATTTTTGTGTAAATTTAACTTAAAATTATTTTCGTATAAATTTAACATTTTATTTTAGTCTAAATTTAACATAAATTTCTTTTTGGTATAAAATTAAAAAAAGCTAAACATTCAGTAAAAAAATATCAATATCAGTAAAATCGATTTAATTTTTTCATTTATAAAAAAAAATTCTTCATTCTCTTCTTTCTTTTTTCCCCAAATTTTTCTTTCTCTTAATTTAATATTCTCTTTTTTTCTTTTTTTTTTAAGGAACAGAAAATTTTCGCGAAAAAATTGAACGTTAGAAAAGTAAAATTTGTGTTTTTTTTCTATTTTCTTTTTATTAGAATAAAAAAATCGGCAGAAATGAATCAAATTTGATAGAGGAAAAAGAAATGTCAAAATTTTTGAGTCGAAGAAATTAATGTCCACAGGAAAGAATCCGCGGACCACTTACGCTCAAGATCTACGAAATCGTGTAGCGGCACTTATGAAAAGTATGTAAGAATTAACAAAAATGAAAAAAAAACAAAAAATAATTTAATTTGTATTTTTAAAAAATTGGGTAATTTTTTTCTATTTGTATAATAATAATAAGGTTACATTATAAATATTGCAAGATTATTCCGGATGTGGCTCGTTTTTCAGGATAAAAATCTGAAATCGAATTTGTGTTGTCTTATGGAAAATGCTTGGGGTGTTCCTTGAGAGTAGGCAAGCGTTATTCTATTTTCTTTATATTTCTTATTATATGGAATAGTTTTTCTTTTCTTTTTTTTTGTAGACAAAAATTATTTTTCAAGGTGTTTGGTTTTTTGTTGGAATTTTACTAACCGATTTTTTGTTTTTCTTCTTGAGGTGTTTTCCGCTATGATTTCTTTCGCTATGAATTTTTTTCTATTTTTCTACTTTTCTATTTGTATTTTTCTATTTTTTTTATTTTTCTTTCAATCTTCCTTTTAATTTTTCTCCTTTTCTTCCTTTATCTTCTTTTTAAATTTTTTTCCATTTTTTGGTTTACTTTCTTTCTTCCTTTTGCTCCTTACGAGGAAATATTAAATTTTCCTTTTTATTTCTTTCGTTTCTTTTTTTATTTTTCTACTTTTTTACAGTAAAAAAATTATTATCTTGTTTCAAATTTTTTACAGAAAATATTTTTTCTTAATTAAAACTTTTTATGGCAAATATTTTTTCTTTCAAATTTTTTAAAACAAATATTTTGTCTTCTTTCAAATTTTTGTCTAAAAATATTTTTTTAATAAGAAATAGATTAAATTTTCAAAAAATAGTTGAATTTGTTTATGGAATTTAACTAAAATTATTTTCAAATTAATTGAATTCTTATAAATAATTTAATCAAATATTTTTGACTTTTATTTTATTTATAGAAAATATGTCATTCAAAAATAATGAATTTTAATATTTGTGAATAATTGAATTTTCAGAAAAAAAAAATTTATTTTTTGCAAAATTATTCTTTTATTTATGAAAATAATTTTATTTTCTATAAAAATAATTGAATTCTTGAAAAAATTTTATTTTCTATGAAAATAATTGAATTCTTGCAAAAAATTTTACTTTCTATTAAAATAATTAAAATCTTGAAAAGAATTTTATTTTCTATGAAAATAATTGAATTCTTGCAACAATTTTTTTTTTGTTTACGAAAATAATTGAATTCTCAAGAAGAATTTTATTTTCTATGAAAATAATTGAATTCTTGCGACGCATTTTATTTTGTTTACAAAAATAATTGAATTCACGTCAAGAATTTTTTGGTTTATGAAAATAATTGAATTCTTGAGAAGAATTTTATTTTCTATTAAAATAATTGGATTCTTGAAAAAAAATGTTTCTATGAAAATAATTGAATTCTCGCAAAAAATTTTATTTTCTATTAAAATATTTTAATTTTTGAAAAGAATTTTATTTTCTGTGAAAATAATTGAATTCTTGCGACGAATTTTATTTTCTATTAAAATAATTGGATTCTTGAAAAAAAAAATGTTTCTATGAAAATAATTGAATTCTCGCAAAAAATTTTATTTTCTATTAAAATATTTTAATTTTTGAAAAGAATTTTATTTTCTGTGAAAATAATTGAATTCTTGCGACGAATTTTTTTTTTTGTTTACGAAAATAATTGAATTCTTGAGAAGAATTTTATTTTCTATGAAAATAATTGAATTCTCTGGAAAAATTTTTTTTACTCAAGAAAATATTTGAATTCTTGAGAAGAATTTTTTTTATTCAAGAAAATAATTAAATTCTTGAGAAGAATTTTATTTTCTATGAAAATAATTGAATTCTTGCGACGAATTTTTTTTTGTTGACGAAAATAATTGAATTCTTGAGAAGAATTTTAATTGTCTATTTTTTGAAAATATTTCTTCTTGTTTCAAAATTTTACATCAAATATTTTGTTTCATTATTTCAAATTTTTTAGAAAAAAAGAAAATATTTTTCCTTCTTTCAGATTTTTTATATCAAATATTTTGTCTTATTGCAAATTTTTTACAGAAAAAAAATATATATTTTACTTTCAGTTCCTTTTTGTTTTTAATTTTCAAAAAACAATTTTTACCCATCGCCTTTTTATTAATTTAGTTTTCGTTTTCTTGTCAGTTTTCTGTAGTTTTTTGTCGATTGTCATTAACATTTGATTTTTCCTTCACTCGCTTTTGTCACACAAAAAATCACAAATTGTAAAAAAAATCTTTTTTTTGTAATTAAATTTGCATGAATTTCAGGTATAATGGGAAAAAAGAAATCAGCGTGTTCAGCAGTCAGGAAAAAGACGAAGAAAATACCCTGGAAAATTGTACAAAACTTTTAATTTTTTAATGATAATAATAATAATAATAATAATAATGAATTAATAATAATAAATAAGTAGTTAATTAATTAATAATTAGTTAATTAATTAATAGTAGTTATAATTTTATTAATTACGTATTTAATTAATTAATTATTTATTTAATTTTACGGCGTAATTTTATTATTAATTTATTGTTTAAAAAATCAGTGGAACTTTTTCCTCAAACTCGCTGGACACCCTGAAGAAATCTCCAAGGGAAAAATAATTGTACAAATTTATCAAATAATTTTAAGCCTTAAACATTTTCAGTATCAGTTTCTTTTTTCATTTTTATTTATTTAATTATTTTTTTCAATAGAATTCTAATAAAATTTTCCTTCGCTTTTTTTTGTAATTTAATTTGCAACTTAAATATTGCTTATACAATTGAATATATGTATTTGTTGATATGAAATTAGTGTCGAGGTGAATTGAATTGAATTTTCCAAGTATACTAAAATCTCGAATAATAAATAATAATAAAAATTTTCTTTTTCTTTTCCCCAAAAAATGAAATAAAATAGAGGAATCGGACATGGACAGAGTTTTCAAATTGCCCTCAACGACTTTCATTGGCGGTAAGGACAAATCTCTTCCACTTCGTGAAATTTTGAAGCGACTCGAGTCCACCTATTGCGGACATATTGGCGTGGAATTTATGTTCATCAATTCCCTCGAGCAATGTAATTGGATTCGGCAAAAAATGGAGACTCCGGGAGTTATGGAAATCACCAACGACGAGAAGCGACTTATTCTTGCGAGATTGACCCGAGCTACTGGGTATTTTTACATTTTAAATTTAATTAATTATTTTTATTAGGTTATTAATTATAGTTATTTTTATTTTTATTAATATTAATTATAAAATTGTAAAATAATTAAATTAATTGATAATTAAAGTTGACGTAGAATTTTTTAAATTTATTTCAATGCGAGTATTGTGAGCAATTAATTTTGAAAAAAATGTTCTTTTCAGATTTGAGGCGTTCCTTGCGAAGAAATGGACCTCAGAGAAGAGATTCGGTCTCGAAGGCTGTGAAATTTTGATCCCGGCAATGAAGCAAGTTATTGATAAATCCACCGAATTGGGTGTCGAATCGATCGTCATGGGAATGCCCCACAGAGGACGACTCAACGTTTTGGCGAATGTTTGCCGAAAGCCGCTTAGCCAAATATTCACTCAGTTCGCTGCGCTTGAAGCCGCGGACGATGTGAGTCAAATTCACTAAAAACCAAATTTTTCCTTTTTTTTACAAGTAATTTTACAATTTTCACAAAATATTGAAATTTCTCGCTTTTTTTAGTCGTCAAAGTTTTCGATAGCTACTTTTTGTTATAAAACAGTGACTATCGAAAAAAACTTCTTTTTAGTTTTAAAGCTACTTTTTCAAAAATTAATTATTGAGTACGATGGATAAGTAATAAAATTAATAAATAAATAAATAATTAAATATTTGTTTTCTCAGGGTTCCGGCGATGTGAAGTACCATTTGGGAACGTACATCGAGCGTTTGAATCGCGTGACGAATAAAAATATCCGCTTGGCGGTGGTTGCGAATCCCTCGCATCTCGAGGCTGTCGATCCCATTGTTCAGGGAAAAACAAGGGCTGAGCAGTTTTACCGCGGAGATGGCGAGGGCAAGAAGGTGATGTCGGTGCTGTTGCACGGCGACGCGGCTTTCTGCGGTCAGGGCATTGTCTTCGAGACGATGCACTTGTCAGATTTGCCCGATTACACCACTCACGGCACGATTCACATCGTCGCTAATAATCAAATTGGATTCACCACCGATCCACGACATTCACGATCCTCACCATACTGCACAGGTAATTCTTCATTTTTCCTCTATTTCTCTTCTTGATATTCCCCTAATTCTCTCATCATTTTCTCAGAAATTCAATTATTAAAAAATGTTTTTCATAAAATTTATTGCAAAAATTCAATTATTTTCATAAATAATAACAATTTCACAGGAATTCAATTATGTTCATAAATAATTACATTTTCTCAGGAATTCAATTATTTTTAATAAATAATAAAATTCTTCTCTGAAATTCAATAATATAAAAAAATTTCAATAAAATTTATTGCAAAAATTCAATTATTTTCATAAAAATAAAACTAATCGCAGAATTTCAATTATTTTTAATACAGTTTTAAATGAGAATTCCTCAAAAAATGCTATTATTCTTTCAAAATTTTATTAAAACTCTACAAAAGAATTCAATTACTCTAAAAAAAAATTTTTATAAAATTTGTTTATTACAATTTTTATATTATTTTCAATTCTATTTTTAATTAAATTTCTTGAAAGAATTTTATTCCTTTCAAAAATTTTAACTTATTTTTTCGTAACAATTTAATTATTTACAAAAAAAAATGCAAAATTCAATTATTTTTAATATCTACTATTTCAATAAATTTTTCTAAAAGAATTCAATGATTTAAATAAAAATTTAATAAATTTCGTCTCAAGAATTCAATTATTTTCATAAGTTAGAACATTTTTTGGAAAAAAATTCAATTATTTTCTTATTCTAATACAATTTGAATAGAATTTTTTGATGGAACTTAATTATTTTAAAAGTTTTAACGCAATTTTTCGAAAGTAATTAATTATCTTGATAATTAAAAAAATTCTTCCCAGAAATTCAATTATCTTCAGAAATTTTAATAAAATTCTTTGAAAAATTTAATTCCTTCCACGAATAACAATATTTAATACAATTTTAAATGAATTCCTCGAAAAATGTAAATAAGTAACGATATTCACCACAGGAATTCAATTATTTTTAAAAGTATTAAAATTTTTTGCAGAAATTTTATTATTTTCACAAATAATAACATTTTTCACTAAAGAATTCAATTATTTAAAAAATTCCAATAAAATTCTTTGCAAGAATTCTATTACATCGTAAATAATAAAATTCATTTTAGTAATTCAATTATTTTTATTACAATTTTAAATGAATACTTCGAAAAATGCAATTATTCTTGAAAATTTCATTAAAATTTTTCAAAATAATTCAATTGCCTTTTGGCAATTTTTATTGAAATAGAAAAAATTAAAAATAATTGAGTTTCAAAAAATTTTTGAAAATTATTGAATCGTTTGAAACAATTTTATACAAAATTTTTTTGTAAATAATTGAATTGTTGAAAATGCATTGAAAATAATGATTAAATTCTAATAAAAAAATTATATAAAAATTTTTTAATTAAGTGAATTCTATTGTAGAATTTTAATAACATTTTTATAAGAATAATTGCATTTTTCGAAGTAATTATTTAAAATTGTATTAAAAATAATTGAAATCCTGCTATTAGTTTTATTATTTAAGAAAATAATCGAATTTTTGCAATAAATTTTATTAAATTTTTTTTAAATAATTGAATTTCTGTCAAGTTTTTTATTATTTATTAAAAATACCTAGTTAAATTCTTGCGGAGAATTTTATTAAAATTATTTTAAAAAATAGATGCATTCTTGAGAAGAATTCTATGAAAGTTAAATTTAACAGGAAGAATTGAATTCCTTCGGGCAATTTTATTCAAAGTAATTAAATTGCTATAAAGAATTATTTTATATATGAAAATATAAATAATTATGATAATAATTGAATTTTTACGAGAAATTATATTGAAAATATTTGATTTTTTGCAAATTTTATTTAATTTCTCTTAAAAATAATTGAATTATTTCTAGAGTTTTATTTTAATCTTTTAAAATAATTGAATTCCTGCAAAGAATTTTATTTATGGAAATAATTCAATTCTTTCGAGAAATTTTGTTGAAAATAATTGAATTTTTTTCAAAAAATTTTATATCTTATCAAAATAATTGAAATCTTTCGACGAATTTTATTACAGTTTTTAAACATAATTGAATTCTTTTGGAATATTCTATTGATATAGTAGAAATTGAAAATAATTGCATTTCGAAATTTTTTTGAAAATTATTAAATTGTTACAAAGAATTACGTTAATATTTGTGAAAGTAATTAAATTCTTTCCAAAAATTTAATTAAGAATGTAGTGAAAATAAATTATTTTTCATACATTTTTTCGAAAAAAGTCAATTGTTTTAAAGTTTTTTATAAAATTCTTCGTAATAATTCAATTATTTTCATATATTACAATATTCACCACAAGAAATCAATTATTTTCAAAAGTATTAAAATTTTTCGCAGAAATTCAATTATTTACAAAAATTTTAATAAAATTCTTCACATGAATTGAATTATTTTTAATACAATTTAAAATAAATTGTTCGAAAATTGCCAATATTCTTAAAAATTTTAATTTAAATTGAATTTAAATTAAATTTGAAATTGAGTTTATATTAAATTTGAAATTGAATTTAAGTTGAATTGAAATAAAAATTTAATTTTAAATACTTCGAATTAATTTAATATTAAGAAGCATTTAGTAAATTATTTATTTTTGTATTTAAATAATTGAATTCTCGTTGAATTTGGTTTCAATTTAAAATTGTTGAAAATCTTAATTCGTATGGAGAACTAATAATTAAATATTTATTTAAAAAAAAAGTTATTGATGTTTTCGAATAATTTTCCAATTAAAGAGATTCGTAAATAAATGTAATTAAACATTTTTTTAATATATATTAATTTTTAGAGAGAATCAGAATAGTCCTTAGGGAAAAAGTTAAAATTTTGTCTGGAAATAAGGGAAAAACAAAATTAAATATTTGTGAACCCTGAAGAATTACTTTTTCTTTATCGAGAATTGACTGTATTTTCTTTTTTCCGAACCAGACGTGGCGAGAGTGGTGAACGCGCCCATCTTCCACGTGAATTCCGACGACCCGGAGGCAGTGATGCACGTGTGCAAAATGGCGGCCGAGTGGCGCGCGACCTTCCACAAGGACGTGGTGATCGACATCGTCTCGTACCGTCGCAACGGCCACAACGAGGCCGACGAGCCAATGTTCACCCAGCCGCTCATGTACCGCAAAATTAAAAACACACCCCGCGTCCTCGACAAATACTCCAATCAGCTGGTGCAAGAGGGCGTCGTCACCACCGAGGAGGTCAAGGACGTCAAGGACAAGTACGAGAAGATCTGCGAGGAGGCCTACGGCAACGCCAAGCAGGAGACGCACATCAAGTACAAGGACTGGCTCGACTCCCCGTGGTCGGGCTTCTTCGAGGGCAAGGACCCGTTGAAGATGTCGCCCACCGGCGTCAAGGAGGACACTCTCGTTCACATCGGCAAGAAGTTCTCGTCCGCGCCACCGAATGCGGCCGAATTTGTCGTTCACAAGGGAATTGAGAGAATTTTGCGCGGACGATTGGAGATGGTCGAGTCGAGGACTGTGGACTGGGCTTTGGGCGAGGCGATGGCTTTTGGATCGCTGCTGAAGGAGGGAATTCACGTGAGATTGTCGGGTCAGGATGTGGAGAGAGGAACGTTCTCGCATAGACATCACGTTCTTCATCATCAGACGGTGGATAAGGCGACGTATCGTCCTCTTTGCTATTTGTATCCTGATCAGGCTCCGTACACAGTGTGCAATAGTTCGTTGTCCGAGTATGGAGTTCTTGGTAAGAGAAAAAGGAAATATTCAGACTTCTTCTTCTTCTTCTTTTTCGATCATTAAGGCCAATTTTTGTGTTTTCTATCTTCTGCGAGAAAATATTATTGTTCGTTAAACCCTCGTTCTCCAATTCGCTGTTGAGCGTAATCTATCGTCCCCCAAAACTTGGTGGGGACTGTGGATTGCGCTTAATGACAAATAGACGATTTTAGATGATAACGAGGGTTAAAAAAACAAGTTTTCTTTATGCAAAGAGGAAAGTTGACCTAAGAACTGGACTTAAACTAAATAAATTAAATAAATAGTAAAAGTAAATGAATAGTAAATAAATAATAAATAGTAAATAAATAATATAAATAATAAGAATAAATAAATAATTAGTAAATAAATTTAAATCAGTAAATTAAATTTTTGAAACTTTTGTAGGTTTCGAATTGGGTTACTCGATGACGAATCCAAACGCTCTTGTCATTTGGGAAGCACAGTTTGGAGATTTCAACAACACTGCGCAGTGTATTATTGATCAATTCATCAGCAGTGGACAGGCCAAATGGGTCCGACAATCAGGACTCGTTATGCTTCAACCACACGGTCTCGAAGGCCAGGTAAATATATTTTTTATCTCAAAATAGAAAACCTAAAATTTTTTATATTCCTGACAATAATTCATTTTAATTTACTTAATTCTTGAGAAACTTTGATAAATTATTTAATGAATAATTTTAGTTAAAAATTTAAAAGAAATAATTGAATTTCAATAAAAGAGTTGCGTTTACAATTTTCATGAATAAATAAATAAATTTCAAAAGGATTGAATTTTAAATTTTAGAAAATTTTGAATTTTGAATGAATTCAATTACAAATTCTTTAATATTTATATTCAATTAATTATGAAAAATAACGAATATAATATAGAAGAATTTTAATTAAAAACTGTTTTAAAAAAATTAGAAATAATTGAATTTTAAAAAGATTTCAAAATTAAAATATTGAAAAATCTGAATTTTTCATACTTTTAATTAAAAATTCTGCAAAATTAATTGTTTTGAAAAATTTTAATTTCAATTCTCTTAAAATAATTTGAATTTCTTTTTGAATTATATTTAATTATTTTAGAAGTTTTAACGCAATTCTTCGAAAGAATTCAATAATTTTTATAAATAACAAAATTCTTCACAGAAATTCAATTATTTTAAGAAATTTTAATAAAATACGTTGCAAAATTCATTTATTTTCATAAACAACATAATATTCATCACAAGAATTCAATTATTTTCAAAAGAATTAAAATTCTTTCTAGAAATTCAAATACTTTCAAAATTTTAATATAATTCTTCTTACAAATTTAATTATTTTCACAAATATTAAAATTTTTACTGGAATTCAATTATTTAAAAAATGTGAAGAAAATTCTTCTCTAGAATTCAATTAGGTATTTAAAAAATGCCAATAAAATTGTTCTTAAGAATTCAATTATGTCATAAATAATAAAATTCTTTTTAGGGAATTCAATTATTTTTCATACAATTTTAAACATATTCTTTGAAAAATAATTGAATTTTGAAAATATTTCAAAATAAAAAACAAAATTCTTACCAGAAATTCAATTATTTTCAGTTCTTTTAATAAAATGCTATGCAAAATTCAATTATCTTCAATAAAAACAATATTCGCCACAAGAATTCAATTATTTTCATAAACAACAATATTCACCATAAGAATTCAATTATTTTCAAAAATACTAAAATTTTTCGCAGAAATTCAATTATTTTCAAAAATACTAAAATTCTTCGCAGAAATTCAATTATTTTCCGGTATTTTAATAAAATTATTTGAAAAATCCAATTATTTTTATAAATAGCAATATTCACCGGAAGAATACAATTATTTTTAAAAGATTGAAAATTCTTTGACAAAATTCAATTATTTTCAAAATTTTAATACAGTTTCTGACACGAATTCAGTTATTGTCACTAATAATAAAATTCTTTTACTGAAATTCAATTATTTAAAAAATTTAAATAAAATTCTTCTGAATAATTCAATTATTTCATAAATAAAAAATTCTTTTTAGGAATTCAATTATTTTTCATACAATTTTAAATATATTCTTAGAAAAATAATTGAATTTTGAAAAAATTTTTTTATTTCTAAATAAAAAACAAAATTTTTCACAGAAATTCAATTATTTTCAGGAATTTTAATTAAGTTTTGTGCAAAATTCAATTATTTTTAATAATAACAATATTCACCACAAGAATTCAATTATTTTCAAAAAGAATAAATTTTTCACTAGAATTAAATTATATTTCAAAAATTTCAATAAAATTCTTCACAAGAATTGAAATATTTCATAAATAATAAAAATTCAAAATTCTTCTCAAAAATTCAATTATTTTCAGAAATTTTTTAATCAAATTCTTTGCAAAATTCAATTATTTTTATAAATAACAATATTCACCAGAGGAATTCAATTATTTTTAAAAGATTGAAAGTTCTTTGACAAAATTCAATTATTTTCACTAATATTAAATTTGTTTTCACTGGAATTCAATTATTTTTAATACAATTGCATTAATAATAATTGGATTTCTAAAGAGAATTATATTATTTGTGAAATAATTGAATTCTTTGGAAGAACTTTCTTGAAATTTTTTTTCAATTATTCCATTCCAGTGAAAAATGTTATTAATTGTGAGAAGAATTGAATTCGTGTCAGGAATTTGATTAAAATTCCTGAAAAATAATTGAATTTCTGCGAAGAATTTTAATTCTTTTGAAAATAATTGAATTCTTCTGGTGAATATTGATATTGAAGAAAATAGATGAATTTTGCAAAGAATTTTATTAAAATTCCTGAAAATCAATTATTAATTTTTACATTTAAATAATTCAATTCTCGTAGAACTTTCTGATAATAATTGATTTAGAAATGAATTTCAGTTAAAATTTTATATAATGATTGAATATTAAAAATGTTATAAATTATGAATTTATAGAAATAATTGATTTTTGGAAGATTTTTAAATTGAAATCTTTAAAAATTCCAATTTGTTGTTAAACTGTAAAAGTATTCAAAAATATTTATTTTAAAAATTTATTAATTTATAATTTCTTTAAATTGTTGAAGTTTTGAATCTGTAGAACTAATTTTTTGAAAATTTTTAATTTCAATTCCTTGGAAATTATTTGCAGTTTTTATTTTCTAATAACTATTTGATTGAAGAATTTCCGTATAATCAAAATTTCACGTAAAATTGATTTGTAAACAAATGGATTTATAAATTCTAAAGGAAGTTTGTCAAAAAGTATTGAAAATAATTGAATAAAACTTTTACGTTTCAGTTGATTTTATTAAAATAGTATCGGTAATAAAATAATTGATTGAAAATATTTGATTTAAAAAAGAACTTTTGTTAAAAATTATAGAAAATTAGGGAAAAATCAGGGAAGGACAAAATCAAATTGTTCAGTTTGTACGAAATAGAATTAATTTAAATTTATTTGTAAATTTTTAGTTTAACTTTTTTTTTCATGTAAAATACCAAATATTAAATTTTTTGTTTTTCAGGGCCCAGAACACTCGAGCGCACGTCTCGAACGCTTCCTGCAAATGTCGGCCGACGATCCGGACTATTTCCCGCCGGAGAGTGAGGAATTCGCAGTGCGTCAACTTCACGACATCAACTGGATTGTCGCGAATTGCACGACACCGGCCAATCTCTTTCACATCCTCCGTCGGCAAATCGCCCTGCCATTCCGCAAGCCACTCATCATCATGACGCCAAAGTCACTCCTGAGACATCCCGAGGCGCGCTCCAGCTTCGACCTCATGACGGAGAACACGCAATTCCTCCGCATCATTCCCGAGGAGGGTGCGGCCGCCAATTGTCCGAGCGCCGTCAAGAGAGTCATCTTCTGCTCCGGCAAAGTTTACTACGACTTGAAAAAGTCGAGGAGCGAACGTGGACTCGATGACAAAGTCGCTATCGCGCGTGTTGAACAGGTATGAAAAAAAATATTAGAATTAAGGCTCTCAACTTATTATTTTAATTACTAGCAAATTAAACGCATTCCATTTATTATCATTTTGTAAATTAAAATTTTTATATTTTCAAAAATTAACATCAATTTTTCAATGATTAGAGATTTAAAATTTTTTAAATTCACATATAATATTAAATATTCTTGTTTACTACTATTCAAAAATTTTCATAACATTTTTCGCAAGAATTTCATTGTTCTCATAAATAAGAAAATTCTTCACAAGAATTCAATTATTTTCAATACAATTTTAATAAAATTTTTCGAAAGAATACAATTATTTTTAAAAAAATGAGTTAAATTCGATTATTTTCAAGAATTTTAATATAAATTCAATTATTTTCAACAATTTTATTATAAATTCGATTGTTTTCAAGAATTTAAATATAAATTCAATTATTTACAACAATTTTGATGAAATTCTTTTTAAAAAATCATTATTTTAAAAATTTTTTAGAAAATTCCTTCAAAAAATTGAATTATTTTCATAAATAGATAATAAAATACATCGGAGGAATTCAATTATTTTCAATACAATATTATTTTTAAAAATATAATTTAAATTCAATTATTTTCAAGAATTTTAATATAAATTCAATTATTTTTAACAATTTTAATATAAATTCAATTATTTTCAAGAATTTCAATATATAAATTCAATTATTTACAACAATTTTGATGAAATTCTTTTTAAAAAAAATCATTATTTTCACAATTTTTTTATAAAATTCCTTCAAAAAATTCAAGTATTTTCGCATAAATAAGAAAATTCTTCGCAAGAATTAAAATATTTTCGTAAATAGGTAATAAAATACTTTAGAGGAATTCAATTATTTTCAATACAATTTTAATAAAATTTTTCGAAAGAATAAAATTATTTTTAAAAATATTATTTAAATTCAATTATTTTCAAGAGTTTTAATAAAATTAAATTATTTTTAACAATTTTGATATAAAATTTTTCGAAAGAATTAACAAATTCCTTTCAAGAATTCAATTATTTTTAAAAATAATAAAATTCTCGTAGGAATTCAATTATTTTTTATTATTTTTATTCAATTCAATTTTTAAAGAATTCTTGAAATTCAATTACTTTCAGTACAATTTTATTAAAATTTTAGAAAAGAATTCAATTATTTTCAAATTTTTTTTTAAATTTTTAGCAATAATTGAATAATTTCTACAAAATAATTTATTTATTTATTTATTTAGAATAATAAAATTCTTCTTCGAAATCTTCCGAAGATTTTATTATTTAAAATAATAATTAAATTGTTTCTTAGAATTTTTTAAAGTATAAGAAAATAATTGAATCGTTTTAAAAAATTTTATAGAGAATTAAGAAAATAATTGAATTCTTTTGAAAAATTGAAAAATAAACAGATTAAGAAAAAAAATTAAATTATTTCGTGTAATTTTATTGAAAATAAAAAATAATAATTAAATTTATGCAAAGATTTTACTACTTATAAAAACAATTGAATTTTTTCGAAGAATTTATTCAAATTTTAGAAAGTAATTGAATTCTTTCGTGAAATTTTATTGAAAATAATTGAATTTTTGCAAAGATTTTACTATTTAAAAAAATAATTGAATTTATTGAGATATTGTTCAATTCTTTCGGAGAATTTAAAAAAAAATGTTTAAAAATAATTATTTTTCCCTGCAATTCAATTAAATTTGTATTTAAAATAATTGAATTCGAGAGAAAATTTCATTATTTTTTAAAATAATTGAATTCTTGAATTGGATTTTATTGAAAGTTTTTTAAATAATTGAAATTTTGTGAAAAATTCAATTTTTTTAAAATTTAGTTTTTTAATTTTAATTTATTTTTTATTATATTAGGTACATTTATTATTTATTTTAATTGAATTTTTTTTAATTCGTTGTATTTCGTTTGTAGATTTCGCCGTTCCCTTACGACTTAGTGAAGAAGGAGGCTGAGAAATATTCATCGGCGGAACTTATTTGGTGTCAGGAGGAGCATAAAAATCAAGGAGCTTGGAATTACGTTCAACCGAGATTTAATACCGCTCTCAATGGAACGCGATCGTCTTCGTAAGTTTTTATTATCGTTTTTGTCTTTTATTCACGCAAGAAACAATTTTTTTACCGCTCTTTTCACTTATTTTTTATTAAATTATCGCCTTTTCTCGAAAAATCACTAATTTTTCCAAGGTAAGTAAATTATTATTATTATTTATATTTTTTTAGAAACAAGTTTATTAAATCAATTAATATTAAGTTAATTTAATAAACTCAACTATTTTTTTAATTGTATTTAATTAAATTTATACCATTATTAAGTAAATTAAAAACAATTGTCTTTTTTTAATTAAATCTTTGAAAATTATTTTTATTATTTGTTTACATTTTCATTTTTTTTTTATTACTTGTTTATGTTTTCATTTTTTGTTTTTATTATTTGTTTATGTTTTATTTTTTATTATTTGTAGTTTTTTTCTTTTTGCTTCTTTTAATTTTCCTTATATTCGTTCTTTAGAATTTTAGAATTTTTCTCATTTCCCACAATTGTTGTTCGTTTTTTTCTCACTTGAAAGGAATCAATGATTTCTCTCTTTTAAAATTTAATAAAAAAAATTTCCGTTTTATTCTTTGCATCAAGTTTTTTTTCACTTTTTTTCAATATCAAGTATTTTTGATTCTTGAATTATTTGAAAAATAAGAAAAAGAAGAGAAGAAACATTTTTATTTCACAGAAAATCAGATTTTGCAATAAAAACAATTTTTTTCAACAAAATATCAGTTTTTGTAATGAAAACGATTTTTTTCAACAAAAAATCCTTTTTTTTAAATAAGATCTTTTCTTTTTTACTACAATTAATTTTTAACTACAAAATTATTTGATTTATTACAAAAATATTTTATGTTTACATTTTCATCTCTCAGAAAATCAGTTTTTATAATAAGAACAATTTTTTTTAAACAAAAATAACTTTTTTTCGATAAGGTTTTTTTTTTGTTTATTATGATTAAAAAGAAAAATAGAAACAAAAAATTGAATATAATCAAAAAAGAAAGAAAAGTAGAAAAAGTCGGAAAATTTCAGCCGAGACGGAGACAGAATAGAAACGCAAAAAAAGAATTTAATCTAAAAAAGAGTTAAAAAAATCATTGAATCTGAATCATTTTTACTGTTTATATGGCCCATGTTTTTTTACTTTCAGTTTTTCATTAAAATATAATAGAAAGCTTTTTATTTCTCTGTGTTGATAATTGAAAAAAAAAAATAAGTTTCACTAATGCACTGATATCAGAAATTCATTGAAATTGGCAAAAATTTATTTCTATTGTTTTAAAAATAAAGAAAATAAATAAAATTTTATAAGAAGTGGAAAATTTGGGCCGTGTTTCAGTAATGAAGATTCAAAAAGCGACGGATGGTTTAGTTCATTGTTCTCGTCCTCGAAGGCAGAGGACAAGAAACCAACTCACGATTCACAAGCTGAGGAATCGACAAAACCCAGCGAAAGAATCACGAGGTAATTTTTTTTTTTTGAAACCAAAGCAAAAATATTTTTTTTAATCAAAAGAAAAGTATTTTTTTAACCAAAACAAAAATATTTGTTTAAGCAAAACAAAAATATTTTTTTAATCAAAACAAAAATATCTTTTAACCAAAACAAACGTATTTTCTTGACAAAAACAAAAATTTTTTTGAACAAAAGAAAAATATTTTTTTTAATTTAAACAAAAATATTTTTTTTTGACTAACAGAAAAATATTTTTTTAACCAAAAAAAAATATCTTTTTGACTAAAACAAAAATACTTCTTTTAATACTTCTTTTAATTAAAAGAAAAATATTTTTTAAGAAATTAAATTCTTTTTTCCCTCAAAAGAAGAGAAAAAAAAAACTTTTACTGTAGAAAATTAATTTTTTTATCTCTTTTTTTAACAATAAACAAAAATGAAAATAAGACGAAAACTAAAAAAGGAAAATGGGAAATAATTCAAAATTGAAAAAGACGATTCGACTAAAATTAGAAATAAATTTTCTTTCTTTTGCTATTTTTTTAATAAAATTTAATTGAATATTTAATAATTAATTTAGTTTAAATAATTAAATTTAGGTCCAAAAATTGAATTCATTTCGAATAATTGAATTTAGTCCAAATAATTAAATTTACTTTAAATAATTGAATTTTAATTTAGTTCAAATAAATGAATTTAGTTTAGTTTAAATAATTGACTTTAAGACAAAAAATTGATTTTAGTTTAAATAATTGAATTTAGGTCAAAAAATTGAATTTTGTTCGAATTTAATTCAAATAATTGAATTTAGGTAAAAAAATTCAATTCAGTTCGAATTTAATTTAAATAATTGAATTTAGGTCAAAAAATTGAATTCATTTCGAATAATTGAATTTAGTCCAAATAATTAAATTTACTTTAAATAATTGAATTTTAATTTAGTTCAAATAAATGAATTTAGTTTAGTTTAAATAATTGACTTTAAGTCAAAAAATTGATTTTAGTTTAAATAATTGAATTTAGGTCAAAAAATTGAATTTTGTTCGAATTTAATTCAAATAATTGAATTTAGGTAAAAAAAATTCAATTCAGTTCGAATTTAATTTAAATAATTGAATTTAGGTCCAAAAATTGAATTCAGTTCGAATAATTGAATTTAGTTTAAATAATTTAATTTTAATTTAGTTTGAATAATTTAATTTAGGTAAAAAAATTGAATTTAGATCGAATTTAGTTAAAATAATTGAATTTAGTTCAATAATTGAAATTCTTTTAATAATAGAATTTAGCTCGAATAATTGAATTTAGTTTAATTGAATTTAGGTTAAAAAATTGATTTTAGTTCGAATTTAGTTTAAATAATTGAATTTAGTTAGAATAATTGAATTTAATTTACATTATTTAATTAAAACTAAATTATTCCCTTTTCTTTTCAGATACGTTGGACGTCCAACAGCAGCATCGCCAGCAACCGGAAGTAAAGCCCAACATACGAAAGAATTGAAACAATTGCTCGACGATGCGTTTGCTATATAATTATAAACAAATTCTTTCCCTCCCCTCCCCCCTCCTTCTCCCCTAGAAACGGTAGTAAAGTTTATTTATTCATCGAAATATTAATATTTGTTATTTAAAGAAAAACAGAAAAATTCTGTGAACTTGTATTGAAAGGAAAAAAATTGAGAGAGAGAGAAAGCGAGAGAGAAACTGAGCGAGCGAGAGGAAAAAAAACCATCGTTGGAATCAAAGAAAATTTCCTTTTAGTGCCCTGGCATTAGTACCGTGTGTAAGATTATTTAATTTTTACGAAAAGTACAATTTTCTCTTTTTTAATTAGCCCCCCCCTCCCCCTCACCCCCTTCTCTCACACTTTAGAATTTTATCTTTAAAACAAAACAAAAAAACTGTCTCTGAATTATTGCTGGATCCAAAGAAAATAAACTAATTTTTCATTATTATATTTTTTAATTAATTTTCTCAAAAAAAAAAAAATAAAAATACTCAAAAGAAAAAATTTGCTAGTGAAAAATCGAGTATTTTCAAAATATAAAGAAATTGGAACATTTCGAATTAATAATTGTTTTTTTAAATAGTTTATCAAAAAGAAAAAATTGTTTTTATATAAAAAAAGAAAAAATGTAAATTTTGCAAGCAAATTAATTTTAAGCTACTAATCAAACTAACATTATTTAAGGTGAATTAAGATAAAATAATATTTAATAAAAAAAAACTAAAAAAAAACTATAAAAATAATTCAGAGGAAGTGAATTGAGAAATGGAAAAATTGTACTCTTCTAACGTGAGAAAAAAAAACTCAAGTGCAAATAATTATTGTCATTTGCTCGATTAATTATTATTATTATTATTGTCTTAGAAATCGGTGACGACTATGAAAGTATTATTTTTAACTATTTAATGAAAAGAAAAGAAAAAAAAAGTATGTAGATTTGTGCGAGAATGTTTTTTTTTGAAAATTTGGATCTGATTAAATGAAACAAACAAAAAAAGACAAAAATTGTGACCAATCAATTAAAATTTTTACAGTCGCTGTGTTTTTTCCTTGTGAAAAATTAAATGATTGGCATTTTTATTTTGTTTAGGGAAAAAAAAAGAAAAGAAAAATTTGTTATTGAGAAAAAACGAAAAATCGAATAAACGGTGGATTATTAAAATCGAGAATTTGAAATATTTTCTTTTTTTTGTTTTTAGCCCGGAATTTTTTTCTTTACAATCGCAATACTTTTGTATTTTTTAATTTTTTTAAATTTGTTGTTCCATTTTTTTAACTAGTTTTCTTAATAATTCTTTGTTATTTTTTAAAAAGATTTATTAATAATGATTCTTTATTCTATTTTTTTTGTAACTTTTTTGCAATGTTCTTTTTTTCAATTTTTTTTCAACATTTGAAGGTCAATGATTAATTAATTAATTAATTAAATACTTAAATGAAAATAAACATTTAGATTGTAATTTAATTTTTTTGGTTTCTCTTTTTTGCTTTTAAGAAACAGAAAAGTCTGCAAAAGGCACAGTATTTAAATCTTACTTTTTTTTTTGATAATTTTATTTTTTTTCTCCTGTTTTATAATTTTTTTTTTTTTTGTTAATAGTGGAAAAAACATTTATGTTTGTGATAATTTTAATTAAATCTTGTGGGTAAAAAAAAGGTACGCCTTTGGCAACTGCGGGTAACGGAAGCCAAAATGACCTTTTTTTTTAAAAAATAAATGATGAAAAAGAAATAGTAATAAACATAAAAAAATGTACTTTTTAAGCTCAGGGCAAAAGTCAAGAAAACGCCGTTTTTATTTTATTTGCATATAAGTAGTTTTTAGTAAAGTAAATCTATATTATAAAATATGTTTTAATTATGTCAGTGTGATTCTCTACGGTCGTGTGTCAGGCTCTTAATTCTATAAATAGTAAATTGTAATTTTCCTTTTCGAAAAAACAAAAAACAAAACAAAAACCTTAGAAATTTTCAACCTGCACATTTGTAGAATTCTGTTGAACTCATTAAAATTGTAAGTACCACCGAATTTGTACTTTTTTTCTCCTTTTTTGAAAAAAATATTTGTTTTTCCCTAAAAAGGACCAAAAATTTTAGGTTATGTTTAGTGATAGCTTTTTTCGGTCGAAAAATGCAGCTTTTTGATGGGATTTTTTTTCTAAAGGAATATTTATTTCTTAAAATGAAAGTTTTTCTATATTATTATACATATTTTAGTGTATTTAAAAAATATTTTATTCATAAAAATATTAATTTTTCTGTCCTTTGTATGCGATCTCCCAAAGATCCTCGAAAAAAATGTGTCTCGCATGCATTAAACTTACCTTACTATAGCAAAAAGCAGTTCCATCAACCGCTAAAACAAAAAGTAACTTCTCGCAATAAGGAACTAAATTCAGAAATTAATTTACACGAGAGAGAAAAGGATAGAAATATTTCGTCCTCTTCTAGAAAAGAACAAAAGATATATTCTTATCCTTCTCCCTCTCATTCTATTTTGGCGTTTTTTTATATTTAAAATTTTTACCAGGGGAAATAAAAATACACTCGTCTTAAAATATTATTATTTTATTCTCTACGTCAGTGGAGGAAAAATAATTGGGCTTTGCATAAAATAGAGATATGACTTAAATTAAAAATGACTTAAAGTAAATTCGTTTTAAACCATAAATATATATATATGTAAATAATATAGATATATATGTGAGAAATAACAACAATAATAGAATTAAAATAAAAAAAATTTTCTTTACAACTTGAAAAATGTCTCTGGTGGCCAATTCTTTTCTTTTACAAAATTTTGGCCTTTATTGATTCTTCAAGTTTTCTTGTAAATATAAGAATTTTTCGGAGTGGGGATATTTTCACCATTAAATATTGTTTCACGTAACAAAATATAAATATTATTTCTTTGTTTTTTCAATTCAGTTCAGATTTGGTTTTTGCTTTTTTCGTCTTTCAAAAATCAGAATGGCCCATCACACTGTACATGATTCTCTTGAAGCTGTTGCTTTGATGAATTTTTTCATCGTCGTCAATCTAAAAAAATACAAGAGAAATTTGATGTTTTTAGTGAAAATTTTATTTTAATTTTTTAGGTTATGTTCGCAATAGTCTCTTTTTATGTCTTTATGTTGAAACTAAGAACATAAAAATGGTCTATTGTGAATATAGCCTTAGGGATTTTTAAGTGGATGTCAAAATCGATGCAATTTTTACGTAGAGTTTCACAGTGGAAAAATTGCATCGATTGTGAAAGCCCCTTAAATTTTAAATATTTGTGGTTTTTTGCTGGGAAGTTGTGTACTTAAACTTAAACAATTTTTTAACAAAGTTAGGTATGTATTTTCAAAAAATGAATGAATTAAAATATTAAATAATAAAACAAATTTTTAATTCTGTAAATTTTGATTATTACTGATTATTATAAATATATAAATTTTATTTATATTAGTATTATTAATATTTGTTTCCCATTGAAGAATGTACCTTGTAATGGGGCTTTTACAATAAAAGTTTTAATAGATTCGCGAACTATTGTGATCTGGCCTTAAAACAAAACGAAAAGAATTCAAATGGGGTATTCCCCGAGCGAGCAGAGGTTGGAAACTTGAAATCTTACAATTTGCTGTTCCAAGTCAGGGTGGGGCATATTAGATTTGCTTTATTTTTTGAGACTAAAGTCGAGTTCATATACATTAAGTTGCAACTTGTAACTTTTATTTACTTTCATTTACTTTTATTTACTTTTTTTCTTTCATTTACTTTTATTTATTTTTTTTTACTTTTATTTACTTTAATTTAATTTTTTTTACTCTTATTTACTAAATGAAATTGACAACTACAAATTTATAATGTTTAACCTAGTTTCATACAAACTTCGAAGAATTTAGATCCATGCAGATAGAATTATTTGTTTGAATCTTTATTTAGTCTCAACTCTCTTTGAATTCGAAATTTAGAATTGTTAAATATTCTGAAATAGAAGAATTAACAATTATCAAGGAAACTTAGAAGTGAAACACATTGTGTACACAGCTTTAAAATGCAACAGTTGCCAGTCAACAATTATATTCGTAACTATTCAACCCTGGCTAAATTTCATTGTAGATGGCGCATTATGTGCAATTTTTTTTTACTGTGTAGACGTTTTATGTTGTTTAGTTCATGACGATAAATAAGTGTCAGGTCGCGTGTGTCAAAAACACGGTCAAAAAGATTCCAGGAAAAGCAAAATTTATTTTAAATTATAATTAAATATAATTAAACAAAGAAAACAGGGGAAAAGAGAAAATGTACCACGTCGGATGGAAACGAAAGTTGCAGTCTTTTACCAACTGGTTTAGTTAGAGGAAGCGACGCGAACTTGGAAGAACTACTCGAAAAAGGTAATAAATAATTCTAGAAAACATTCGCATTATTATTATTTTTTGTTACTTTTATCATATGATTATTATTATTTTTTTTTATTACGATTATTCGTTATTGTTTTAGGTTACGTGTATTATTATTATTATTTTTGGTTAACGTTCATTATTATTATTAATATTATAGTCAACATTTTCCGTTAGTTTAACGTAGTTTAAGAAACAAAGAAACAGTTTTTTTAAAATACATTTTTTCTTCTTTTCTATTTTTTTAGTGGTGAGCAAATTTTTTGCCGCGAAGCCAAGTTTTTCAAAATTAGCGAATAAGCGAAAAATATAAATATATTTTTTAAATCAAGTACACAAATTTCACGTACAAAATTCAGTAGTCATTGACACGATCCTTAACGAAAGGAAGAGGGAAGGGGCGTCTAAAGTTCCCACCCTTAAAAATTGCATCAAAAAATTGTTTCAGAGAAAGAAATTTATTTTTCAAAAAGTTAATTAATTTATTTACAATAAATAAAATTTTTTTCTTTCTAGCTTTGTTTTTGTATAAAATAAATAAATTAATTCTCTACTATAATTAATTACTACACAATTCAATATTAAAAAGAAATAAAATATTAATAATATTAATTATTTTTTATTACTAAATGCACTAATAAAAAATATTTGATTCAAATAACTGATTACTTGACTGTTATCAATTAAACATTTACTTAAATCAAATAATTTTTATTTCAGTCAATTAAATAATATTTGTTTCAAATACTGAAATTATTGGTCTAAATACCATTTAATTGACTCAGATAAAAGTTATTTGATTTAAGTAAATATTTAATTAACAATAGCAAAGTAATCAGTTACTTGAATCAAATTTTTTTTCAGGCAGGTTTTAAAAGGAAAATTTTTGTAATAAACAATAATTAAAAAATATTAATAAATAAATATTAATTTTTTTAATAAAAAAAATAAGGGGTTGAAAATATTTAAAAATTTTACTTACAAATGAGGAGGCAGGACTCCTTGGCGGAGGTTGTGGTGCCTGAAAATAATGTAATTGTAAACAATTTTTTGTTTTTATTTTTCTATTTCTATTTTAAAATTTTTGCTAAAAAAGTATTTCTAAAAACCATAACTAGAAGTAGGAATAAATTAAATTTGAATTTTTAATGAGTAAAATTTGAATCTTAATTGAGTAAAATTTAAATTTTTAATAAGTAAAATTTGAATAATTAATTAGTTTAAATTCTTAGTGAGTAAAATTTGAAAAATTAATTTGAATTTTTAATGAGTTAAATTTGAATAATTAATTAACTTGAATTTTTAATGAGTAAAATTTGAATAATTAAAATGTGAAGAAAAAATAAATAAAATAGAAACGGGATTTTTGTATAGAAATTGCTGTTTACGATTAATTTATATTTATTGAATAAGATTAAATTTATTGCTAAACTCGGTTTTTTTTCTTTTTCTAAGTAATTAAACATAGAGAATTTAAAGAATTTTATATACCCCGTAATGATTCGCTTTTTGCGGTGCAAAAACTCCGGTACGTGCTGGCTGTCTGATTTCCTGATGCGGGTAATCCCCAAATGCTTCGTCCTGAAGAGCCTTGTATGCTTCGCTCTTACTCGGGTCGTACTTCACCGGTTTCCTCATGCTACATAATAATTGTTCGGACACGAATTCTTAATCGTCTCATTTCGCGAGTTAATTAGCAGCAGCCAATTTATATTAATATTAATCTTTCTTTTATTAATTGTATTATCAAAAATTTAGCACATCTACAATCTACTATAAACTCGTATTTTTTCTAAGTATTATTAATTTTCTTTGTTTTTTTCTTTTAATTAGCTTTCAGATCGTGCAATTTTATTACTTCCCATTTTCCGAAAGACGTTCAATTATTTAAAGTGAATATTTCTTTTAAAATTCAAATTATTTATTCAGCACCACTATACAATTTGTAAAGGTTAAAAATATTTTTCCCCTACATAAAAAAATTTTTAAAAGCAGAAAGTATTTTTCCCCGCAGAAAAGAATTTATAAAAGTTAAAAATATTTGTTTCCTACATAGAATAATTTTTAGAAGCAAAAAATATTTTTTTCCCACAGAAAAGAATTTTGTAAAAGTTAAACAAAAATTTTCTTCTTACACAGAACAATTTTTAAAAGCAGAAAGAATTTTTTTTCTACACAGTAAAAAATTTGTAGAAGTTAAAAAAAATACTATTTTCCTAAATAGAACAATTTTTAAAAGCAGAAAATATTTTTTTCCCATACAACAGAATATTTATTAAAGGTTGAAAATATTTCTTTTCCAGATAAAAAAAATTCTTCGTTCAAGGGACACTGAAGCAAACTATAAGGTTTTTTAAGGTGAAATTCTGAGCTTATTCAATCTGAATATTAAACTTTCTAATTAATTTAGTTTAAATAAGTAAATAAACTGATTTTTTCTTTTATGCATTTCTTGATAAAGAAATTTTTTTAAAAGTTTAAAAACGTTTTTTCCATCTTGAAAATTTGATAAAAGGAAAAAGTTTGATTTATATTTTCTTTTATTATTTATTGTCATTTCTTTTATTATAAATATATTTTATGATGAATAATTTTTACAACCGGTTTCCGTTTTTATTTCGAATAAAAATAGTAGAAAAATATTTTGAAATAGATTTTATATTGATGTAAAAAAATTTATTTAAAGATTTTAGTTTTTCTTATTTATTCACTTCTATAATATAAACGTCAATTATTAAAACGGGTTTTTAGAAATCTACAGCAAGCAATTATATAACAGAGTAGAGAGAGTAAAATTGTAGAAAGTAAATATTAATTCTAATCGTTAGTAGATTCTACTTTATTGACCAATTAATTTTTTTTATTATAAAGTTATCACGTGTAAAGCGTGTAAGATATTGCATGCAAATTCTAAAATAAAAATTTAAATATATATTAAATTTTCTCGTGGATAATTTTTCGAAAAAGATTTTTTTTTGCTTTTATTATTATATTTTTTTATAACAAAAAACGAATAAAATAGTTTTTTTGGCAAGAAAACGTAATCGAAAATATTTTTGCGGGTTTTTTTTAATAGAGAAATTAATTAGGTTTATTAAATTGAGGCCACACGTTCTTTGAAGTGGCTGCCATGGCCTGTTCTTTCATTATTCTCGCTTTCTCCTGAATTTGTTGTTTTTGTTTCACGAACGAAAAATCTATGAAAATGCTGCAAAAAATAAAGAAACAGCCAGTAAATAACAGGGGGTGGATTCACTCCTTATTTACTTGCTCTTTTTAGCCTTTTCACTTTCTTTTTTTTTCTTTCTGTGTTCTTTTTTTCGTCATATTAATGTTCGGAATATTAAGGATTCGTTCACACCGCAAATAAGTAGCATACGAGAGTAAAAGAGATTTTTTTGCCGCGATTCTTTTTTATTAAAATTAGTTTTCTCGTTTAACCGAATATTTTTTTCCCGTCTGTCTAGTTATAGAAATTTAATTTGCATTAACAGAAAGCGAAAGCAAGTTTGTTATTGAATGTGAATATTAATTGTACGTTTACTTAAAAGCAGCAGCACATTAATTTTCTGTTTTTAAAAATATTTTTTTTTTCAGTTTTTAGAGGGTTAAAAGCTATTTTACATTCTGATTTGTCCCTTTTTTTTAAATTCGATTACTTACGGAATGGCAGATGCCTGACATTTAATAGTGTCCGCGATATTTTGTTCAGAGTAGAGTCCGATTGGTGTATTGAATTGCTTATGCACAACCTGTCGAACAAAATCAAAGTAAAAACGGGAATTGTTAGAAAATTTAAAAATATGTATTAGAATTTTCTTTTTTTAAACTAAAAAAATTGACTCTCGAGAAAGTGAAACTAATTTAATGAATGGCAAGGAAATTAACAAAATAATTAAATTTTTTTTAATTCTTATTAAAGTTTTTTGCAGCGTCAGTTTATTAAAAAAGGCAGTCAGCACAAAAGTTTTTTTTTAAACACAAAATTACTATCATCATCACTAATTATATAAATATTATTTTCGTATTATTACGTATTATTTTTTTAAGTATTCGAAAAAAATTCACTCGGCGGCTGGTGCACATCAGCTTCGTCCTGTTTTTATCGATATTTCTTTTAGCGATCTATTAGGTAAAAAAAAATTAGTAATGATGTAAATTATTGATTATAATGGCTCACGATGAATTTCGATGATATTGATGTGTCACTGCATGTCAACGAGCAGGGCCATAAAGCTTGAATAGGGACAAATAGTTGTTTGCCTGTTTAGTGAATAGTAAAGGTTAATTAATATCCCATGAATAATTCTAGAAAATTTCTTTAGAAAAAAATGAAAGTTATTTAATTCTTTTTCGATATTAATAGAAGTGGGGTTAGGTGTACGAATGCACTTTGAAGATTTTGCATTCATGACTTCATGTGGTATTATTAAATTAGTTGGGCAAAAATACGTCAACTGTGTAGAAAGAGATAGGTAGTGTTCTATCGTCCCCTCTTCTTTTCTTGTCTAAAAACGCCTGCGCATAAGCGAAGTTTGTTTTGGCGCCATTCTAACCGCTCAGGCGGTATTCCCTGAAGTCTCGGGGTGCTAGCACCCTTCTTCTGTTTACAAACTAGTAGACAAGAAAAGAAGAGGGGACGATAGAAACTACTTATCTCTTTCTACCGAGTTGATGTAGCCTCGATGGTTTTAAAAGTCGCTACGAATTTTTAATCTCGGTTTAGAAGATATTCAGCGTCAGTTACGTTATTAGTCAACACTTTCGACTCGAGAGAAAAGTGAAATGAGAAAAAATTTGTTTAGAAAATTATTGTTGAATTAATGAGAGTACCAGATTTGCTCTGAAATCTCTGGTGGAGAAATAAAAAACCGCGAAAAGCTTTTCGGAAAATAAATGCAAAAAGCACGTAAAAAATTGTTTTCTTTTTCTTTTGCAAACCTTAGGTAATTCATCGGGCCCCAAGACACGCTGTAGAACCGACTCAGCCACCTGATGAGATTCGTTTTTATTTCATTATAAAATAAAGTTAAATTTTTTTTATTTAAATAAAATCGAAGTAGATTTGTTAAAATCAAAATAGATTTGTTGTAAATATAATACAATTTGTCGAAGGAAAAATATTTTATTAATTTACAATTTCGCTTTTTGTATTTTTCATCAAGAAACAAAAAGAGGGAGAAAAATATTTACAGTTTCAAAAATTGGTTTCATTTTTGTAATTAATAATTGGAACGAAATTGAAATAGAATTGTTTTATGTCTTTAAATTCCGTTTTGTATTTTTTATTTGTCGAAAGTAACTTTTTTGTCATTTTGAAATAATGTTTTTTTTATCATTCTGAATCTTTTCTAATTTTTTTTTTTAATTTTCAAAAACTCGTAACTGTAAATTAAATAATCTTTTGAAACTGTAAATATTTCGATCCCTTTTTTAACAAAATAACAGATTTACAATAATTTATAATGTTATAATTTGTTCACTGACTACTGGCGAGATATGATATTTAAATTTACGTACTTTTTGTTTCATAGCAACTTCGGGATGTGCAATCTCATAATGATGGGGTGCTGCTCTTATCATCGGATTCGGATGATGACGAAGATAGCATTCACCAAGGGGTGCATCCTTCTTAATTTTTGCACCCGGCAATACGAGGGGTGTCGTTCGGTAAGGCTGAAAAACAAAATTTTTTTAAAAAAATTATTGTTTAGTGAAAAAATGGAAACTGGAGCATATTGCAAGGGTTTTTTAAGGTGAAATTCTGAGCTCATTCTATTAGAACTATTTCTAAAAAATAAATAAACAGCTAATAGAAAACGTTTTTTTCATATAGATATAGATGTAAATTTTTTCATCAAATACCGAGACGAAATAGTTTAGATTATTTTGACAAGAGAGGTTGATGACCAAAGATTGAATATTATTGAGGCATGCCAAAACAGGTGTCAATTACCCTGTCAGTGTTGAAATGTATTGAAAAAAATGGGGTTAAATTTAAATCGAGAGATTGCCAATTAATCAATGCAGGCGGTCTCAATTTAATAACTTCTTTACGCCTACGCGCATCGCGTATATACCGAAATAAATACTCCATTATAGACGTTACGTTATGGGTGCTATTCGCAAATGTTTTTTTTCTATTGCAATTCAGTTTAAAATTGATTTACTTTAATGGAAAATTTTTTTTTTAATTTGATACTAGAGAAGCCAAAATGTTTGATGTGCTTTATCGAATTGAATTATGTTTTGGCAGAGAATAAGTAATTTTCGAGTGTGAGTTATGTAATAATATAAAGTTTTCAATTGCGCGCAAACACGATTCAAATATGACGAAACATTCTCTTGAGACGCTCAAAAGAAAATCTCTCGCATTTTAGATTATGCTCCACTAAACTTGCAAGTTCGCGTAAAATTGGCACATTGCTACGGAATTGAAAATTTTTTTAAAAATTGCTACTGCAATAAAAAAGAATTGTCCTCTGCCAATGCACAAAAAATGAAGCAATCTTTCGCAAAACTTTGCCGCACGGAACCAAAATTCAATTATTTTCAAAAATTTTCCTCAATTCAATGCTTTTCAATATCAATTTTAATAAAATTTTCCAAAAGAATTTAATTTTTAAAAAAATTTAATAAAATTGTACACAAATAATAAAACTCATTGCAGAATTTAAAAATTAATTTCTGATAAAATTTTAGATAATAATTGACTCGGACTAATTATATTTTTGTCAGTAATTGGTCCGTGAATGGTCCGTAATTTTTCATTTTTGGTCTGTAAAGTCCGTATTTTTAAATACTTTCACTGGTTCGAGCCCTGAATTCTTCTTTTTGTATTTGCCCCTTAGATCCGAGGCTTATATATTTTATTTCTTTTTTATTACCTTTTTTTATTATTACGATTGTTATTATTATATTTTTACTATTTACCATTATTCTAACCATTATGAGGCATTAAAATCGCAATAAACATTTCTCGAGAGCTTTAAAAGCCGCTAAAATGACATTTTTAGCCAGAGAGCTTGTCAAGCATCAAGATTGAGAGGCAACACTTGGTCGTTAACGATCCTTTTTAGATTTCCATCTACGTAAAGTGCTTCCGGCTTTTGTCCGCTAAAGCATTTGTTTATATTCGCGATTAAATAAATTCATTTTGAAAAAATTAGTTAAAATTATTTACCAGCTTCAATAATATATATTTATTAATATTTAATTTGTCGTGAATAAATATTTTTCTGTTTATATCCAATAGGATTAAGAAAAATAATTAAATTTGCAAATACGCCTCGCAAAATTGAACAAGTAGCTTGAAAATTTTGAAGGGCAGGGCTAAAGTCTATTATTAAATCTACGACAAGAAGGCGCGACTTTGCACGTCGCATTAAAACTAAAATGTTGATTTAATTCTCAATTCTCTTGATGAATACGAACCAAATTTTTACGCAGAGGCAAATTATGGTTATTAAAAAATACTTTCGGGTAAAAATATTTTTCTTTTTGGAAAAGTAATTTAATATCAATAAAATAGGTCAGGTGTACATTATTTTGTGACAAGAGGATTGGGCATCAGAAGCTGCAAGCGTCTTGAGACTCGAAATAGATTTTGTTGAAGGCTTTCGGCTTTCGGTGTGGGCAAAAATAACGCGCACTTTACGATCAAAGTTTTACCATCTTTTAAATTTTTATTTTTCCATATTTTTTTATTTTTCATTCAATTTGCTAAAATTCTCCCAACATCCGCGCTCCTCTTTTTTAATATATATATATATATGTCACTCGTCACCATTGCTGCGGTTTCATTTTAAAATAAAACCTTTCCTGTAGGTCAAGTTTCGAAGGTCAGGTTCCAACCTAAATTCCACCCCCTCTTAGGCGATGTTTTCAAATCATTTTTCAACTATGATTTTTGTTTTTAATAATTCTTTTTTTAAATAAAAAATTGTTGATTTTTTTGCAAAATCTTAAACCGCAAAGTGGCGCGCAAAAAAAATATACAACATTTATTTCTGCATAAGACTTGGCTCAATTGTAATAATTCTCGTGAAATTTTGGCAAAACATTATCATGCGGAATGATTTATCAGCTGATTTTTCGCAAAATTTGAATCATTGTGATGAAAACGTTTTATTCGAATTATTAATTTCTGAAGTAGTGGTACTTTTATCATTTATTTATATTATTTTTTATTTTGCGAAACTTACATTCTTCAAGGGAATGGGATTTTTCAATTCTGATTCATTTCGAATTCAAATTATTTATAATAATAATAATATTAATAATAACAATGATAATAATAACAACGATGATATTAATAATAATAATAAATGTCAGAAATATGCTTAGAAAAATATAACTTTTAAAATTGTAGGGAGTAAAATAGCTTTTTTTAACCTAGGGAGTAAAATGGCCTATTTTTAACTCTAGGGAGTAAAACAGCCTTTTTAAACTCTAGGTAGTAAAGTAGTCTTTTTTAACTCTAGGAAGTAAAATAGCCTTTATTAACTCTAGGGACTAAAATGATCGTTTGTCAACTCCTGAGGAGTAAAACAATATTTTTTAATCCTAGAGAGTAAAATTGTCCATTTTTAACCCAAATAAAAAAAATAAAATGTTTTTTCCGCAAAAATGTATTTTTTTATTTTTTTTAATAAAACTTTTTAAACTAACAATTTTTTTAACTTAAATAAAATGTTTTTTAATTTATTAAAGTGTTAATAAATTGTAAATAATATGTTTATAAATTATATTTATTTTTTTCCGAAAATTTGATTTAATTATAGTTTCAATGAAACAATTTCTTTGGTTTAATGACCGATGAGGAGAAGAGTAAATCTATTTGTTTACTCCAATAACGTTTAGTAATTTTTGGCACCAGTCGTTCACGTCAGAGTTGAATTATTGCGAAACAAAAATTTGAGAATTGAATTTATTTTTGTAACTATTTCATAATTTTTTTTCTATTTTTTTTTTTTTTTTCTAAACAAAAGTGAAGAATTTTTTTCCCGACAAATTCCGATTCACCTGGTGATGAAGAAAATTAGGTTCAGAAAAAAAAAATACTAATTTCTACGCGTAAAAAAAAGGAAAAAAATCTTTTTCTTCTAAAATTTATTGACATGTTTTTTTAAATTCTTCATAAATCTCTTTTATATAAAAAAATGTTTATTTCTAGAATTTTCTCGAGATAAATATTTCCGTTGAGTTTAAAAATTTTTTATTTAAAGCCAGATAATTTTTTTTTGATTTGATAATAAAATATTATTATAGTAAAATATTGAGTAAATATTTTAATAAAATGAAAAAAAAATTTAATTATTTTATATTTTGTTAAAAAATTAAAATCTATTTAATTAATTTAATCTTTATGGACAAAAACGGTTGGATTTGATATAATTTATTTATAAATGAATTGAGTTAAAAACTTTATAAGAATTTGTGAAATAATTTAATAAATAATAAATTTATAATAAAATTATTATTTAAATTAACTATAAATTAATTTTATAAATTTTTTTTTCTGTTATAAAAGTTTATTAATAAAGTTTTATAAATTAATGTATAATTGTTATAAATAATTTGTAATTAATAATTAATTAAAACTAATTTTTAATTTAATTTTTTTTTTTTTTTTTTAATTAATTTTTTTTTTTTTTTAATTAATTTTTAATTTTTTTGAGTTTTATAGATAAAAAAGGTTGTATTTCATATAATTTATTACTAAATGAATTAAGTTAAAAACTTTAGAAGAATTCATGAAATAATTTGATAAACAATAAATTTATAATAAAATTGTTAATTAAATTATAAATTAATTTTATAAATTTTTTTTATAGTGTTATAAAAATTTAAAATAAACTTTTATAAATTACTGTATGATTGTTATAAATAAATTGTTATTAATAATAAATTTATAAATTAATTTATATCCGAAATTAATCATTTGTTATTAATAATTGATAAAAATTTATAGATTAATTTATAATTGTAATTAATAATTTGTTACGAAAAAAAAAATCTTTAAATTTATTTCTATTTACTAATTTATTTATTAATTAATGCCTACCCAGTAGACGGCAGCTTCCTCCTCTCTCGTTGTCGGTCGTTCCACGGGGAAACGATAAGTGTAAAGAGGCATTTTCCAAGTGGAAAATAAAAAAAACCGCTTTTTCGGAATTCAAAAAACTAGGGTCGGAGGATTTTCGGGCAAAAAAAAGAATGCAAAAAATATTTTTTTTTTTTTTGAGTAACGCACTGGTTAGGCGCGCGGGCGGAACTAACTCTGGCTCACGGCTTAAATTTCGAGTAGACTTGAATCTCGTAAAGCAAGGATATCTTACACCTACGTATATTATAATCCCCATCTCAACACGATTTTATATTTACTTTTTCAAAAAGTTGACTTTCAATTCCCGCCAAGATTAAAAAAAGAATTTTTTTAAAATAACGTTCTTTTTCCGTCTTTTTTATTATTATCTTATTTATTATTTTTTCCTATTTTATTTTTATTATTTTTTTTTATATTTAATATTTTTTTTCTTTTTTTCATTATTATTTTTTTCCCTTTTTTATTTATTAACCTCCACTATATAAGACACTGAAAAAAATGTATTTGATGCAAGTAAATATTTATTTAATAATAGACTGTTATTAAAAAAATTTATTTGATTCAAGAAAATATTTATTTATTAACAAATTGTTATTAAAAAAAATTATTTGATTCAAGTAAATAATTATTCGAAAACAAACTGATATTAAAAAAAATTATTAGATTCAAGTAAATATTTATTTTTTAACGAATTGTTATTAAAAAAATTTATCTGATTCAAGTAAATTTTTATTTGATAACAAATTGTTACTAAAAAAATTTATTTGACTCAAGTATCTAAATATTTATTTGATAACAAATTGTTGTTAAAAAAATTTATTTGATTCAAGTAGATAATTATTATTTGATAAGAAATTCCTATAAAAAAATTATTGAAATATTTATTTGATGACAAATAGTTATTAAAAAAAAATTTGGCAAAAATTATGAAAGAAAAATTGTGGAAAAAATTGATATTAAAAAAATTAAAGATAGAATTTGCAAAAAAAGAAAAAAATGTAAAAGAGTGAAAGAAAATTAATTGCGAAGAAAGAGGAAAGGAAAATTTAAGAAACAAAAAGATAAATGAGCTTGAATAATATAGAAAAAACAGAAAACATTTTCACACGTAATTTTTAATGCGTCTATATGACAAATTAGAATTTGTGTTTTTGAAGAAGAGAGAGAGAGAGAGAGAGAGAAAAAAAGATGAAAAAAAATTGAAACAAGTCAAGGCTACTATTTATTTTGGCAAACGTCATCGTCATCATCGTCATCATCACCACCAACTAAACTCTCACGTAAGATGTTTCTGGATGAAAAGCGAAACTCGATTTCCCAACTAACAAGGTCATTGAAATGCCTTTGAATTTCCCATCTGGGAAAATTTTTACCCCAAAAATTTATTTCTGTGTTTATTTTCTCTGAGCTGCGAGAGATGTATTGCTAACTAAAAACGAGAACTCAAATACATAATATACATATAGTCAATCTTTTTATGTATGATTCATAAGTCAACTCTCGGGAAAATTGTCGTAATTTCATATGGAAAATTACTTTTTCTGCCAAAATAGAAGTTAAGAAAGGGAAAGGAAATTTTTTTTTCATTTATTTATTTTTAATTAATTTAAAAAAAAACCTTTGTTTCAAATTTATTTTGTCGGTTAATTCTAACTTTTTGATTCATTCATAAAAATTAATCCTTTTTTCATTATAATATTATTTTTCTTTTTTTTTAAATTTTATTCAAGAATTGAAATTAAAAGAGAAAGAATATTAAAAATAATAAAAAATAATAGGAATAATAATAAGTACACAGTTTTCTAAGGATTTCAAATTTAATTCTTGCAAAGAATTTAACGAAACAATTGGAGAATTAAATTTAAATTCCTTCGAAGAATTTTATTATTTATGAAAATAATTAAATTCTTGCGAAGAATTTTATGAAAATTTTTGAAAATTATTGAATTTTTTCGAAGGATTTATTAAAATTTTAGAAAATAATTGAATTTTTTCGTGAAATTTTATTCAAATTGTATTAAAAATAATTGAATTTTTGCAAAGAATTTTACTATTCATGAAAATAATTGAATTGTTTAAAAAAATTTTATAGAGAGTTAAGAAAAAAAATTGAATTTTTCTGAAAAATTTTATAAACAATTAAGAAAAAAAATGAATTATTTTATGAAATTTTATTGAAATAAAATAAAATAAAATAATTGAATTTTTTAAAATTATTTTACTATTTAAAAAAATAATTGAATTTTTGCAAAAATTTTACTATTTAAAAAAAAATTGAATTTTTTAGCAGGTTTCATTAATTAAATTATTGTAAAAAATAATTGAATACTTTTGTGTGAAATTGTAGTGAAAATAATTGAATTTTTGCAAAGATTTTACTATTTAAAAAAATAATTGAATTCTTTCGTGAAATTTTTTTGAAAATAATCAAATTTTTGCAATTCTTATACTATTTTAAAAAATAATTGAATTGTTTCGAAGAATTTATTAGAATTTTAGAAAATATAATTGAATTCTTTTGCAAAATTTTATTGAAATTGTATTGAAAATAATTGAATTTTTGCAAAGAATCTAACTATTTATAAAAATAATTATATTCTTTCGTGAAATTTTTTTGAAAATAATTGAATTTTTGCAAACATTTTACTATTATTTAAAAAAGTAATTGAAATGCTTCGAAGGATTTATTAAAATTTTCAAAAAATAATTGAATTTTTTCGTGTTTTATTAAAATATTTTATTAAAAATAATTGAATTTTGTACAAAGACTTTTACTATTTAATCGAAAAGTAATTGAATTGCTTTGAAAAGTTTTATAGAAATTTAATAAAATAATTGAATTCTTTCGTGAAAATTTTATTAAAATTTGTATTAAAAATAATTGAATTTTTGCTAAGAATTTTACTATTTCTAAAAATAATTGAATTCTTCTGGAAAATTTCATAACAAATTAAGAAAAAAATTTAATTCTTACGTGAAATATTATTGAAAATAATTTATTTTTTGCACAGAGTTTACTATTTAAAAAAATAATTAAATTTTTTACAAGGATTTTTTTAAACATTTTTTAGAAGATAATTGAATTTTTGCAAAGATTTTGTAACGAATTAACAAAAAAATTGTATTGTTTCGTGAAATTTTAATGAAAATAATTGAATTTTTCCAAAGATTTTACTATTTAAAAATAATAATTGAATTTGTTTCGAAGGATTTATTAAAATTTTTGAAAAAATAATTGAATTATTTCGTGGGAAATTTTTATTGAAAATAATTGATTTTTTGCAAAAAAAATGTTAACTATAATTTTTATAAAAATAATTGTATTCTTCCGAAGAATGTTATTATTTTATGAAAATAATTGAATTCTTGCCAAGAATTATAATAAATTTTTTTGTAAATATTTAAACAATAATAGTTAATTTTGTACTTAATAAGTATGAATTTTTTAAATTTTCATTTCGAGAGCGTAACTATTTGCTAGTAAAAAAATGATAATAAAAATAAAATGACAATAAGAATTGTGGGGAAAATGAAAGTGATGCTTGGTCCAGATATTGATTTTGAGAAATTGGAAGACAAAGTGCATTTTGTGTTTTGCTAGTCAAAGAATCGAGCAGTATCGAATTGAGGTGGTGATTTCGATGCAAAAGTGATATTTATAGCTTGCAGACTGCCTCCACGTGGTTTTTCCGGCATCGCAGCTTGCCAAGAAAAATATATTTGCAAAATTCACTTTCGCGACCCTAAACTGATGTACATTACATATATTATTTATTATTATTGTCATTATTATTATTATTATTATTATTATTATTATTATTATTATTATTATTATTTTTTAAATTTTTCTCGAAACATTTTAAAAAATTTATTTTTCAATTATTATTATTTATTTTTAATTATTTATTTAGAAATTAACAGGCAAAGAAGCCTTCGAATATAATTGAATGCAAAATATATTTATTGTTATTATTATTATTTTTTTAATTTAAACATTTTTATTATTATTATTTTTTTTTAATTTAAAAATTTTTATTATTGTTATTATAATAACTATTAATATTATTATTTTTATGTTTCTATTAATGCAACTTGTCAATTTTTGTCATTAGAAAAAGAAAACAAAAAAGTAGAAAATATAAAAGAATTTCTGAATTTTTTCAAATTTTTTGATTTGATTTGATTTGATATTTATTATTATTATTATTTATTTTTTTTATATTTTTGGATTTGATTTGAAAAAAAGAAAATGTGATTAATTACCTGTGAAAGGTAAATTCTCTCCTCCCGAATTTCGTCTAAATGTTCCTTGGCAAGATGATAATGATGATCCGGACTTGATCGAATTGAGAAATCATCCTCAACTGGCGTTGCCGGTGGAATTGGACTTTTTGGTAGAATTTTCGGTTCGGCCGCCAATTTTTGTCTGTACGTGTGTTTTTTTTCGTTTCCAAAAAAACGAAAAAAGAAATCGAAAAAAATTCACATTATCAAAATGTATGATATTTATTTACGCAGAAATGCATATTAATTTTTTTGAGATACGCGAAGAATCTGCAAAGAGTCAGTATTGCCAAGGCATCGAGACAATCAATTTTTTTTTTTTTTTTTGGTATTCTAATACTTAAGACCTTCTCATTTTTTGAAGATGAGAAGTTTTTTTTTTGAAGCTTTTTTTTTAATTTTTGTGAAAAAAATTTGCCTCTCTCGATTATTTGAAGCCAAGCATTGCGAAAAAGGGCTTTAAAGCATTTAAAATTGATGAAAAGTGCAAGAAGAGTTGAAGGTCTGGATCAAAGAATGGATTTTTATTTTAAAATCTTTGTCAAAAATATTGAAAGCTGGTCAATAAAGGGGCCATTATTGACCTAGGATAATAATGGGTACTTTATTGACCTGTGAGCGGTCAATAAACTACTATTTATGCCCCAAGGGTAATAATGGGTACTTTATTGCCCTAGGACAATAATGGACACATTTTTGAGAATTTTGAGCATTTAAAAATTATTATTCTTTGATCGGGACCCTAAAAGAAATGAAATGAATAAAAATAATTATGAAACTGTATATACAATGAAATAATGAAACTAATCTATTGAATCAAAAAATAGAAATTGATACAAAAATAAAAACAATAAAAATAAAAATTGATACAAAAATAAAAACAATAAAAATAGAAATTGGTACAAAAATAAAAACAATGAAACTAAATATTGATAGAAAAATAAACACAATGAAAATAAAAATTGATACAAATTTGACTATAATATTTTAGAAATTATAAAATTTGAAAAATTGAATTAAAAACTGAGAATAAGAGATTTTGCAAAAGCGACAGAAAAAAGTATTTGAAAAAAAGAATAAATATAGAAGAGCAATAAAGAAAGAAGAAGAAGAAGAAGAAGAAGAAGAAGAAGAAGAGAATATTCTAACAAATTTAAATCCGCAGCCACATTGTCGTCAATGATTGATTTGAATATCGATGATTGCGATGAATGATAATGAGATGTGATTTCTCTCAGTGAATCAGACCTTTCGATGACAAGTCTTACAGACTCTGAATTTTTTAGCAGATTCTGGGCGTCAATGTGTCTCAAGTCCCGAACGTCGTACTCGTCAATTTTTTTGATCACGTCACCCTTCTGGAGGTCTTCGTTCTCCGACTGCAACAAAACAATATTAAATAATTAAATTCATTCAATTTTTTATTAATATTTTCTTTAACTGTAATTTTTTTTTTAAATCTGATATCCAAATAGTTTTTTTTAAAACGATTCAATTATTTTCAAAAAATATTCGAAATTCAATTATTTGCAAAAAAATATTCGAAATTCAATTATTTTCAGGAAATATTCGAAATTCAATTATTTTGAAAAAATATTCGAAATTCAATTATTTTCAAAAAAATATTCGAAATTCAATTATTTGCAAAAAAATATTCGAAATTCAATTATTTTCAGGAAATATTCCAAATTCAATTATTTTCAATATCTAGTATTTTCATAAAATTCCGCAAAAGAATTCAATTATTTAAAAAAATTTATAAAATTCATCCAAAATTAAATTAATTACATAAAGAATAAAATTTTGTTTCTAGGAATTCAATTATTTTCATTAATAATAAAAATTTTACGGAAATTCAATTATTTTCAAATTTTTTTTATAAATTTCTCCTAAACAATTTAATTATTTTCATAATTAATGGAAATTTTTTTAAAGGGATTCAATTATTTTCATAAATAATTAAAATTCTTTCTAAAAATTCAATTATATAAAAATTTGTTAATAAAATTCTTTATGAGAATTGAATTTTAAGAAACTTTCAATTATTCAATATAATAATTTATTTATGTTTGTATTTAAATAATTGAATTTTCGTAGAATTTTCTATTAAAAATTTATTTAAAAATGAATTTCTTGTTAAAATTTTAGAGAATAATTGAAAATTTAAAAAAAATTTAATTTCTATTCGAAAATTCAATTATTTTCATAAATAACAATATTTATCACAAGAATTCAATTATTTTTAAAAATAATAAATTTTTTTTGGAAATTCAATTATTTAAAAAAATTCTAATAAAATCGTTCGCAAGAATTCAATTATTTTCAAAAATAACAAAACTTTTTACATAGAAATTCAATTCTTTTTAGACATTTTAATAAAATTTTTCCCAATAATTCAATTATTTTTTAAAAAAACAAAATTTTTCACAGAAATTCAATTATTTTTGAAAATTGTAATAAAATTTTTTTGCAACTATTCAATTATTTTCATAAACGATAAAATTCATCGCAGGATTTCAATTATTTTTATAAAATAATTTTACTGGAATTGATCAAAATATATAATTTTTTTTAAAAATTTAATTTCAATTCCTTGAAATTATCAATTATTTAAAAAAATGTTTTTCTTTAATTCTTTGGAAGAATTCAATTATTTACAAAAATATTAAAATTTTTCACACAGAAATTCAATTATTTTCAAATATTTTAATAAAATTATTCGAAAAAAAACAATTATTTTAAATACAATTTTGTAAAGAATTTTATTAAAATGCCTCAAAATAATTGAATTTTTGGGAAAATAATTTTGTTATTTATCTTTAATAATTGAATTCTTGAAAATTATTATTTATTGCGTAAATAATTGAATTCTTGTGAAGAATTGTATTAAAATCGAAAAGAATTAAATTATTTTAAAAAAAATTTAATTAAAATTAAATTATTTGAAAAAAAATTTAATTAAAATTCAATTATTTTCATAAATAACAATATTTATCACAAGAATTCAATTATTTTTAAAAGTAATACATTTTTTCTTGGAAATTTAATTATTTAAAAAAATTCTAATAAAATCGTTCGCAAGAATTTTTGACGGAAATTAGGAAAAAGTCGGGAAAATAAAAAATATAGAAAATAGAATGGAATTTTTGTCAGTTTTTTGAAGTGTCTAAAACGGGTTTTTTTTGTCGTCAAGTTTAATTTTTCGATAGCTACTTTTTTACTACGTTTTTTTTAGTTTAAAAGCCACTTTTCTAAAATTAATTATCGAGTGCGAAGTCTGATATTTATTTAGCTCAAATAAATATTTTACGAATAATAGATAAACCATTAATTTTTTTTTCAGTGGAATAATAACAATTAGAAAATCAACCGGCAATTGATAGGTCCTGGGGTTTATGGGGGTCCCGGGTTTCGATCCCCAACAGAGTTAGTCCCCCATTTTTTCATAGTTTTAATTTTTTAATATTAAAATAAAAATTTAGAAATTAAAAAAAATTGAAAATATAAAAAAAAAAAAAAATTAAAAAAAAAAATATAAAATTGAAAGGCATTTGGAGAAAAAATGATAATTTGAACTCACTCGGGTGACGATGATCGGCGTGCCTAAATCAGCACCCCCGGCGATGCTGATACCCCACGGTCGACATCGACTTGGTCTTCGCAACTTAACGACCAACGTTTGTCTTTTCGTCATAATCTAACTAAATTCTCTACTATTCGTTTTCAATTTACAAAAAGAAGGATAAAAATTTTAAAAAATAAATAAAAATAAAATTTCTAGAAAAAAAAAATTTCTTTTAGAAAAGAAAAGATAAGGTAAAAATAAAGTTAAGAAAATTGTTAAATAAAAAAAAAATATCGAATTTAAAAAAATTTAGTTTCGAAGACACCTGACGAGAGTGTGTATATAAAAAAAGGGAATAATTCTCGCGATGGAAAAAACCGTGACTGTAATCGGACGAAATTGAAACGACCACTGTTCAGGGAGCTTTGACTTTGACAGGCTTTAGCCGCAAGCTCGTTGCCCAACTGACTCGACTCTGTTAGTGCCATTCTGGCCTCATTTCCAATTGGCATTCGTTGTATTGTTCTCTGGCTACGACCTGCACTCGTTTCTTTTTTTTTCTTCTTTTTTAATTTCTCTCTACGTTCATATATCAATTTATGTCCTCTTATAGGTGTCGATTTTCGTTTTTTTTTATTTACGCGAAAAAAAAATACTTCTTTCTTCACTGTTTTTAAAAAAACAAATCTTTTTTTTTCTCCCCCTCAAAATATTTTATATGAAGAAAAAAATTTTCCTTTCTGGAAAAGCAACAAAAAATATTTTTTTAAAATCAAAATCTTTTATTCCCCCCTCCCCCCCTCAAAATATTTTATTTCTATATATAAAGAAAAAATTTTACTTCCTTTTCTGTAAAATTTTTTTTTAATAAAAAATATTAAAATAATTAATAGTAAATTAAATTAATTAATTGATTTTTAAAATAATTTATCATACAAATTTTTTTAATTTATAGAAAAAGTAAGTTTTTTTCGCTTTTTTCGTTATTTCTTCACTGTAAAAAGTAAGTTCAGTGTTTTTAAAAACAAATTCTTTTTTTTCGCCCTTGAGATATTTTTATTTCTATATATAAAGAAAAAATTTTATTTCGTTTTTTTAAGAAAGGAATAAAAAATATTTTAATATTAATTTTAATATTAATTTTCAAATAACTTTTTATCATACAAATTTATTAATTTATAGAAGAATTAAGTTTTGAAAAAAAAGTCCTCCAAATTTTATATATACAAATTTTCAAAATTTATACTTTTTCGCTTTTTTCCTTATTTCTTCACTGTCAAAATTGAGTCTTGTTTTCAAGCCCGAGTTCGAAAACAAATATTAAACCAAATATTGACTGAATTTCTGATTAGAAAACTAATTTTAAGACATAAAATTGCCTTATTTTGATTTATTTTCAAAATTTATACTTTTTCGCTTTTTTCCTTATTTCTTCACCGTCAAAACTGAGTCTTGTTTTTAAGTCCGATTTCGAAAAGGAAATAATTTAAAATTTTTTTTATTTTCCAACAAAATATAAAATTTTCAAACTCTGGGCATTTTTTTTTTATTTATTTCTTCTTTTGCAAACTGAAGAAAATTGTGTGTTAAACAAGAAAGAAAATTATATGGGAAAAAAAATCGCGATGATCCTGTTTTGAAATAAAACCCTTCCGATGGTTTGCGAGACGTTTAAATTTAGAGCCGGGGAAAAAGTTAATTTAAACTTTCTTTAGTTGTTCACCGTCCCATCCAAACTGAGATCGAACTTAAAAAGACGCGCGGTGTCAATTGACTGTCAATCAAACGTCATGTAAACGTTAAACTCCAAAGGTGTAATTTCACTTTTCTTCATTAATTTTTTTTATTCTAAAACACTTTTAAATTATTATTATTTATTTCCTAATCTAATGTGATCTAAATCTTAATTTTTATTTATTTTTATTGTCAATATTTTTATTAAAATTATTATTGTTATTATTATTATCATTATATTTTTATTCTTAATATTTTTATTATTTTTATGATTATTATTATTATTATTATTATTATTATTTTTTATTATTTTCTTATTTTTCTATTACTTTTCACTATTTTTATGATTACTGCGGTTACCATTAGACTTATTATTTTTTTATTGATAATATTTCTATTATTGTTGTTATTAATATTATCATTATTATTATTTTTACTGCTAATAATTTTATTATTTTCTTACTTTTCTATTATTCTTTTCTATTTTTATTATTATTGTTATCATTAGTATTATTATTATCATTATTATATTATCACTATTTTATGAACGACACGCTGAAGAAATAGTAAAAAATTTGAGGTTATGTTTAAAATTTTTTGCACGAAAATACCAAAAGGTGAAACAACTCTCAATATGAACCACTAAAGTTTATTGTTTTTACATCAAAAATAAATTAACAAAAACTGATTTCATTTTTTCAAAATTAAGCAAAAAGTTAAAAATGAAGGTAAAAATAATACAAACATAACCTCAAAATGATTATTGTTTTTTAGTGTTCTTCTTTGGAGGGCGTCACATATGAATAATAAATTTAAAAGAAATTAGTAATTATTTTTTTAAAGTACTTCCAAATGTTTATTTAAATTAATTAATTATTATTATTAAAAAAAAAAAAAAAAAAAAAAATATTTACTCAATTTTTATTAATATTTTTCGTTGCTATTAAATTATATTATAAAATTAAATTATAATACAAAATTATAATTATAATATAAAAAATTATAATGTAAAATTATAAAATTAAAATTATTTAACGACAAGACAATGAATATTTGAAGTCAAATCTATCAAATTGGCTGGTTTAATCAAATACCTAATTTGATTTTATATTTGACTGAATTAAATTGTTTATTAAAATAAAAAATTCAATTAAAAAAAATAAATTTTGACTCGATGAATTTTACAAAAATTGACTTGGGGAAAAGGGGGAAAATTAATATAACAAAAAAGCATCTAGGAGAATAATATAATTTGAAAATTTTAAGAGAAAATATAAAGGGAATTTGTAAATATTAAAATTACAATAAAATAAAATCTAATAATAATAATAATAATAAATAATAAAAACTTGAGGGCTTTATTTATGTAGAAACCTATGAGGTTAACATGAAGAGAATAAATTTATTTATTGATAAATAATAATAATAATAAAATAATAAAAGTGATAAAAATAATAAATTGGTAATTTTCAACTCACGTAGGTCTCATAGTATCGCCCTAAGGAAAACCTCAGGGTCGTTCGCCTCCGTAGATCCGTTTTTGGTCGATTTTTAAATTCCTCACACCTCGGTCCTCTTATTTGGTGGTTGGTGTCAAAAATTTATAAATAAAGGAAATTTGCAAATTCACTGCAAAAATAGGTGTGAATTATTTTTTCATTCCCTCTCTCTCTCTCTCTTTTTCTAACAATTTTATATATAACGCACACTTCCTGGAGACCAATTACCTAGACAGCACTTGGTCTAATGAGTATTTCACTTCTAATTTAAAGTGAAAGAGAGAAAGAGAGAGAAAGTGGAAGAGAAGCGCAAAAGAGGGAAAGAGAGGAAAACAGAGGAGTGAGAGAGAGTGAGTGAGACAGAGAGAGACAACAATACTTAAATTAGCAACCTATGGTGGTAAAGGTTAATCAATTAAGACACACACACGCTTTCATTATTCTAATTAGATTAGCGGCAATTTGAAATCTGTTTGTAATTACAATCATTGTATTATTGTGCGTGAGAATTTTATCTTTAATAATTTTTTGGAAAAAAATATTTTTTTATAAAAAATATAAAATATTATATTATTATATTTTTATAAAAAATATTTTTAATTTTATTACTAATTATTATTATTATTTTTAGTATTATTATTTACTACTATTATTATTATTATTGCTATTGTTATTATTACTAAATTATTAATATTACTACTACTATTATTATTATTATTATTATTAATATTATTACTTTTTTTTGCAGTCATCGGAACTGGAAAATCTGTGAATTCAAATACCTGGATAAAGAATGTTTGTAGTCGGAAGTGGAAAATCTGTGAATTCAGATACCTGGATAAAGAATTTTAGTTTGTAGTAAAAAATGGAAAATCTGTGAATTCAGATACCTGGATAAAGAATTTTAGTTTGTAGTCGGAAGTGGAAAATCTGTGAATTTAAATACCTGGATAAAGAAAACCATTATTATTATTATTACTCGCTCCCAAGAAGCAAACGAATTTTAGGTTATGTTTATGTTAAATTTATTTTGATTAAAAGTTAATTTTTAATTACGTCACTTTGAAATCAGTTTTTATGGAATATTTCGGGTGTAATGAAGAATCGAGGATCAATAATTTCTTATGGTAATCAATTCTCTTTCTGTTTTTTTATTCAAAAAATTATGAACATAACCTCAAATTTATTGCTTCTTGGAAACTTTTCTCAGGAGCGCTTCACGCTCAACAACATTATTGTTATTATTATTATTATTTATTTACTTATTTATTTATAAATGGGACAAACCCTTTCGTTGAAATTATTATTATTTATTTGTTTACTTATTTTTTTTATTTATTTACTTATTTATTTACAAACGGGACAAACCCTTTCGTCAAAATTATTATTTATTTTTTATTTATTTCTTCTACCCTTTCGTCGAAATTATTATTATTATTTATTTGTTTACTTGTTCATTTATTATTATTTATTTATTTACTTATTTATTAATATATATTTATTTATTTATAAACGGGACAAAAAATGTTGTTTCGCAAAGAAAACAGTTTTGAATTTCGCGCCGTTAATTCAGTGTCGTACACATGCGCAATCGAATCAAAACAAGTGCTCCGGACTTCACGCTGCATGAAAAAGTCGCAAACACGAAAAACACGTGCGTTTATGCGCTTTTAATTAACACAAATATAAATGATGTAAAATAGTGATATAGTTTTTTAAATAAAATAAATAATGGGAGACATGAAGACTAAACTTTCCGAGGCCGACAAGGCCAAGGAGAAATATTATAAAGTCGTGCAAATTCCACCAATTCCAGTAAGTACAAATTTTTCCACCATTTCAGAGGTTAGAAAATTGTTTTCTATTTGTTTCCTATATTTATTTATTTAGTTTCCCTTTTATTATTTCTATATCAATACGAATAACAAACATTTATTAATACTTCGACTTTTTGTTATTAAAAATTCTTATTCTCTTTCTAAATAATATAAATACTTTTAATCCTTTTAATCGAGATTTATTCTTACTTTGATAGGTTAGAAAATAATTTCTGCGTTTCTTTTATTCTTTTGATTCGTTTTATTAATTTTTCTTTCGATTTTTATTAATTTCGACTTAATTATTAATTTTTATTCAGTATTAATTATTTATAAAATAAGTCAAATAAAACGAAAACATTCGGACAATGAATAAAAATATTTATTTACTTTATTCATTCATTGACCGATTGTTTTCGTTTTATTTGCCTTATTTTATAAAAAAAGATCTCGGACCTTAAAGATTATTTATTTGACTAATTAATTGTTTAATTTTACTGATTTTTAAATAATATAATTTCTTTCATGAATTTTTTTCGACAGGATAAATGGAAATTAGTTCCGGCTTTTCTAAAAGTCAAAGGATTGGTTCGTCAGCATATTGATTCATTTAATTATTTCATCAACGTTGAGGTGAAAAAAATTATTCAGGCAAATGAAATGGTTTTCAGTGATGCTGATCCTGATTTTTATCTCAAGTAAGAAAATATTCATATTCTTTCTTATTCGAATCTCAAGCTAGAGAATAGAAAACAAATCGTGAAATAGAAAAAAAAATGAAAAAGAAGAAAAAAATTAAAGAAATTAAAAGAAATTAAAAGAAATTGAATTAAATTAATTAAAAAGGATAAAATTAAAACTAATATTTGGAGAAATTCAATTATTTTCAAAAGTAATAAAATTCTTTCTCAGGAATTTAATTATGTTAAAAAATTTACAAAAATTCTCGTCAAAATTTCAATTATCTTTACGAATAATAAAATTCTTCTCAAAAATTTTAATAAAATTCTTGGCAAAATTTCAATTATTTTCAAAATTTCCCTCAATTCAATGATTTTTAATATCAATTATTTTAATAGAATTTCCCAAAGAATTCAATTATTTAAAGAAAAATTTTAATAAAATTTTACGAAAATGTTTGATTAATTTCATAAATAATAAAAATTTCAGAGGAATTCAATTATTTACAAATTTTTTATAAACTTTTTCGCAATAATTCAATTATTTTCATAAATAATAAAAATCGCAGAATTTCAATTATTTTTAACACAATTTTAAATCGAATTCCTCGAAAAATGTAATTATTTTTAAAAATTTTATCAAAATTCGGCAAAAAATTTAATTACATAGATATTTAAAATTTTGTTGTTAAAATTCTTTATAAGAATTAAAATTTAAAAAACATTCAATTATTTAATAAATTATTTACTTGCATTTCCTTTGTATTTAAATAATTAATTTCGCGTAGAATTTTCTAATAAAAATTGAGTTAAAAATGAATTTTAGTTAAAATTTTAGGTATAATAATTAAATATTAAAAAAATTATAACTTTAATTTTTAGAATTAATTCTTTGCAAAATTCAATTATTTTCAAAAATAACAATATTCACCACCAGAATTCAATTACATATTTTCAAAGAATTAAAATTCTTCACAGAAATTCAATTATTTTCTAAAAATTTTAATAAAATTCCTCCCATGAATTCCATTATTTTCACAAATAATATAATTTTCAACTGAAACTCAATTATTTAAAAAAATTTTAATAAAATTCTTCTCAAAAATTCAATTAATTGATAAATATAATACAATTCTTTTTAGGAATTCAATTATTATTAAAACATTTAACAGGGTGTCTAACGGTCAGGGAAGTTAGGGAAGTCAGAGAATATAAGAGAATTTCATTGAAAGTCAAGGAAATTTCTAAAAATTTATACAAAAATTAAAATTTTTGTGAATAAAAATTTTTTTAATCTAAAAAAATTTAAAAGATTTTTATTATCGTTTGTTTCTATCATTAGATATTAATTTATTGTTAAACATGTCAGTTACTATATTTTTGTCCCAAGAAAACAGAAATAAAATTAGTAAAAAGTCAGAGAACTATTTTCTCGATCCTTGTTAGACACCCTGCGTAAATAAGTAAAGTATTTCCAAAGAGCACAAAAATAGTGAAGCTAAATGCCATAAAAAAGAAGAAAAAACGTTGAATTTTATTAAATTCGGTTTTTCGAATTTTTGAATATTTTTGATAATTTTAGATTTTTTACCAAACGGTAGAGATTTTTAAATAAACAAAGTATTTCCCAAGAGCACAAAAATAGTGAAGCTAAATGCCATGAAAAAGAAGAAAAAATGTTGAATTTTAAGAAATTCGGTTTTTCGAATTTTTGAATATTTTTGATAATTTTAGATTTTTAACCAAAGGTTTGAGATTAAAAATTAGGTAAAGTATTTTTGAAGAGCACAAAAATAATGAAGCTAAATGCCATAAAAAGGAAAAAAAAATGTTGAATTTTAAGAAATTCGGTTTTTCGAATTTTTGAATATTTTTGATAATTTTAGATTTTTTACCAAACGGTAGAGATTTTTAAATAAACAAAGTATTTCCCAAGAGCACAAAAATAGTGAAGCTAAATGCCATGAAAAAGAAGAAAAAATGTTGAATTTTAAGAAATTCGGTTTTTCGAATTTTTGAATATTTTTGATAATTTTAGATTTTTTACCAAAGCGTGGAGATTTTTAAATAAACAAAGTATTTCCCAAGAGCACAAAAATAATGAAGCTAAATGCCATAAAAAGGAAAAAAAAATGTTGAATTTTAAGAAATTCGGTTTTTCGAATTTTTGAATATTTTTGATAATTTTAGATTTTTAACCAAAGGGTTGAGATAAAAAATTAGGTAAAGTATTTTTGAAGAGCACAAAAATAATGAAGCTAAATGCCATAAAAAAGAAAAAAAAATGTTGAATTTTAAGAAATTCGGTTTTTCGAATTTTTGAATATTTTTGATAATTTTAGATTTTTTACCAAACGGTAGAGATTTTTAAATAAACAAAGTATTTCCCAAGAGCACAAAAATAGTGAAGCTAAATGCCATGAAAAAGAAGAAAAAATGTTGAATTTTAAGAAATTCTGTTTTTCGAATTTTTGAATATTTTTGATAATTTTAGATTTTTTACCAAAGCGTGGAGATTTTTAAATAAACAAAGTATTTCCCAAGAGCACAAAAATAGTGAAGCTAAATGCTATAAAAAAGAAGAAAAAACGTTGAATTTTATTAAATTCGGTTTTTCGAATTTTTGAATATTTTTGATAATTTTAGATTTTTTACCAAAGGGTTAAGATAAAAAATTAGGTAAAGTATTTTTGAAGAGCACAAAAATAATAAAGCTAAATGCCATAAAAAGGAAAAAAAAATGTTGAATTTTAAGAAATTCGGTTTTTCGAATTTTTGAATATTTTTGATAATTTTAGATTTTTTACCAAACGGTAGAGATTTTTAAATAAACAAAGTATTTCCCAAGAGCACAAAAATAGTGAAGCTAAATGCCATGAAAAAGAAGAAAAAATGTTGAATTTTAAGAAATTCGGTTTTTCGAATTTTTGAATATTTTTGATAATTTTAGATTTTTAACCAAAGGGTTGAGATAAAAAATTAGGTAAAGTATTTTTGAAGAGCACAAAAATAATGAAGCTAAATGCCATAAAAAAGAAGAAAAAATGTTGAATTTTATGAAATTCGGTTTTTCGAATTTTTGAATATTTTTGATAATTTTAGATTTTTTACCAAACGGTAGAGATTTTTAAATAAACAAAGTATTTCCCAAGAGCACAAAAATAGTGAAGCTAAATGCCATGAAAAAGAAGAAAAAATGTTGAATTTTATTAAATTCGGTTTTTCGAATTTTTGAATATTTTTGATAATTTTAGATTTTTAACCAAAGGGTTGAGATAAAAAATTAGGTAAAGTATTTTTGAAGAGCACAAAAATAATGAAGCTAAATACCATAAAAAGGAAAAAAAAATGTTGAATTTTAAGAAATTCGGTTTTTCGAATTTTTGAATATTTTTGATAATTTTAGATTTTTTACCAAACGGTAGAGATTTTTAAATAAACAAAGTATTTCCCAAGAGCACAAAAATAGTGAAGCTAAATGCCATGAAAAAGAAGAAAAAATGTTGAATTTTAAGAAATTCGGTTTTTCGAATTTTTGAATATTTTTGATAATTTTAGATTTTTAACCAAAGGGTTGAGATAAAAAATTAGGTAAAGTATTTTTGAAGAGCACAAAAATAATGAAGCTAAATGCCATAAAAAGGAAAAAAAAATGTTGAATTTTAAGAAATTCGGTTTTTCGAATTTTTGAATATTTTTGATAATTTTAGATTTTTAACCAAAGGGTTGAGATAAAAAATTAGGTAAAGTATTTTTGAAGAGCACAAAAATAATGAAGCTAAATGCCATAAAAAAGAAGAAAAAATGTTGAATTTTATGAAATTCGGTTTTTCGAATTTTTGAATATTTTTGATAATTTTAGATTTTTTACCAAACGGTAGAGATTTTTAAATAAACAAAGTATTTCCCAAGAGCACAAAAATAGTGAAGCTAAATGCCATGAAAAAGAAGAAAAAATGTTGAATTTTATTAAATTCGGTTTTTCGAATTTTTGAATATTTTTGATAATTTTAGATTTTTAACCAAAGGGTTGAGATAAAAAATTAGGTAAAGTATTTTTGAAGAGCACAAAAATAATGAAGCTAAATGCCATAAAAAGGAAAAAAAAATGTTGAATTTTAAGAAATTCGGTTTTTCGAATTTTTGAATATTTTTGATAATTTTAGATTTTTTACCAAACGGTAGAGATTTTTAAATAAACAAAGTATTTCCCAAGAGCACAAAAATAGTGAAGCTAAATGCCATGAAAAAGAAGAAAAAATGTTGAATTTTAAGAAATTCGGTTTTTCGAATTTTTGAATATTTTTGATAATTTTAGATTTTTAACCAAAGGGTTGAGATAAAAAATTAGGTAAAGTATTTTTGAAGAGCACAAAAATAATGAAGCTAAATGCCATAAAAAGGAAAAAAAAATGTTGAATTTTAAGAAATTCGGTTTTTCGAATTTTTGAATATTTTTGATAATTTTAGATTTTTTACCAAAGCGTGGAGATTTTTAAATAAACAAAGTATTTCCAAAGAGCACAAAAATAGTGAAGCTAAATGCCATAAAAAAGAAAAAAAATGTTGAATTTTAAGAAATTCGGTTTTTCGAATTTTTGAATATTTTTGATAATTTTAGATTTTTTACCAAAGGGTTGAGATAAAAAATTAGGTAAAGTATTTTTGAAGAGCACAAAAATAGTGAAGCTAAATGCCATAAAAAGGAAAAAAAAATGTTGAATTTTAAGAAATTCGGTTTTTCGAATTTTTGAATATTTTTGATAATTTTAGATTTTTTACCAAACGGTAGAGATTTTTAAATAAACAAAGTATTTCCCAAGAGCACAAAAATAGTGAAGCTAAATGCCATGAAAAAGAAGAAAAAATGTTGAATTTTATTAAATTCGGTTTTTCGAATTTTTGAATATTTTTGATAATTTTAGATTTTTAACCAAAGGGTTGAGATAAAAAATTAGGTAAAGTATTTTTGAAGAGCACAAAAATAATGAAGCTAAATGCCATAAAAAGGAAAAAAAAATGTTGAATTTTAAGAAATTCGGTTTTTCGAATTTTTGAATATTTTTGATAATTTTAGATTTTCTACCAAAGCGTGGAGATTTTTAAATAAACAAAGTATTTCCAAAGAGCACAAAAATAGTGAAGCTAAATGCCATAAAAAAGAAAAAAAATGTTGAATTTTAAGAAATTCGGTTTTTCGAATTTTTGAATATTTTTGATAATTTTAGATTTTTTACCAAAGGGTTGAGATAAAAAATTAGGTAAAGTATTTTTGAAGAGCACAAAAATATTGAAGCTAAATGCCATAAAAAAGAAGAAAAAATGTTGAATTTTAAGAAATTCGGTTTTTCGAATTTTCGATAATTTTGAATATTAGATAATAATTGAATTTTGAAAAGATTTCAAATTAACATTTTTGTAAGTCGACATTTTAATTAAGAATTCTTTACAAAAATTCAATTATGTTCAGAAATTTTAATAAAATTTCTTGAAAAATTGTTGTTTTAATACAATATTTTAAATTTTCGAAAAATGCAATTATTCTTAAAAATTATATTAAAATTCGTTGAAAGAATTTAATATTAAGAAACATACAGTAAATTATTTTTTTTTGTATTTAAATAACTGAATTTTAGTAAAATTTTCTAATCAAAATTGATTTAAAAATTAATTTCTGTTACAATTTTAGATAATTTTCGATATTTTTAGAAATAATTAAATTTTCAGAAGGTTTCAAATTAAAATCTTTGCAAATATGAATTTTTCATACTTTTAACTAACAATTCTGTAGAATTAATTTTTTTGAAGAAGTTTAATTCAATTGTTTTGAAATTAATTCAAGTTTTTATTTTCTAATATATAATTGAAGAAATACGAATAGATGAAATTTCGTAAAATTGAATCGTAAACAAATGAATTTGAAACTTCTCAAAAAGAACTTTTTCAAAAATTATTAAAAGTCATTGATTGCAAAATGTTTAATTATTATAAAACATGAAGAAATCGTTCGCTTCGAGTCGAAGACTCGGAGTGATCGATTTCTTCATGTTTTACAACAATTTTTTTTATGTTGTTAAATTTGTAAAAAAAAAAATTTGATTTGAAAATTTTTTTTTGTTTTTGAATTTTGAAATATTAACGCAGAATTATTCTTCTCTAGATACTTGAACGTTTACGTGGGAACGCCAGATATTGAGGAGGGAATAAACGGATCGTGTCCATCGACACCGATGGATTGTCGATTAAGGGATTTAAATTATTCGGCGCCAATTACGGTGGACATACAATATACACGCGGTCATGAGACGATAATAAGAAATAATTTACTGCTCGGTAGAATGCCAATAATGTTACGCAGTTCAAATTGCGTACTCACCAATAAATCGCATTATGAACTCGCGCAATTGAAGGAATGTCCCCACGACCCGGGCGGTTATTTTGTCATCAATGGACAGGAAAAAGTCATACTCATTCAGGAGCAATTGTTGAGAAATCGTATTTTACTCGAGGAGGACAGTAAAAATTGCATTGTCGCTATTTGCAATAGTGTCACGCATGAGAGAAAAACACGTACAAATGTTATTGGAAAAGCCGGGAAATATTACGTGAGACTCAATATTTTCTCGGACGTAAGTGATTCTTTTCTTTTTATTTGTAGAGCTTAATTTTCTTTACAAGGGAATTTTATTAAAAGTATTATTTATTATTTTTCATTTCTTTTTATTTAATACTATTTCTATATTTTTTTTTCTTTATTTTTTTTTTTAAGTAAATAAGTAATTTTTGTTTAACATTTTTTGGATCAAGTTTTCTATTTTTTTACGTCTTTTATGAAAAATTCTATTTAGAATTTATTCTTTTTACTTTTTATTTAAAATCCTATTAAAAATTTATTTAGTTTATTAATTTTTCTCTTTTTTTACGTTGTTTTATTTAAAATTCTATTGAAAATTTAGTTTTTATTATTTTGAAACAGAAAAAAAATTGAATATTTCGCCAAATTCTTGTTTATTAATTTTTCTACTTTATTTACGTTTTTTATTGAAAATTCTATTTAGAAATTTATTCTTTATATTTTTTACTTAAAATTCTATTGAAAATTTATCTTGTTTATTAATTTTTCTATTTTTTTACGTTTTTTATTGAAAATTCTAATAAGGATTTATTTTTTGTTCTTTATTGAAAATTCTATTAAGGATTTATTTTTATTAATTTTTATTTAAAATTCTATTGAAAAGTTATTTTTTTACGTCTTTTATTAAAAATTCTATTGAGAATTTTATTCTTTTCCTTTCTTATTGAAAATTCTATTAAGGATTTATTTTTCTCAATTTTTATTTAAATTTCTATTGAAAAGTTATTTTTTTACATCTTTTATTAAAAATTCTATTGAGAAATTTATTCTTTTCCTTTTTTTATTTAAAATTCTATTAAAAATTTATTTTGTATATTAATTTTTCTATTTTTTTAATGTTTTTATTGAAAATTCTAATAAGGATTTATTTTTTGTTTTTTAGTGAAAATTCTATTAAGGATTTATATTTCTCAATTTTTATTTAAAATTCTATTGAAAATTTATTTTTTTACGTCTTTTATTGAAAATTCTATTTAGAAATTTATTATTTTTCTTTTTTATTTAAAATTCTTGAAAAAATTTTTTTTGTTTATTAATTTTTCTATTTTTTTTTACGTTTTTTATTAAAAATTCTATTAAAGATTTATTTTTTTAATTTTTAATTCTATTTAGAAATTTATTCTTTTTCATTTTTTTTAAATTCTATTTAGAAATTTCTTTTTTCCTTTTTTATTTAAAATTCTATTTAGAAATTTGTTCTTTTTATTTTTTATTGAAAATTTTATTGAAAATTTATTTTGTTTATTAATTTTTCTATTTTTTTTTTACGTTTTTTATTGAAAATTCTAATAACGATTAATTTTTTTACGTTTTTTATTTAAAATTCTATTGAAAATTTATGTTTTACATCTTTTATTGAAAATTCTATTTAGAAATTTGTTCTTTTTATTTTTTATTGAAAATTCTATTTAGAAATTCATTCTTTTTATTTTTTATTTAAAATAAATTTATTAATTTTATTTAAAATTTTTTCTTTTCTTTCTGGCTTCAGGACGTGCCGATTGTCGCCGTTTTCAACGCCCTGGGTTTTCAGTGCGATCAGGAAATTGTACAAATGATTGGCACTGAAGATAATATCAGTGAAAAATTGTCGGCGAGTTTGGACGACTGTCAGGACATAAAATCACAAAACGAAGCTCTATAGTAAGTCAGAAATATAATTGAATTCCTTCGAAGAATTTTATTATTTCTGAAAATAATTCAATTTCGTCGAGGGATTTTATATTATTTATCAAAATAATTAAAAATTAAAAATGGAATTGACTGAATTTTTTCCATAGGGATTCAATTATTTATGAAAGTTTTATAATAAAATTCTATTCAAGAATTTAAGTATTTTCAGAAATAATTAAATTGTCGATTTACTGAAAATCATTGAATTCTTGGAAAGTATTTCTAAAAATATTTGAAAATAATTGAATTCATTTCGAGAATTTTTATTGAAAATAATCTTGAAAATAATTGAATTCTTTTATGAAATTTTTTAAAAATTATATTGAAAATAATTAAATTCCTGCGAATAATTTTACTATTTATAAAAATAATTAAATTGTTTCGAAGAATTTTATCTGAATATTTGAAAATAATTGAATTTTTTGAAGGAATTTTATTAAAAAATTTTCAAAATAATAATTTTTTAAAAGAATTTCAGCAAAATTGTCGAAAATAATTGAATTTATATCAAAATTCTTGTAATGAATTAAATTTAATTAATATTTTTAAAAATAATTGTATTTTTTCGAGAAATTTTATTAAAATAGTATTGAAAATAATTGAATTTTTCCAAAGAAATTTATTATTTGTGATTATTCAAAATTTTGATTTAAATTTCTTCCAAAAATGAAGCTTTTAATTTTTTTAAAAAAAAAGTCAAAACAAAATTCACTGGAGGGAGAAATAAAATTTTCGATATTCAATATCAATAAAATAGTAGTATTGAATAAAATTTGTATTTTTTTCAGTTATTTGAGCAGCAAACGAAAGCAGAAAAGATTTAACATCGTGAAATCGAATCTCTACGATGAAATGAAAGATATTTTGGCGACAAATTTACTGTCACACGTTCCCGTAAGTAATGAAGGGAGAAACAGAATTTTTGTTTTAAATAGTTGACCTGTCGAATAAAGAATAAATGTTTGGAATTTTTTTTTTCTTTTCACAGGTCGTGGACTTTAGTTTCAAATTGAAAGCAGTTCATTTGGCGCTAATGATTCGTAAAGTGATAATGGCACAGAATGATCACAGTCTATTGGACGATCGCGATTATTACGGGAATAAACGATTGGAATTGGCCGGCTCCTTGCTCGCTCTTATGTTCGAGGATCTTCTCAAGCGATTCAATTGGGAGGTGAACAAATTAAATTACTCTCCGATTTTATTGAATAATTACACTTTTAATTAATTGTCTCTTATGATTAAATAGATTAAATAATTCATCGTTTTTTTTTGTTAATTAAAATTGGTTTTTGATTAATTAAAAATTGTTTCTTTTGGTTAATTAAAAATTGTTCCTTTTTCATTCATTAAAATTTGTTTTTTTTTTTGGTTAATTAAAATTTTTTTCTTTTTGTTAAATGAAAATTAATCGTTTTCAGCTGAAAACAGTGGCCGACAAAAATATACCAAAGATAAAAGCAGCACAATTTGACATTGTCAAGTACTTTCGTCAGGACAAAATTACAAGCGGTTTGGCTTTCGCAATTTCAACGGTGAGTTATTTTTTGACTTTTCTTTTTCGACCAAATGTATCGAGATTGAAAATAATTATGAATTATGGCACTAAAAGAAGAAGAAAATATTTTTTGAATTTTGATAAATCAATAAGTAAATAAGTAAAGAATTGAATAAAGAAAAAAGTAAATAAATAAATGTTTTTTAGGGCAACTGGACGATAAAACGTTTCAAAATGGAGCGACACGGAGTGACGCAAGTGCTGTCGAGACTCTCGTACATTTCCGCGCTGGGAATGATGACGAGAGTGAATTCGCAATTCGAGAAGAGTAGAAAAGTCTCGGGTCCACGTTCTCTGCAGGCTTCGCAGTGGGGAATGCTGTGTCCGAGCGATACGCCCGAAGGAGAGGTAATTAGAAAAACCATAAAAAAAATAAAAAAAGACAGAAAAAAATATGCAAAAAGAAGATGGAGATGAAGATAAAAAAACATAGAAAAAAATATACAAAAAGAAGATGAAAGGAACTTTTTTTCAGCTAATTTATTTTTTTAGGGTTGCGGATTAGTGAAAAATTTAGCCCTGATGACGCACATTACCACCGAAGTGGAGGAGGAACCTCTGGCGAGAATTGCCTTCCATCTTGGAGTTCAAGATCCGGGCATGCTTGGAGGCGAGGAAATTCATCAGCTTGGTGTCTACATGGTCTTCCTGAATGGCACAATGCTTGGCGTCGTCAGAAATCACGAGAGACTGATACGCATTTTTCGGAAATTGAGACGAAAATGCTGGATCAGCAGTTTTGTTTCAATTTATTCGCAACCCAAATTTAGGTGAGAAATCTCTCTTTTACAACAAATTTTAATTGACAAGAACAAATTTTGTTTTATTTATATATTTTTTTAATTTTAATTTAACTTTAAAAATTTATTTAAATTATTTACTATTAATATTATTTAGTATTTATTAAATTATTATTTAAAACTTTTTTTAATTTAAAATTTAATTTTTAAAAATTACAAAGGGTTAATATAACTTTTTCGATTTTTTTACTACAATTTTCAAAAATTGCAACTTTTTTTCGAATGAAAGCCTAGGATAATATGATGACTTTTTCGAAAGAATTTTTGTATATCAACTATTAAAATTTCGAAATTTATTCAAAATAATTGATTTAGAGAAAAATTGTAATTAAAGATTCAAGAAATTAAATTTTTCAAGAGTTGTAGTAGAAATTTTTGGAAACAATTGAATTTTAAGATTCTGAATAATTCAGTTTTTCAAAAAAATTGCAATTGAAATTTTTTTTGAAATTAAATGAAATTTTCAATAATATAGAAATGTAAAATTGAAAAATTTTCAATTCATCGAAAATTTTTACAATTGACTTGAAAATAACTGAATTTTAAATAATATTTAAAATGGATTTTTGATTTATTTTTTTTAATAATTTAATTCAAAAAGAAGTTTCTGAAAATTATTAAAAATAATTGATATAGAAGAGAATTTTGGTTAAAAATTGTAGAAAATAATAATTGAATATACTGAAATAGTTGTTGTAAAAAGTTTAAGTAAAAAACTAAGTAATTTAGAATTTCTAATTGAAAAATTAAAAAAAGAAAAGTAAAAATTGAAAATTTCTAATTTATTAATAATTTTTTTGGAATTTTTGAATATATATTCAATTAAAAAATTGTCGAATAATTAAAATTTTATAAAATTGAAATGAAAACAATATTGAATTTTACACGTATTTTAACTAAACTATTTTTAATAAATAAATTCTCTAAGAAATTGCTCAAAATTATTGAAAATAATTGATTTAGAGAAGAATTTTAGTAAAAAAAAATCTAGAAAGTAATGAAATTTAATAAATTAATTAAATGAAAATTAATAATAAATATTTTAATTGGAATTTTTTAAAATTAATTAATTATACAATACCTAAATCAAAGAGAAACTCTTAAATTAAAGAATTTTCAATTGATCAAAATTTTGTTAAATTAAATTGAAAACAATTGAATTGATTAGAAAAAGTTTATTAAAATTTTTGGAAATAATTGAATTTCTTTGAGGAATTTTATTAAAATTGTATTGTAAATAATTGAATTCGTGCAAAAATTTTTATTATTTTGAAAAAATACTGGAATTTTCGCGAAGAACTTTATTAAAATTGTATTGAAAATAATTAAATTCCTCAAAAGAATTAAATTATTAATAAAAAATAATTAAATTCTTTCGCAGAATGTTATTAAAACTGAATTGAAAATAATTGAATTTTTGCGAAGATTTTACTATTTAAAAAAATAATTGAATTATTTCAAAGAATTTATTAAAATAAAATAATTGAATTTTCTCGTGAAATTTTATTGAAAATAATTGAATTTTTGCAAAAATTTTACTATTTAAAAAAATAATTGAATTGTTTCAAAGGATTTATTAAAATTTCAGAAAATAATTCAATTCCTGAGAAGAATTTTATTAATTTATAAATATAATTGAATTATTGCAATGTATTTTATCCAAAAAATATTTGAAAATACTTTAATTTCATTGATGAATTTTATTATTTATAATTAAAAAATAATCGAATTCTTGTGAAGAATTTTATTATTTACATTTTAATGAATTTATCCCTTAATTTGGAAGATTGCTAATTTTCTTTTAATTTGAATTTGATTATTTTTTAAAAGTAATTGAATTCGTGCAGAGAATTTTATTAAAATTGTTATTAAAATATAGGTAATTGAATTTTTCTAAAGAATTTGATTAAATTTATATATTAAAAATATTTTAAATCGTGCAAAAAATTTCTTTATTCATGAAAAATAAGTGAATTCTTGGGAAGAACTTTGTTAAACTTGTATTAAAATAATTTAATTAATTCGTGTAAAAAATTTTATTATTTATAAGAAAATAATTTAATTTTTAAGAATAATTTTTTTAAAAGTTGTATTAAAATAATTGAATGCTTCCGAAGAATTTCGTTGAAATTGTATTAAAATAATTGAATTTTTGCGAAGAATTTTATCAGAATTGTATTAAAAGTAATGGAATTTTTTCTTAGTATTTTATGAGAATTTTATTAAAGTTTTTGAAAATAGTAGAATATTGGAATAATTATAGTAGAAATGTTATTGAAGGTTTATTGTTTTTTTTTTTTTTTTTGAGTTTTTAATGTCGTTCCGAGGTCTGAATGAATTTAGTTTCTAATTTCAAAAATAAATTCTATTTTAAATATTATTGAGAATAAAATTTACTAAAAAAAAAATACATTTTCCAGATGCATTCACATAAGTTCGGACGGTGGTCGCCTATGCCGTCCGTACCTAATCGTCGAGAACGGAGAACCGCTTCTGCAAAACGAGAATATGAAACTCTTGGAACAAGGACTGAGAACTTTCGAAGACTTCCTGCACGAGGGTATAATTGAATATTTGGACGTGAACGAAGAGAACGACAGCTACATTGCCTTCGACGAGAGCCAAGTGAATTCCCGCACGACGCACATGGAGATCGAGCCATTCACAATCCTCGGGGTTTGCGCCGGCCTCGTGCCATTCCCGCACCACAATCAGAGTCCCCGCAACACCTATCAATGCGCGATGGGCAAGCAGGCGATGGGCACAATCGGCTACAACCAGCGGAATCGGATCGACACCCTGATGTACAATCTCGTCTACCCCCAGGCGCCAATGGTCAAGACCCGGACCATCGAGTTGATAAACTTCGACAAACTCCCCGCGGGGCAGAATTCAATCGTCGCCGTCATGTCCTACAGCGGCTACGACATCGAGGACGCGCTCGTCATCAACAAGGACTCGATAGATCGAGGCTTTGGTCGCTGTCTCGTGTATCGAAATACGAAGTGTTTGCTGAAACGCTACCCGAACATGACGTACGATATTATTCTCGGGCCGATGATTGACGCGACGACGAAGAAGCCGATTTGGAAGCACGACGCGCTGGACATGGACGGGATTGTGGCGCCTGGGGAGATGGTGGAGAATCGAAAGGTGATGATTAATAAGTCGGTGCCGAAGGAGACGAATAATCAGCACGTGAGCGGCGGGGGGCAGCAGAATCCGGTGGAGCATCGGGAGCAGTCGGTGCTCTACAAGGGCTCGATACCGTCCTACGTGGAGAAGGTGATGATCTCGAGTTTTCAGGATAATTCGTTTTTGCTGAAACTGCTGTTGAGGCAGACGAGACGGCCGGAGATTGGGGACAAGTTCAGTAGTCGGCATGGACAGAAGGGAGTGACGGGGCTTATTGTCGAGCAGGCGGATTTGCCGTTTAATGATCAGGGGATTTGTCCGGATATTATTATGAATCCGCATGGTTTTCCCTCGCGGATGACGGTGGGGAAATTGATTGAGATCATCGCTGGTAAGGCGGGAGTGCTCAAGGGCGAATTTCACTATGGAACTGGTGAGTTTTTATTATTTTCTTCCTAAAGTAAAAATTAAACACAACATCAAATTCTTAAAAAAAAAAAATTCTTGAATTAAATTAAATTAAAAAAATATTATTAAATTAAATTAAATTCTTGAATTATTTTCCTCGTATTATATTTTCAAGAAAATTTTAATATTAATTCTTTGCAAGAATTTAATTATTCTTATAAATAATATAAAATCTTTGCAAGAATTCAAATATTTTTAATCAAAAGTTTTACGAAAGAATTCAATTTTTTCTTAATTTTGTTACACAATTTTTTAAAAGAATTCAATTATTTTAATTATCAAAAAAAAAAAATTTTTTCAGAAGAATTCAATTATTTTTATAAATACTAAAATTCTTTACAAAAATTCAATTATTTTTGATACAATTTTAATAAAATTTTCACGAAAAAAATTCAATTATTTTCTAATATTTCAATAAATTCTTCAAAAAAAAATGCAATTATTTTCTTAATTCTCAAAAAAAAAAATTTATAGAAGAATTCAATTATTTTTATAAATATTAACATTTTCTGCACAAATTCAATTACTTTTAATACAATTTTAATAAAATTTCACGAAAAAAATTCAATTATTTTCTAAAATATTTCAATAAATTCTTCAAAAAAAAAACAATTATTCTCTTAATTCTCAAAAAAAAGAAAATTTCAGAAGAATTCAATTATTTTTATAAATACTAAAATTCTTTACAAAAATTCAATTACTTTTAATACAATTTTAATAAAATTTTCACGAAAAAAATTCAATTATTTTCTAAAATATTTCAATAAATTCTTTAAAAAAAACCAATTATTATTTTCTTAATTCTCAAAAAAATTTCAGAAGAATTCAATTATTTTTATAAATACTAAAATTCTCTGCACAAATTCAATTACTTTTAATACAATTTTAATAAAATTTCACGAAAGGAATTCAATTTTTTCTTAATTTTGTTACACAATTTTTTAAAAGAATTCAATTATTTTAATTATAAAAAAAAAAAAAATTTCAGAAGAATTCAATTATTTTTATAAATACTAAAATTCTTTACAAAAATTCAATTTTTTTCTTAATTTGTTATAAAATTGCACGAAAAGAATTCAATTATTTTCTACAATTTAAATACATTGTCCTAAACAATTGAATTCTTTTCGTGAAATTTTAATAAATCCTTAGAAACAATTCAATTATTATTTGAAGAATAAGTAAAATTTTTAAAAGAATTCAATTATTTTCAATAAAATTTCACGAAAGAATTCAATTATTTTCTAATATTTTAATAAACGCTTGGAGAAAAAAAATTAAATTATTTTCTTAAATAGTAAAATCTTTACAAATTCAATTTTTTCTTAATTCGTTATCAAATTTTTCAAAAGTATTCAATTAATTTCTAAAATTTTAATAAATCCTTAGAAACAATTAAATTCTTGGATTTATTTCAAAAGTCAATTCAATTCTATATTTATTTCAAAATTCAATTTAATTCTGAATTTATTTCAAAATTCAATTTTTAATTTTATTTTATAATTCAATTCTCAATTTATTTCAATTCTATTTTGAATGTATTTCAAAATTCAATTCAATTCATCTTTTAATTTGGCATCGGTTTTTTTCCTTAATTCGTTATAAAATTTTTCGTAATTAAATTTTCTAAAATTTTAATACATCCTTCGAAAGAATTGAATTATTTTGAATAAAATTTTACGAAAGAATTGAATTATTTTCTAGAATTTTAATAAATCCTTGGAGAAACAATTCAATTATTTTTTTAAATAGTAAAATTTTTCGCAGGAATTCAATTATTTTCAAAAAAATTTTAATAAAATTCTTCTAAAAAAATTCAATTATTTTTTAAATACATAGTAAAATCATTGCAAAATTTTATATTTTTAAAATTTCTTTAAATATTCTTTTCCAATATTGATTTATGTATTTATTGCTATTTTATAACTAAGAAAAACACTTTGGATTTTTCTAAAGCAAAAGAACTTTTTTAATGAAGTTTTGGATTTTTTTTTTTTTACTTTTGATTAATTTTCAAAAATAATTTCAGCATTCGGTGGCTCAAAGGTGAAGGACGTTTGTGACGAACTGGAAAATCAAGGATATAATTATCTCGGAAAGGATTTCTTTTATTCAGGAACAACTGGAGAGCCTTTACAGGCCTATGTGTATTCTGGACCGGTAAGATTTATTTCCTTTTTTTGACGTGCATTGATTTTTATTAAAATTCTTTAAATTAATAATTTTAATTGAAAGTTTTGAAAATAATTGAAATTTACAAAGAATTTTATTAAAAACTTTTGAGAATAATTGAATTGTTTAGAAAAATTTTATTATTTACAAAAAGAAATTGAATTCTTGCCGAGAATTTTACAAATTATAAAAATAATTTGTTTTGAAGAATTTTGTTAGAATTGTTGATAATGATTGAATTTTTATGAAAACTCTTGAAAATAATTGAATTAAAATAATATTTTTAAAAATAATTGTATCCTTTCGAGAATTTTTATCAAAATTGTATTGAAAAAAATTAAATTTTTCCTAAACAATTTATTATTTATGAAAATAATTGAATTGCTTTGAAGAATTTTATTATTTACAAAAATAATTGAATTCTTGTGAATTGAATTGTTTCGAAGAATTATTTCAAAAAAATTTCTTTAATTTATTGAATATAATTTATTTTGTTAAATAACTGTAATATTAATAATTTTACTATCAAAATTTTATTAAAATTCTTAATAGAAAATTAATCTCTTTTAAACAATTTTATTAGAGTTTTTGTTAATAATTTAATTTTTGTGGTGAATTTTATTATTAATAAAAAAAATAATTGAATTGTTTTAAAGGAATTATTAAAATTTTAGAAATTAATTGAATTCTTTAGTGAAATTTTATTAAAATTGTATTGAAAATAATTGAATTTTTTTGAAAAATATTTAAAAATTTTAAAAGAATTAAATTCCTTCATGAAATGTTAATAAAATTGTTTTAAAAATATAGAATTGAATTCTTTCGTGAAATTTTATTGAAAATAATTGAATTTTTGCAAAGATTTAACTATTTAAAAAAATAATTGAATTGTTTTAAAAAGGATTTAATAAAATTGAAGAAAATAGTTGAATTCTTTCGAGAATTTTTATTAAAATTTTGTTGAAAATAATTGAAATGTGTCAAAAAATTTTACTATTTATAAAAATAATTGAATTCTTCCGAAGAATGTTATTGTTTATGAAAATAATTGAATTTTCGCGAAGAATTATATTAAAATTTTGGAAAATATAAATAATAATAATTAATTTTAATAAGTGAATTTTTAAAATTTTTATTAAGAAATTATTTAAAAATTTATATTTGTAAATAAAAAATTTTGTAGGTAATTTGCATAATAACAATAAATTTAACATCTCGTTTCGCGCGTAACATTTGCTAGTTGTTAATGAATTCAGGAATTAATTATTATTTTTAATGTTATTAATTATTCGTTTTTATTAATATTATAAATTATTAATTTATTTATTTCTTTAAAGGTGTACTATCAGAAATTGAAGCACATGGTGCAGGACAAGATGCACGCGAGAGCGAGAGGACCACGAGCAGTTTTAACCCGCCAACCAACGGAGGGTCGTTCTAAGGAAGGTGGATTGCGTCTCGGCGAAATGGAGCGCGATTGTCTGATTGCCTACGGGGCGAGTAATCTCCTCGTGGAAAGACTGATGCTGTCGAGTGACGCCTTCGAGGTGGACGTGTGCAAAGGCTGCGGCCTCATGGTCTACAGTGGACATTGTCGCAGTTGCGAATCAAAACAAGACAAGGACAAAAGAAATGCCGGCGTTTCAACAATAACAATACCATACGCCTGTAAACTTCTATTTCAAGAATTACAATCGATGAATATTGTTCCTCGACTCTCGACGAAACCAATGAGTGAAAAATAGTGGTAAACCTTTTGTTTCTTTTTCTATTTTTTCTCTTTCTATTTTTTTTCTTTTTCAATTTTTTTATTTCTATTTTTTTTCTTTTTGTATTTTTTTTGCTTTTTCTATTTTTTACTTTTTTTTCTTTTTCGATTTTTTATTTCTTTTTCTATTTTTTTTCTTTTTCTATTTTTTATTCCTATTTTTCTAATTTTTTTTCTCTATTATTTTGAAACAATTTTAAAAGACTATTTTTCAGATTTATTCAGTTTTTACAAACATTTCAAAAAAATTTTCCTTTCAAGTTTTTTAGGAAAATTTTTTTCCGTTTCATGTTTAGAAACATTTTTCAAAAATTTTCCTTTTATGATTTTTTGGAAAATTTATTTTCGTTTCTTGTTGTAAATATTTTTTCAAGAATTCCAATGTAAAAATTTAATAAGTTTAACAATATTTAAGTATTTTTCATAATCGTAACAAAACTTGACAATAAGTTTAGATAAAAAAAAAAAAAAATGTTGTTTTAAACAATAAAGGCGAATTTTAATGATAAAGAAAATTGCGAGCAAAATTATTTTTCATCGTAGACGTAGAGAAAAAAAGAAAACAAAGTTTCTTGTTGAAAATTATCTGCGTAAATTAAGCAATTATCACTGATAAAAAAAATAATATATTTATAATTTTAAAAAGAAAAAAATAGTTTTAATTTTTATTCTTTTAACAAGTAAACAGTTTGTTCGTATCTTGGGATTTATTCTTCTCTTCAACAATGAAGATGGTTCGTATTTTTTTTCCGGTTTCGTTTTCTTTTCTAAAGAAAGAAAAAAAAATTTTTCAGATGTTTATATTTTATCTATTTTTTGCAATAATTTTGCTCCGAGGAAAATGTGATGATAATTTTAATAAAGGTTGGAAAAATAGCAGAGGTTCATTTTCATCTTCAGGTCAATTATTTAGATTATTTGGAATTTTTTTCAATTTCAGATTAATTTTATGAATTAAAAATTAATTAAAACAAAATTTTTTCTTTTTAATTTGAATTGAATTAATTTATTATTAATTAATTAATATTTAATAATTATTATAATTATATTAAATACATAATACTATTAATTAATTTTATTTAATTAAATAAACAATTTTTCTTTGCCCTTGAATTTGACAATTTAATATTAATATTAATAAAAGAAATAAATAATAAATTTTAATTTAATTATTATTTATTAATATTTAATAAAATTTATAAAATAAATAATAAAATAAATAAATAAATATTAAATTTCAGATTTTGAAATTTTACGTCGCTCTGGTATATTTTGTCCTAATTGCAAGTCTCTGAAAATGCGATAATAATGATGGAGCTCGGGAACTATTACTTGGATTGATGGAGATGGCAGAGTTCATACAATTGAATACGATGATTAATTTAAAAATGACAAATTTTTATATTTTTCTTCTAAAGGAAAATAAAAATATTACGATTTTTATAAACTTTGAAAAAAATGGCATTTTAATTTTCCCGCCTAGTTGAAAACAATCGGTTTTTTCCCTTTAAAAAGAAATTTATCACAACTACTGAAGTCAAATTATTTCTTATTCTTTCTTTCGCTTTTTTAAATTTCTTTCAATATTCTCAACTCGGAAAGATGGAAAATTTTCGTCTTAATAAAATACTTGGTGTAATTTAATTATTAAACAATGACTAAAATTGAATTTTTTAAATTAAAAAATTGTGAGAGAGAAACAATAACCGGAAGTGATAAATGTGACGGCCCTGAAGCGATCGTGGCGCCATCATTTTTCCAATATGGCGTCAAATACTCGGAAAACTCTGTTAAGTGTCGCACGTGTTTTTTCCGTGAAAAATTGTCGTTTTTCAATTTATTTTACAACCGCATGAATTAATATTTAAGTGAAATCAAAAGTTTGACTATAAACTTTGAATTTTGGTGAACCTTACGGATAATTTTGTCAAAAAATGATGTGTCCATAAATCGTTTCCTAATATTTCTTGCAAATATAATTAACCTCAAAAAGAAAGGAATGTTTTGCCGAATAATGTCAAAATTGTGTTAATGTTCATGACATGTGGTAAGATTTTATTTTATTTCACTAAATTATAAAAAAATTGTATATTATTTGAGGATAACAAGGGTTTTTTTTTACTTATTCTTTCTTTTCTCGAAATTTTATAGTGAAACGTAAGAAAAGAGGTAAAAAAATGATGGATTCTGGAAATTCGAGGAATAATTTTGATTTGGTGCTTGCGCCATTTCAACCGACAACTCGTGTTGTTCTTGAGGTTTCACTAAATAAGGAAAAAAGTACAACGAGTATTTTGAATGTCAAAAATCCCAGCGATCACGATATAACTGTGAGTATTATTTTTCTCTTCAAAAATTCAATTATTTTGTGTTTTAATTCTAATTATATAAAAATTTAAATTCCATTAGTTATTGGAAAATTTTTGGTTATTTTCATTTTCAATTTTCTTTCAAAATTTTAATTATTTTAATATATATTTCGGAATTTATTTCAATATTCAATTCTGAATTTATTTCAAAATTCAATTCTCAATTTATTTCAATTCTATTTTGAATTTATGGACTTCCAAATTCAATTCTAAATTTATTTCAATTCTATTTAGAATTTCTTCCAAAATTTAATTCAATTTTAAATTTCTTCCAAAATTCAATTCAATTTTGAATTTATATCAAAATTCAATTCTCAATTTAATTTCAATTCTATTTTGAATTTCATTCAAAATTCAATTTAAAATTCTAAATTTATTTTAAAATTCAATTCTGATTTTATTTTAATTCAATTCTGATTTTTTTCACAATTTAATTCAATTCTAAATTTTTTTAAAAATTCAATTCAATTCTGATTCTGATTTTAATTTAATTCAATTCTGAATGTTTTCACAATTTAATTCAATTCTAAATTTTTTTAAAAATTCAATTTAATTCTGATTTTATTTTAATTCAAATTTGGAATTTTTTTAAAAATTTAATTCAATTCTGTTATTTTAATTCAATTCTAATTTTTTTTAAAACTTGAATCTGAATTTATTTTAAAATTCAATTCTCAATTTATTTCAATTCAATTTAGAATTTTTTTTTACAATTCAATTAAATTCTGATTTTTTTACAATTCAATTCTGATTTTATTTTAATTCAATTTGATATTTTTTTAAAAATTCAATTCAATCTGGTTTTTTTAAATTCAATTCTGATTTTATTTCAATTCATTTTGGAATTCTTTTAAAAATTCAATTCAATTCTGAATTTATTTCAAAATTCAATTCAATTTTCAATTTATTTCAATTCAATTTTGAATTTTTTTTCACAATTCAATTCAATTCTGATTTTATTTTAATTCAATTTGGAATTTTTTTAAAAATCCAATTCAATCCGTTTTTTTTTAAATTCAATTCTGATTTTATTTCAATTCAATTTGAAATTTTTTTTTAAATTGAATTCAATTCTGAATTTATTTCAAAATTCAATTAATTTCTGAATTTTTGTCAAAATTCAATTCATTTTGGAATTCTTTTAAAAATTCAATTCAATTCTGAATTTATTTCAAAATTTAATTCAATTCTCAATTTATTTTAATTCAATTTTGAATTTTTTTTCACAATTGAATTCAATTCTAAATTTATTACAATTCAATTCTCATTTTATTTCAATTCTATTTTGAATTTCATTCAATTTTCACAATTTAATTCAATTCTATACTTATTTCAATTCTATTTTACATAATTACTTCAAAATTCAATTTAATTTGGAATTTATTACAATTCTATTTTGAATTTACCTCAAAATTCAATTAAATTCTGAATTTATTTCAATTTAATTTAATTGTGATTTTATTTTAATTCAATTTTGAATTTAATTGAATTCAATTCTGATTTTATTTTAATTCAATTTAGATTTTTTTTGAAGAATTCAATTCAATTATGAATTTATTTCAAAATTAAAAATTCCTATTTTAATTGATATTTTAAATTTCAATATTTATTTTGAATTTATTTTTAGTGTCGATTCCATTCTATTTTCTTTATAATTGCAGTAATAACTTTTCTTTGTATTGTAATTGAAATAGAAATTGAAAATTAAAAATTTAATTAAATAGAAAAAAATTAAAATTCTGATTGCAATTCAATTTACTTTAAATTTTTATCATCGTTTTTAATTTACTTTTAGTTATGATTCAATTTTATTTTTAATTACAGTAATAATTTCTGTTTGAACTGTTAATTAAAAGGAAAATAGAAATTCAAAATTTATTTCAATTTAATTCTGAATTTATTTCAATTCAATTCGGAATTTTTTCCAAAATTCAATTCAATTCAAAATTTATTTCAATTTAATTCTGAATTTATTTCAATTCAATTCGGAATTTTTTCCAAAATTCAATTCAATTCAAAATTTATTTCAATTTAATTCTGAATTTATTTCAATTCAATTTAATACTAAATTTCTTCTTTACGTTCTTTATTTTCTTCTTTAAGTTCTTTATTTTCTTGTTTACGTTCTTTTTCTTCTTCTCTACGTTCTTTACTTTCTTATTTTTTTTTATTTTTTTTTTAATTTTGTTTTTCCTTAAGTTCCTTCTCATAGTTCGTATTTTGTTAAAAGGTTCACGTCACAAAGCGACCAATACCCGAAAAATGTGTCGACTTGAGTTTCACCGAGACAACAATAGCGTCAAAAAAATCATCAACTCTCTATATTCACTGGTCGCCAAAACTATGCGTCACTTGGTGGGATATTCTTCAACTAGTCGACAACAATCGAAATAAATACGAAGTAACTCTAATAATGCGTTCGAAAGATCCACCCGAGAAATACCTCAAAACCCGAATTCAAAAAACACTCCAAAACGGTTCGAAGATACCCAAAAAATTACTCACCTTCAAGAAGGAATATCAACCGCCTGCCACGAATGATATTCAACCCCAAAAGAAACGACCACGCGCTACCGACACTAATTTCGAACTCTCACCCAAAAATGAGCTCGAAACAAGTTTTAGGGAGAAGGCAAAAATCAAACGACCACGTAAGGAATCTAACATTTCCACTCGAAGTCGACTTCTTTTTAGGAGCAATCGCGATTCGACGAGGAAGAAATCATCGTTTTTCGAACGTGTGTTTCGTCGGGAGTCGTCAAAGGAAGAAAATTCTCCGGAGGGAACAACGAATCGTGCAAAACTTGGAGAAAAAATTTACGAATTGCGTCGTGAAACTTTTCTAGCTGATGATTCGATTCGGAGATATTCATTCGATCGTGATTTGAGGCGAGAGACTTTTATAATTGCCCCGAAAAGTAATGAGAATATCGAGACGGATATTAATTGTAATGTTACCATTTCTCCGGAAAAGATGGGAACGAATTTTGAAATTGGGAGATTTTCTTCGTTTGCTGGGATTGTATCGTCGACGCCCAAGTCGACGTTTAGGAGTCGTTCTCGAGTCGAGGATTCGAAAAAGAATTTTCGTCTTGGTTACAATTTTGGTGATAGAAACTCTGGTGGTGATGAATCGCGAGGGAAATCGGATGATAAAAACCCTTTTGAAAGTGATTTGGAAGATAAAAATAGTGGTAGTGCCGAATCGGATGATAAAAACCGCGTTGGAAGTGATTTGGAAGACAAAAACAGTGATAGTGTCAAACTGGACGATAAAACCAACGTTGGAAGTGATTTGGATGATGAAAAACCTGTTGGTGATGATTTTCAAGAGAAATTGACTGATGAAAATGGCGTTGGAAGTGATTTGGAAGACAGACAGAGTGATAGTGACGAACTGAATGTTAAAAACCCTTTTGAAAGTGATTTGGAAGATAAAAACCGCGTTGGAAGTGATTTAGAAGACAAAAAGAGTAATAGTGCCGAACTGGACGATAAAACCTACGTTGAAAGTGATTTTGAAGACAAAAACAGTGATAGTGGCAAACTGGTCGATAAAAACCGTTTTGTAGATGATCTGGAAGCTAAAACCAGAAATAGTGCCAAATTGGATGATAAAAACGACGTTGGAAGTGATTTAGAAGACAAAAACAGTGATAGTGACGAACTGGACGATAAAAACCACTTTGGAAGTGATTCGGAAGACAAAAACCGTGATTGTGGCAAACTAGACAATAAAACCCACGTCAGAAGTGATTTAGAAGACAAAACCAGTGGTAGTGACAATTCGGATGAGGAAATTTGTGTCGGCGATTATTTGGAGGACCCAAACAGTGATAGTGACAATTTGGACTATGAACTCTGGTTTAGTGATGATTCGGAAGACAAAAACAGCGTTGGCGACTATTTGGAAGACAGAAACAGATGCAGCGTCGATTTGGAAGACAGAAGCAACGTTGGCGTCGATTTTGAAGACAGAAACAGTGTTGGCGATGATTTCGGAGACAGAAACAACGTTGGCGACGATTTGGAAGACAGAAACAGTTTCAGTGACAATTTGGGAGACGAAAACAGTGCCAATTTGGATGAGAAGAATAGTGTTGGTGATAATTTTAGCGACAAAGACAGTGGCAATGATAGTTTTTACGGAAACGAAGAAGATGCTGCTGAAGACACCGATGATGATCCTGACAAAGGTAGTGAAATTAGCAGTCAAAATGGTAAAATCTGCAAAAACAAGGTTAGTAACAATGATAGTGATGAAAGAAATGAGAATCGTAGTGATAACACCAAAGACAATGATAGCGATAGCAACAGCAATGACGATAGTCACAATTACTTCGGTAACAGTTTATCCGTAACGGTAATTCGCAACCCCCACGATCCCGAAACAGCCAAACTTTTCGAAACGGAAATTAGCCTTTCTTCCGCAGTCGATATTCATCAGCTACTTTCGGATAAAGCCATTTCAACTTCTCCCAGGTTATGTGATCTACCCAAAGCGTCCGTTAACTTATTTCCTGATTCCCCACTCGAGGATCATTTCGGTTCGTCTGAATCATCACTGGAAGTTACTCCCGAAGTACCCCAAAGGGAAATACCCAAAAATACCGATTCGCGACTTCCCGAATCGTCACTTCCGAAAACACTCCCAAAGAAACCGAACGAAAATCCTCTGGAAGAATCATCAAAAAGTCCCGAAGTTCCGAACAGTTTGACACAAATTGATAGGGTATTGGATGTTCAGGGAAAGTTGTCCTCGTCGCCAGTTCAACGAGTGAAAAAGGCGAAGAATTCGACATCACCAAAGAATCATTCTTCGGTGATGACGAAAAACGATTCTTCTTCGAAGAACGAAGTGATTGCGAAGAATGAAACATTTGGCGATCCAGTTGGAGAAAGCTTTCCGTCTTTCTCGTCTTCCGACGAGAATTGGCTAACACAACAAGAATCGGAGTTCAAGAAATGGTTGAACGCTCTAATGACCCCACCGGAGGATTTCACCGAAACGAGCGCGGTGGATATCGGAAAAATATGGCAATCGGTACGAACAATGGACGTTGACGTTCTCGCCGAAAGTCGGGAGTCAGTTTCGGCTCGTTATCACACGAACACTAGGTTGGACACTCTTCGCAAGGCGGCTGCTAAAATGTACCAAAATCCGGATCTTGAGGCGAATATAGCCTCGGCTATGAAGTGTATCCAAAGTGGACGTCTCATGATCAAACGGGACACGAATCTGCATCTTGACATCGGACTCCAAAAGGAGATTATCTCCCTGTTCATGAACTACAATCCCCTTTGGTTGCGAATCGGTTTGGAGACGGTGTACGGTTTACGGATTCCTCTTAAGTCAAATAACGATCTGGTGGGTATCACTCGATTCCTACTTTCTCGCTTTTTCTCCAATTCGACTATTAGTGATCAGTCCATGTTCGCCACTTCTTTACGGTCCGATACACTTCGGGACGGAATTAATACTTTTATACTCGAGACCTTTTTGAAATTCGTCGCCTTTTTGGATTATGCCAAAACTAACAAGTTGATCGGCGACGATCCGTGTCTCTTTCGGAAAAAGTCGCCGAACAAGGAGTCGAGGATGATTTTGGTCAGGTTTTCAACTTTGGTTCTGGGTGGAATCGGAGACGTTATTAAACTATTGCGGATCGGTGGTTACGTCGTCAAGCACCAACAGTCTTACCTAGAGGAATTCGACTACGCGGTTCAGGACATGAACTACGATCTTAGAGACGGGGTCAGGTTGTGTCGCGTAATGGAAATCGTGACAGGACAGAAAAATTTGACTCCAAAATGCAGCGTTCCGGCTATTTCGAAAGTACAACGGATCTACAATCTAAAAATAGCGCTCGACGCTCTGGAAAAAGCGGGTTATGTCATCATCGGCGATATTGAGCCGAAACAAATCGCGGATGGTAATCGGGAAAAGACCCTTAATCTCCTCTGGCAGATTGTTTACAAATTCTACGCACCGAGATATCTGAGTGCTGCGATTCTTCTCCAAAATTGGTGGAGGAAGAAACTTCGATTTTTACGTTTTCGCAAACTTTTGGCGATTAAAAAAAATTCGGAGAATAAAAACCAAATGGCGGTTAGAATACAGACCTGGTGGCGTGAAAAGAAGAAAATCGGAGAGAAGGAACAGAAGATTTTTGTGTGGAAATTCTTAAAGACTCGCGAAGTGATGATGCGACATCGGGAGCAGTTCGAGAGGGTAAATAAAGCTTTCGATCTTGTGGAACAAAGATGGATGAGTAGGTGTGAAGCGAGCGCTACTTTGATACAACGAACCTGGCGGAGGTACCAATCGAAAAAACAAGATTTACTCCAAAAAGCCGCTATTTTCGTTCAGAGGAGATGGAGGAACAAAATTGCAAACCGCAAAACAATTCTCCAAGAGCGTCTCGAATCGATCGTTAAGATTCAGCGCCACTGGCGAAGAATTTTGGAACGAAGAAAGCGTCACGAGTCGTCGGTAAAGATTCAGCGCTTTTGGCGGGGGATTTTGGAACTAAAACGTAACCGTCGCATCAACGCGGCCAGAATTATCGAAAACTACTACCTTTCTTGGAAATTAGCAAAACGAGAAAGGGAACATTATCTAAAACAAAAGCAGTCTGCGAAACTTATTCAAAAACATTTTCGCTGCTGGAAAGTAGCGAAAGAACAAAGAGCGAATTATCAACGAGTGAAAAAATCGGTGACAATTATCCAGCAAAGATGGCGCGCCAAGAAGATGATGAACTTACAGAGGGAAAAGTATTTGGAGAAGAAAATGGCGACTATTTTGATACAGAGGAAATGGCGGGCGATTTTAGTTGGACGTGCGGAACGGGAAAATTTAACGAACCTACATAAATCGGCAATGAAGATACAACGATTTTGGAGGGAAGTTTTACAGCGAAGAAAGAGACGAGAGGAGAGAGAGAATTTAAAACGAAAAATTTCTTCTTCGGAATTTTCGGCTAAAACGCTGGCGGATCGTTTGAGGGAATCGATTGATATTTTCAAAATGACGAGCGATTTGGGTCGATTGTCGATGTGCCTTGCCTCATTGGGTAAATATATAAAAATAATTTTTTATTTTTTTAAATTTTTTGATAACGTTAATTTTAAAGGAAAATTTTTATTTTTTTAGACTTAATAACACGTCTGTCGAATAGAAGTTGCATTATCGTTTGCAACGTTGGATTAGTGGATAAAATATACGAAACATTGCTACGATCGAATAGATCATTACCATGGATTGAGGCTTCATTGCGTGCGACGAGTATTTTAATTAATCTCGCAAAATATTCGCCGACAAAATCATTTGTCTTGAAGGTAAGAAAAAAGAAGGCAATAGCAGGGTTGCCACGCAACCTGAAAACCTGGAAAACCTGGAAATGTCAGGGAATTTTATAAACCTTGAGAAAAAAAAAAAAAAAAAGTCGGGGAATTTTGATCGAAATTCTGGAAAATTGTTATTTTCTAAAGTTTATTCTCGAAATCTAATTTTATATAAATATTTCAAAATTAATTAAATTTTCGAAAAAAGTTGCGTTTACAATTTTCATAAGTACAGATGAATTTCAAATTTAATTTGAAATTTTGTAAAATTTCAATTTTCAATGAATTTAACCAGAAATCGTCTTAAAGAACGTAAATTTTTGAGAAATTTTAATTATTCCAATTCTTCTGAAATTATAGTTAAATTTTTCAATTTATATTTTTAATTAATTATTAAAAATAATGGATTTATAGAAGAATTTTAATTTAAAAAAAAAAACCCTAAAAGAAATTGAATTTTGATGCAATTAGAAATGATTGGAGAAATTCAATTATTTTCCAAATTAGTAAAATTCTTCTTAGAAATTCAATTATTTTTATTCATTTCCAACAATTTTAATAAAATTCATGGCAAAATTTCAATTATTTTCAAATACTTTTATCAATTTAATAATTTTTAATAAATCTACTACTTTCATAAAATTTTTCAAAAGAATTCAATTATTTAAAAAAAAATTCTTTAATTTTACGCAAACATTTCATTATTTTCATAAATAATAAAAAATTTTTTAGAAATTCAATTATTTTTAATACAATTTTAATAAAATTCCTCGAAAAATGAAATAATTCTTAAAAAATTTTATTAAAATTGAACAAAGAAATTCAATTATTTAAAAAGACATTTTAATAAAATTTGTCTCAAGAATTCAATTATTTTCAAAAGTAATATAATTCTTCGCAGAAATTATTAATTGTGTTCAACAATTCACAAAAATTCTCGTCAAAATTTCAATAATTTTTATAAATTTTACTCTGAAATTCAAATATTTTCAAAAACTTTAATAAAATTCTTGGCAAAATTTCAATTATTTTAAAAAACTCTTATTAAAAAAAAAGTTTCAAAAACTCTTTTCTCTTTGGAGAAATTCAATTATTTTTAATAAAATTTTAATCAAATTTCCGAAAAATAAACTTATTCTTGAAAATTTTATTAAAATTTTGTCAAAAGAATTCAATTGTTTAAAAATTTTTTTGATAAAAGTCTTTATAAAGATTCAATTTCAAGAAACATTTAATTATTTAATAAAATATTTATTTGCATTTTATTTGTATTTCAATAATTGAATTCTCGTGTATTTTTCTAGTAAATATTGATTTTCATTTCATAAAAATGAATTTCAGTTAAGATTTTAGATTATTATTGAATTTTGAAAGCAATATTAACGTAAATTTTTAGAAATAATTGAATTTTGAAAATGTTTCAAATTAAAATCTTTTAGAAAATTTCAACTTTTCATACTTTTAATTATTAATATTAATTTAATTATTAATAATTATTAATATTGATAATAATTGAATATTTACGAAGAATTTTATCATTTTTGAAAATAATTGAATTCTTGCGGAGAATTTTATCAATTTTGAAAAAAATTGAATTCTTGCCAAGAATTTTATTCAAATTTTAAAATTAATTGAATTATTTCGAAGAATTTTATTCAAATTTTTTTTGAGAATAATTAAATTCCTATGCAAATAATTTTATTTATCTATAAAAATAATTAAATTCTTGTGACAAGACTTTTAAGGAAATTTAGAATTAATTTTTCTCAAAAAATTTAATGAAATTTTTTTTTTAATTATTTAAAGTTTTTAATTTCTAATTTATTCAATTGAATAATGTCAGAATAATCGAAAGTTTAGGTAAAATTGAATTGTAAACAAAATGGATTTAAAAATTCTCAAAAAAGAACTTTTTCAAAAATTATTAAAAATAATTGTTTTAAAAAAGAATTTTAGTTTAAAATTCTAGAAATGAAGAATTGAATTAAAAATAATTTTAAAGAAATTACAGTAAAAAAGTCGTTTTGTCTGGAAATCAGGGAGCTTGGTAAAATTAAGAATAAAATTAAAAATTAAATTAAAATTCAAAATAAAAAATACAAAAAAATTTTGTAAAATATAAATTTAGTTTTTAAAAACCTGAAAAAATTACGTTTTTTAACCTGGAAAAGTCAGGGAATTTGAAATGAGGAAAAGCGTGGCAACCCTGAATAGGTATAATGTTAAGTGATAAAATTCAAAAATTTTGTTTTTTTTACTTTTCTATTTTATTTTTCAGGAAAACTACATTGAAGTTATAATGAGATATTTAACCGTAACGGTCGAAAAAAATGTGAATTTATTTTTACATCTCGCAACGCTGCTGTGGATACTTGTAGAGGATCGCGACTACGCGAAGGTTAGTAATTTTTATTTTTTTATTCATTTAAAATTTAAACAAAAATTCAGGCCTCTCACTATTCTACTAAAATTTATACTGTATATTTTTACAATTTGATAATATTTTTTTTATTTACCTACACAGAAAAGACGATAAACTAATTTTAAGAAGCGCCTACTTAAATAGGAGCCAAGAATATTCCCTATACTTAAATTAAGTGGCCCGACTTAAATTAAGTGAGAAATATTCTTACAATAATTAATTTAAGTTGGGCCACTTAATTTAAATAATTACTCTTATTGTAAGAATATTTAAGCAGGCGCTTCTTAAAATTAGTTTGTTTTTTCAGTGTAAGTAATTTTAAACGCAAACATACAGAAGGAATACCAACTTTAATATTTTTAATTTTCCTTTAATATTTATATTTTAATTTAATTTAAATTTTAATATGAAATAATTTTAAGATTTTTAATTTAAATTTTTTTAAAAAATTATTTTTAATTTTTCAGGCTGTTTTAACCAATAAACGTGCAATTTGGTTGTTAAGAAAATTGGAGGCCACTGTCCGTGGGAAAAGGAAGAATTTCCTTTATTCAAAGGAAGCGAAATTTCTTCTGCCAAATTCAAAACCTGATTGGGGTTTAGAGCAAAGGGAGCCACGACTGTTTAAAGACGTTCATCACGCAACTATTTCGATTAAAAACAAATTAGGAAAGTATTGAGAACAAAAAGAAATTTCCAGTATTATTATTCGATGAAAAAAAAACTTTTTATAATTATTATTCAATTATAACGAAATAATTTTAGAATTTTAGGAAATGATAATTTTAATTGAAAAGAAATTACTATATCAGTATTTTGCGCATAAAATATCAGTATTATAATGATAATTATTTAATTATTTAATATTATTTATATAAAGTTATAATTGTTATAATATCGATTTATAAAATGTTTTTTTTAAATCTTAGGTAAAATTTGATATGTCAAAATAATATTAGGTCAATATTATAATTATTTCACTATTAATTCGTCACTAATTATTAATATTATAATTATTTTATTATTACTTTGACAGTAATTATTAATATTATAATTATTTTACTATTAATTCGTCACTTATTGCAGTAGTATTATAATTATCAAACAATAGTTAATTACTAGTTATTGATTTATATTTTCTCTATTTTTTCTTCAAACTTTCGAAATTTTTTTACATATAAATGAAAAAGAAACGTTTTAAAATTATTGTCAGTATTACTCGAATTATTGAATTATAAGTTATTCAATTTTTTTTTTTACTTTTATTGTCAGTATTATTATTATAATATTAGTTTTTTCATTATAAATTAAGGTACCGTTATTCAATATTAAAAATTTTAATTAATAATTTAAAAAATGATTTAAAAAGATTTAAAAATGGTAAAATAATAATTATTATTATTTATGGCATTATGATTATTATTTATATCATTACAATTATTATTTATGGCATTTGAATTATTATTTATCGCATGAAAATTTTTTTTATTATTATTTTTTGTTTCACAATGATTATCATTATTTATGGTAATACAATCATTTTTAATTTTCTACCATAAATTATAAATTGTTATAATTTTAATTTATTTATAATCAGTATTAATTAATTAATTTCATTAGTGATTTTGCAATTTATGCAAATTCAGAAGCATGCAGTTTGAGGAAAAAAGAGAGAATAATGTTTTATTTTTAATTTATACGAAATTATGTTTATGTATCATCGGGTTTTCAACGATTTTTCTTTTCCAACAGATTTTTGCATTTTTTTTTGTTAATAAGTTAATAAGTTTTCGATGAATTTTCTTTCAAAAACTTATCTTTTAAAAAAATAAATTATACTAGGTGATTTTAGAAGAGGAGAATTTATTTACCCTCCCCTGAGGAGGAAGTTTTCATTTCTTCGTTTTTTTAAATAACTTTTTTCAAATTTCGATCATTAAGGGCATTTGAACCATTATGACGTCATAGGTTCTGCAAAGCATGTGTTTTAAGGCTGTGACGTCATCATGGTTCAAATGCCCTTAAATTGAATTTTTTGTAAAATTTAATTATTTTTAGAAACTTTTCGTTATTCAATGATTTTCCATATCTATTAATTTTTAAAAAATTCAAAAAAAGTAGAAAAAAATTCAAATTTTAAAAAATTCAAATTTTAAAAAATTCAAATTTTAAAAAATTAATTACTTAAAATTTTTTTATAAAATTCTTCTCAAGGATTAAATTATTTTTCTAAAATATTTATGCAAAAAAAAAAAAATTGTTCACTTAATTAAAGTGACATATTTTCTGTTTAGAACACGCTTAGAACTTTAATTCTAATCGTTTTTTCAAATTTTAATTTAATTCGTCTTTAATTCTTCTTTTTTCAAACTTCAACTTTACTTATTTTTTGAAAACCAATTTCGGCGATTGATTAAATTCGTGTGTTTGTGAGTGAATTTAAAAAGAAAAAATTGTTTAAAGTTCAAATTCGGCGGAGATGTATCGATTGAAGGTAAGGTAGAAATTTTATTTTCTTGGAACCGTAATTTAAAAAATTTCCTTAATTTTAAGGGTGTAAAACAAAATGATTGTTTTTTTCGATAAATAATTTATTCCCGTGAGAGTAGAATATTACAATCAAAATAATTTTGCAAGAAAAACTTTCAATAATAAATAAAAGAATGTTGTAATTTCATCATTCAAAAAAAAAAAAAAAAAAAAAAAAAAAAAAAAAAAAAAAAAAAAAAAAAAAAAATTAAATTCTTTATTATTAATTACATAAAATTGCGTAAAATTGTGTAAGAATAATAATAATTATTATTTAATAAAAAATTTAATAGAAATAAAAAAAATAGATGCAATTTTCACGTTTTATTTTATTATAAAACTAAACATGTTTGTTTATAATTTTAATTATTATTATAAAAGATATGAATTTATAGAAAAAATACAAAAAAAAATTCTTTTTTTTTAATAAATGAATTCTTGAAAAATAGAAAAATTTCTTTTGAATCATTTATTATTGATGGAGATACTGATTGAAAAAACTTCTTTTTTACTATTAATTAATTTTTCAGAATAGGGGATCCGCCCTCGTGGAGATAAGTCACCAAGACACCAAGTGAGTTTGTATACACACCAGTTCGGATCCCCTAGACGATGGAGAGGAACAAGAGCGCAGGTTCTGTATCGACCGCCGATCGTCATGGTGACGCCTTGTGGACCAAGAGGCAAAAAAAAGTATTCTTTATTTATTTTCTAATCGTCAAATTTCAAGTTCTTTTTTTTTACTTTTATTCTTTAAAGAAAGAAAGAAAAAAATCTTCCGTTTTTTTTCTCTTCTTTTAGAAAATTATTTTGATTCTTATTTATTTATTTAAATTTTTTATAAATTTGTCATAGGAACAATCGTCGATGGTCGTCGCACGATTCTCAATGCGCCGCAGCGGTGAGCGGTTTCTTCTTCTCTCAGTCATAATATGAAACTTCCAGAGAGTGCGCCATCTCTCTTCGCGGACATGCGCAGATGCTTTGTACACATTCGGTTCCAGTAACGTACGCACCACTTTCGGCGAAAGTAGTTTTGTCAACTATGGAAGAAAGGGAAAAAGAAGAAATAAGAAGTTTCTTTCGTCGAAAGGTAATTTTTAGTAAACTATATATATTTTAGTCGAAAACTGCATTTTTCTATTGAATTTTGCATTATTTAATAAATAATTAATTAAATACTTAAAATGACGCGATATGAAGAAAGGGATCTTAGAAGCGAAAAATTATAGGTTATGTTTTTAAAGTTTGAATAGACCTTTTTATTTCAATTCGGAAATCCGTTGAATATTCTCCAAGTTACATTCAAGTTTGTAAACATTGTCAGAGCGTCTGTCTGCCTATTGTGAATGAACAAGATAAAAAAAAAAGTTCTAGAATAAGGTGCTGAAGATGCAGAAGATTCATTATATATGGGCCTGGAATAGACGATTCAATGAAAGTTGAAAAAAAAATTTTTACTTTGAGTAAAATTGTTTTCAACAATTTTCATGAAATTCTTTAAAAAAATTATTATTTTCAAAATTTTTAATAAAATTTCTCGAAAGAATTCAATTATTTTCAAAAATTCAGATAAAATTCTTTGAAAATTCAATTATTTTCGACAAATTTTGTTAAAAAATTCAATTATTGTCAATTCAATTTTAATAAAATTTTTCGAAAGAATACAATTATTTTTAAAAATATTATTTAAATTCAATTATTTTCAACAAATTCTGTTAAAAAATTAAATTATTTTTAAAAATATTATTTAAATTCAATTATTTTCAACAAATTCTGTTAAAAAATTAAATTATTTTCAAGAGATTTAATGAAAATTCAATTATTTTTAAAAGTTTTAATAAAAAATCAATTATTTTCAACAAATTCTGTTAAAAAATTCAATTATTTTTAAAAATATTATTTAAATTCAATTATTTTCAACAAATTCTGTTAAAAAATTAAATTATTTTTAAGAGTTTTAATAAAAATTTAATTATTTTTAAAAATATTATTTAAATTCAATTATTTTCAACAAATTCTGTTAAAAATTTCAATTATTTTCAAGAGATTTAATGAAAATTCAATTATTTTCAAAAGTTTTAATAAAAAATCAATTATTTTCAATTCAATTTTAATAAAATTTTTTTCAAAATAATACAATTATCTTTAAAAATATTATTTAAATTCAATTATTTTCAAGAGTTTTAATAAAAATTCAATTATTTTTAATTAAATTATTTAAATTTAAATTAAATTAAATTAAATTATTTTTAAGAGTTTTAATAAAAATTTAATTATTTTTAAAAATATTATTTAAATTCAATTATTTTCAACAAATTCTGTTAAAAATTTCAATTATTTTCAAGAGATTTAATGAAAATTCAATTATTTTCAAAAGTTTTAATAAAAAATCAATTATTTTCAATTCAATTTTAATAAAATTTTTTTCAAAATAATACAATTATCTTTAAAAATATTATTTAAATTCAATTATTTTCAAGAGTTTTAATAAAAATTCAATTATTTTTAACAAATTCTGTTAAAAAATTCAATTATTTTTAAAAATATTATTTAAATTCAATTATTTTCAACAAATTCTGTTAAAAAATTCAATTATTTTAAAAAATATTATTTAAGTTCAATTATTTTCAAGAGTTTTAATAAAAATTTAATTATTTTTAACAAATTCTGTTAAAAAATTCAATTATTTTCATGAGTTTGAACAAAAATTGAATTATTTTCAAGAATTTAAAACAGAAATCAATTTTTTTTTTTTAAGAAATTCTGATGAAAAATTCTTTAATAACAATTCAATTATTTTTAATAAAATTTCTCGAAAGAATTTAATTATTTTCAAAAATTCAGTTAAAATTCTTTGAAAATTCAATTATTTTCGACAAATTTTGTTAAATAATTCAATTATTTTCATTTCAATTTTAATAAAACTTTTCGACAGAATACAATTATTATTAAAAATATTATTTAAATTCAATTATTTTCAAGAATTTTAATAAAAATTCAATTATTTTCAACAAATTTTGTTAAAAAAATTCAATTATTTTCAAGAGTTTTAATAAAAATTCAATTATTTTTAAAAATATTATTTAAATTCAATTATTTCAAAGAGTTTTCATAAAAATTCTGTTAAAAAATTCAATTTTTTAAAAAAATATTGTTTAAATTCAATTATTTTCAAGAGTTTTAATAAAAATTCAATTATTTTTTTTAACAAATTCTGGTGAAAAATTCTTCAAAAACAATTCAATTATTTTTGTGAATAATAAAATTCTTCTGAGAAATTCAATTATTTTTTAGATCCAATTTTTTAATACTAGGAAAAATTTCAATTTTATATTCAAGATAATTTTTAACAAAATTTTTCTCTAACAGGTTCAATTATTTTTAAAAATTGTAATACAATTTTTCTAAACAATTCAAATTGTTCTCAAAAGTTTTTTTTTAAAAAGTTCTTTGAAAATTTTAATGCTTTTCAAAATTTTC